ACATGGAGGGAGTGTGGCAACTGGAACTGCTGCACATCTGTGCAATCAATCAGTCAGCCTCACTAAGACGCGGGTTTTTCTTCAATAGGATGAAAGCACACGATCTTGGTTTCATTGCTACGCCCCTAAACAAAAAAGTAAATTCATATTAGAATGTTTTTTTTTCATTTGACATGACAACTGAAACAGAAGAGGTTTCAATGTTAGTCAGCTCAGTTTCTTCATTACTCAATACAGCGATTTTTCCGTTGAAAGTATGACAACCGCTGTAAATAGTATTGGGGGAATATCATAGCACTTCTAAGTGTTTTATTTGTGGGTATTTGAAAGTAGGTTTACTTGGACTATTAGAAATGGTCAAAAGAGCCATATCAAATTTCTATAGAATCATTTAGCATGTATTTATAGTATCTAAAGCGCACAATGTGATGACAGTTCGGCCTTATATTACTCAATTATTGGACTATGAGCGATACCATTGTATAGGCTTCCTGAGAGTGTCCGATAGGGTTAAGTGAGGTAAATGAAGGGAGAAATTTTGAGAAGATAACCTACTAACTGAATATTAAGCGTTTAAGCATAAAAGATACACGTAGTATTGTTGGTATTAGATAGTTGGAGGCGATCGGCAAGAAGCCTTGCCAGGATCTAGGTTTCATGCTAGTTGGCACTCATGTCGCTTCTGGGATTCGAACCTGTGTCACCCAGTGTATTCCAATACGGTCCTTCAGGAGTCAGAAGGGACATGAGTTCCCTCGAGGTTGCAGATACGTTCTGCTGACTGATGAGTGCCAACTAGCACGAAACCTAGTTCTAGTCGAGGCTTCCTACCGATTGCCTCCAACTATCTAATACCACCGTGATGGTGACTGTATTGCAAACTTGACTGATATAATTCAGTCTGCACCGAACAAAGGACGAGACACACACATTACACTAGTTACTGACCAGTGTTCAATCAAAAACACTCGTACTATACTACTGTAATACAGTTGTTTCAAACAACTAAGAAATTAGATAGCCATTATTAACAGGTGTGACATCTCGAATTTACCCCCCATAAACAACCTGGTACAGCTGGCTCAGGGTGAGCAGACTTGAGTTCACTTCTGGAATTATTTTCATGTGGATGCGCGTTCATAGCCATGACTCGTTACACGCAAGTGGTGTCTGTTCTTGTGTAATGTTCCAATCGAAAGAACTATAAAAAACAGAAATGTACAGAATAGGAAATAGTTACAAGGAGAAACAATAGGGTATTATTGGATGCATGAAAGATCACAAAGACTGAATGCATCTGGCGCGATTCAGAATGATTTGAACGATTTCATCAACAGTCTCCAGCCAGTGAATTTTTACCATCCCAAGGACCACAATCAACCAGTCTACGCTTTCCCATGTGCCTGGTTCAAATCAACTGTCGAGAAATTCAATCAAAACTTCAGTTTCCATAGTTCAAGGATACGCAGTTTCACCAGTCTCCTTGGGAAAACGGAATAAATAGTAACCAAGGAAGTAAGCATAAATCTGCCAAAAGTTATGTTGTAACGACAGAAGACAAGGGCCAGGAAACGGATCGTTTATTGAGAAAATTAACAGTTTTTTATAGATTTTTGTGTACATTATTAATAGCGTTATTGTTAGCAGAGAAACAGCGTCTTCTGATTGGTTGTTTTGTCGCTGAAAGTTATTGTGGCATCACTTTGTGGCCGTTTGTTTGAAGGTCAGACCATATATCTGCGAATCGTATCCACCCACGCTAAGTCTACTGTGATTGGTTGTTGAGTTAGTCTTTCTCCTTGTTCTTTTCTCATGACCAAGATTTGGGACATAAACATTGACGTAAATTGGTGTCTACAAATTTTGGCTAGCAGATAGCTCTCACCACAGTGTTAAGTAAGGACGTGGGGGGGGGTTAAGTCAATCGATGAGGTAATGAAGCTACATCGATTGAGAAAGGTAGGTGGGTAGGTCACGTATTACACATTACGAGACACTCTCTTCGTCGACAAACATTGTTAGCTGACATAGGAAGGCGTTGGGAAAGATTTTAAGGTGGTCAAATCAATCCATAAACTTGTCGACGAGAACTATACACTACTAACTGAATGGCATGACTATCTGTATGTTTGTTTTCGATATATAAATTTGCACAGATGTGCAGCAGTTCAAATCGCCACACTCCCTCCATGTAGCACACAAACCAAGAGAAGTAAGTAAAAAGAAATGCAAAATAGAGACAGTAAACAGAGATGAGGCTAAAAGAATGGTAATATCGAAAAACAATATGGTTTCATTGGAAATCATAAGTCACAAGGAATGGATGCATCTGCGTCAGCCATTGGGAACGATGAGTTTGAGCCATCTCACCAACAGTCTCCAACCATTGGTGCTTACCGTCCAGAGGACCCCAACCAGCCAGTCAGGAATTCTACACCTCCCTACGTGGCTGACTAGCTTAAACTAACTGTTGTAGATTTCATTGACTGATGAAGCCATGTTTTCGCTTGACCACCACTGGCTCTTTTCCAAACTGACACTATGTCAGTTAACACTGGCTGTCGTCGAGGAAGACGATCGATGGCCAAAAATGCATACTTAACACATATTCTAACCATCTCAGTCAATGTAGCTTCACACCCTCGTCTATTGATTTCCCATCCCACCTACCTAGCACTCAACCGATGCCTTACCTCAATATTGCTCACCCTATTATACCACCTCACATGGAAGATAGAACGCAGACACCTATGATCATGTCTTGCACTTTCATTTGTCAGTTCTCACAACCATAGAGGAGGACGGAGCGGACTTCTTTGCTGAGCAGTACACTTCGGTCGACACTTAGCTGGATATCACGTCTACACCAGAGACTGAGTAAATTGGCATATGCAAAATGAGCCACTTCACTCCCTATTTCTAAGCTAGGAGTCAATATAGTCGAGTCATGTATGGCTTAACTAGTTGTATACCTACTGACATCAGCCTGTAATGTTTCACTAGCTGGATCGAAGTGGTCTAAACACCTTTCTTACTGGTTTCGGGCCGACATCATCAATAGTGTACTTGATTTGACTCATATCAGAAAGCCGAATCAGTTCAAAGCACCACATAACACCTGCTAAAGCGAATAGTATACAACCACTCAGCTCAGTCGATCAATACTACATATTGTGGTGAGAGCTGTCTGACTAACTCAACAACCAATCACAGCAGACTTAGCGTGAGTGGATACGATTAGCAGATATATGGCCTGACCTTCAAAGAAATGGACACAAAGAGATGCCACAATAACTTTCAGCGACAAAACAACCAATCAGAAGACGCTGTTTCTCTGCTAACAATAACGCTATTAATAATGTACACAAAAATCTATAAAAAACTGTTAATTTTCTCAATAAACGATCCGTTTCCTGGCCCTTGTCTTCTGTCGTTACAACATAACTTTTGGCAGATTTATGCTTACTTCCTTGGTTACTATTTATTCCGTTTTCCCAAGGAGACTGGTGAAACTGCGTATCCTTGAACTATGGAAACTGAAGTTTTGATTGAATTTCTCGACAGTTGATTTGAACCAGGCACATGGGAAAGCGTAGACTGGTTGATTGTGGTCCTGTGGAGTGAGCCAGTTACATAGGTCGTAAAATTAGGCGTGTTTCCCGTCGGATTTCCGAACATCACCCTGAGTGGTTGGTTAAGTAAAGAACGCTATTCTATCTCACCTTGTGGATACAACAGAACACAAGGCTGATGTTAACGAGGCAGCTTCCAAAGTCATTTACCACATACCAACAAATTTTAACTTCGCCTTAAGAGTTCGATTACTAAATATTGCTGAGTATATCCGCTGGGATCCATATTAAGAAGTCTAACTTATTTATCCAAAAGAAGCTAGTTCAGACATTGTCCTTACCCCGTTGGCCATCTAATTTCGAATGATCCTCAGTCTTTTGTAGAAATTTCCTTAATTCTATTTGCTATTATATTTTTATGCTTCTTATTATAATTTAAGCATCTTTCGTGAACTGTAATTCCATTGTGATCTTACTTTACAAATCGATATTATTTAAAAAACACTAATATTGTTATTGACTACTATTCTAGAATATTCTACGCATATAGACTTGTGTATATATAATTTTAGAGCCAGAAGAGGAAATCATCGAAAAGGACATTCTTTGCTCAATTATTTTGTGTTTTATGGATGTCTGAATGAATATTTTCGCTATATTGAAATAATGATGTAACCTAGAACTTCAGGCACTGTATCAGTCAGGTTTATCCTTCCCCCCTGAGGACTTGTCTCTCTTCTGATATAAACTGGAATAATCATCAGTGACACTTATACCAGTCTAACAGGAGAACCTCTTACGTCCAGATAACAGATCGTGACTATAGTTCTTAAACACCTCTTCTGAAATTATTCCATTGGGCCACGCAGTCTTCGTAACCTACCTACCTATCTCAGTTACAGATACGGGATATGTATGAAAAGAAAAGAAGACAAATTATATTAATATTAATTTCATATATATATTATGTATACACATACCACGTTGACAATGAACGTGTCATTAAAAAAATTACAATCACCATACATACAGAAAACAGATTATAAGTAGGAGAATAGAAATCTTTTCGAGGGGGAACCAGAAAGGAAAAAAAGAGGAGTAACAACAAGGGAACAAATAAACAAATGGAGTGCTGAAAATAACTACTCAGCAGTTATGCTTCACAGCATAATACAATAACACTACCCACTTTCCTCTCTCTCTCTATACATGAGAAAAAAAAAGTTTGTTTCGCGTGTAGATAGGTAGTACACTTCCTTTCACTGGACATCACATCATACAGACGAAAAAAAAAACATAAATATTAGAAATACATATATATATGAAAAAACGAATAACATACATTACACATCATGGAAAATAAGGTGAAGGTTTTTCTCATAAAAGAATAATTTGAAAAAAATCATTTTTAAAAAAAAAGAAAAAAAATGTACATAAAATTTTTCATTTTTCTGTTTAAACTACTGAAAATCAATTAAGTAGTCAGTGAAATAATGATCATATTTATTAGGTAACACAGTGGAATAGATAGAAATATACATTGATGATATATCTATATATCTGTATATGTATAAATAAATACAATTATTGGCAATGGGAAGAAAGGATCAACACTGTTGAGTGAGTTGAATCCTCTGAGATCGTAAATTTAGGTAAATAATCTGTAGTTATCATCATCTTGTCAGATTCGTCTCATCATCATCATCATGAATTCTTCTGTAGGGAAATTGATTTTATTTTGTTTTTATTTCATATATACAAAAGTTTTTATAAAGTTTCTTTAAATTGTTTCATTTTTTGAACAAATAATGCTTCAACAATCTCTGTGCAATTAAATTCTGGTGTATCTTTTGGATAGATTAAACGTGAATTAGTAAAAAGACGATTCATATCGAAGGAGAAATCACCAAGAGTTTTATATACACCTGTTTTCAAATTGATAATAACATTGGGGAGATCTGAAATGGGAAAAAAAGAGAAGAGAGAAGATGAGGGGGGGTGATGAAGATACTCGATGACGACGATGAATAACAGCAACAACAACAATAAGCATCAGTGACTGTCAACGCGGATGGGAGGGGAGGGGAGAGAACTTCGAAGGAGGCGGCAGTCATCGTCAGTTTTATTTATCTAGGGAGCAGTATCACGTTTCAACTACAGGCTAACTGCAAAGATGAGAGGATGGCCCAAGGCAGCCAGGATTGGTAAAGCAAGATAGACAGACAGAATCAATGTGGAAGTATCTACTGCATTCGATATAAAGAATACCAAGATCCGGATTTTCAACACACAATTGACCCCGGAAATAGATGTCCAACATCATTATAGAGACGGGTCATAAGGTTGATTTCAACAATGCCTTTATTAAGCCCATATATAAAACAAGGTTGGGCCACATACTTAAATTCATTGAAGCCTTAGCCATAAAAAGACTTAAACCTGTTGTCTTATGTGTCCAAAAGTTATTTGTTATCACTTTAAACCTGCCTTGGTAATCCAATTTAGAACTAAGAAATCAATTTACTTCATAATATTTTCAACCCCTTTTTTGCTTTGTTTTTTCTCTTTCTTACTTACACCTTTTGCTTCTCCCCACCCATTATTTGTGACCTTGACCTGTACACAATCTGACCTGTATTGTAATTATTCATGCCTTCTATAAAAACTGTGTATGACAAGTACTAGTGTGTGTGATCAGAATGTCCAAAATCTGTTGTGCCAATACATAACACGTTTCAGATAAACTACGTCTTCTTATTGCGTTGTCGAAATGTCAAGTCAGTCAGTCCTACAATAACGACAGAAGACATGGGACAGGCAACAGATTGTTTATTGCGGAAATCAAAAGGTATTTATAGATTTTTATGTACATTATTGTTAGCGGGAAGCAACCTCTTCCGATTGGTTGTTTACTTGCTGAAGGTTCTTCTGTTATCTCTTTGTGGCCGTTTCTCAGAAAATCTAGCCATATATATGTGAATCATATTTCCACACGTTAACTTCGCTGTGATTGGCTGGTGATTTTCTCAAGGTTAAGCTTTCTTATTGTTTTTTCTCATGACCCTGATTCGGGATGTGAACATTGACGTTAATTGGTGTCTACAATTTTGGCTTCCGGCCAACTCTCACCACACTATTATATGGTTCAGAGATTTGGCGAGCGAAATCATTTCCAACAGGCCAGCTCAGATTTCTATTAACGACTGCCGCCTTCGATGGCTCCATATTGACGATTAGATGGCCAACTAGAAAGGATTAGTAACAAGAAACTGTGGCAACCAACCAACGTATCACCCAACATATTATGCCGAAGAAAATAGAAACAGATTGGATATACGCTGACAAGACCGGTGAGTGACACATCACGCATCGTCAGGTTGGTTTCGAATTGTACTAGAATGGGAAACAATGAGTTAAGCTGAGCATGTGTCCGAGGGTGACATGGAGAAGATCATGTGCAAAGAGGAGGTGAGAGCTTATGGGAAATTGTGGAGCCAACTTAAAAAGACGATGCAAAAACGATACAATGGAGATGTACTGCCGAAGCCCAGAAGCTATAAGTTTCCCTTAGAAACAAGGAACAATTTCGTATAACACCGATGTCAAGTGAGTCAATCTAAACAGTATCGTTTCAACTAGAGATGACTGGTTGAACGAATAAAGATGTCAATCTAACCAGGCAGGATCGGAACGGTACAAGACAAACGTTCACTCACCTGAAAACAGTGTGTGTATGTATGAGAAATCTACTGCGCTCGGTGTAAAGAATACCAAAATCTGGATTTTCGACATTAATGTCAAGTTAGTTGGTGCTTCTAAGTGACTTATATATATCAGACTGCAGACTTTCATCAACAACTGTCATCACTCGATTCTGAAGATCAGATAATCGCCGAGGAATTATAAGACACAAGGAACTCTAGCAACGAATCAACTAAGAACCTGTCACCCAACATATAAGTCAAAGGAAAATGGAGATGGATTGGACACTCACTGAGGAGACCATTGAGTGAGGCCCCACGCATCAGTCAAACACTCGAGTGGAACCTGAAAGGGGAATGACGAGTTGGGCATCGGTCTAAAGGTGACATAGAGGAGATAAGACCTTATGGACAATGGTGGAACCAACTGAAGTCGACTGCAGGAAATAGGATGAAATAAAGATGTCCTGCTGAGGCCGTATGTTCCACACAGAACATAAGAGAATAATAATACTAATGTATGGGTACGCTGGTTTCAACTACAAAACCCGGTCTGGCAATCAGCTCACTAACCGAACATGAGCCTATTTCCCAATAAATAAGCAAAACCTGGGAGTACTGGACAGCTGTTTTGTCAGCCTAGTTTGGGACTCCACTTCAGTAGTATGCACCCACACCGCGGGGTTCGAACCCAGGAACTTCTGGTAACAAGGCTAGCGAGCTCGTAGACCACTGAGCCACAGAGACTCGACCCAGTGGCCATCCCATGAATTCTAACTTCTGCCAATTCATGACATAGTGCGACCACTTCTCAATGTCTTCTTCTTCGATGAGTTACTGCCTCATCTTCAACCTGCTGTAACCTACTGGTCACGGCTTCCCACTAGAACCCCAGGTTAACTGCCTGAATAGGGCCAGTCGCTAGCTAGTGAGCATCAGATTAATTTTCAAGTATTGGTTTTGTAGGGATTTTGTTTGATTGGATAGAGGATTTCATCATGAGCTGACATCAGTTAGAGAACCACTGGAAGACCTAAGAGTACTGGACAGCTGTTTCGTCCTAGCTCGGGACTCTTCATCAGCACGCATCCACCGGGGTTCGCGCTATTTCATGAACTGGCAGAATTTAGAATTCATGCACTGGCTGGCCATTGGATCGAGTCCCAGTGGCTCAATGGTTTACGAGCTCGCTAGTCTTGTAACCAGAAAGTCCTGTGTTCGAACCCCATGGTGTGTGGGTGCGTACTGCTGAAGCGGAGTCCCAAACTAGGCTGACGAAACAGCTGTCCAGTACTCCTTGACTGGTTTCCCAATGGTTCTCTAACTGATGTCAGCTCATAATGAAATCCCCCAATCAATCAATCAATCAATCAATCAATCAATCAATCAATCAATCAAACAAAATCCCCACAAAACCAATACTTGAAAATAAGCAAAAGAAAATGGAGGCATTCAAGTGGCAACACCTGCCAGGCCCTTCAGTAGAACCTGAATAATGAATGGGTTGGGCATTATTAGAGTGCTACGCTCCGCTCACAACGCATACTTAATAAAAACTACGTTTTATTCTCAGATAAAAACCAACAATAATAATAATAATAATTTTCAATACAAAAAGAGACTTACTAAATGCAGCATTTAAAGTATTGACGATAGGGAACTTTTGTGGATCTGGAGTAGTTACAAAAGGCCATGACATTTTATGTTTCTAGAAATTTTATGTAAAAAGGGAAGGCAAAGAAAGAAAGTCGAAAATAAAAAATAGTATTGAAAAATAAAATGCATATTAATATTGAAATAATTTCTATTCGTTTTATTTATTTTGCAGCAATGTGTAATGTAACCCCCCCCCCCTGCACACACACACACACTTATGATCGATTGAGATAGCTGGGGGGAGGGCTAGGACGACTACACCACCACACGCCTTCCTCGATGAGTAAATGTTGCCTGACACATATATACTATCATCAGGTTAGAGAACTTGTTAGGATTGGTCAAACCAAAACCTTGAGTCAATCAATTAATTGATCCATGAAGTTTTTGACAGCTGGTTTGAACCAGCCAGTCAGCCAGCCACGTAGAGGAGATATAGGTTTTCATACAGATTTTATATAAAAGCACTTTATCACCTTTCCACTAGTTCCTGTCCATTCTACACGATCTCATTGATTAGTCATTATCTCACACTTATTATATCATGCCAACTTCTGTCTCTTTTCTAACTTACAATTAGTCATCCTTTCTTGCTCCTTACATTATGCAATACAATTTTTGGAGGGCAAAGTTTACCGGTATCTGATTGGTCTAAAGAATTATGATTGTACAGCTCATGAAAATGAATCGTCGAAAAGAAAATTTTCTTCTACGCTGTTTACGTCTTTTTCTTATTATGAACAATCAATTAACAAAAATGCAAATCAGAATGAGATGCCACCCACCCACCTTAATTTCATCAACTAAATGAATTAATCTTTGTATACTATCTGTATTGAGATGAGTAGCATAAATAGTTTTGGCTCCAGTCACCGGGTGAATAGCACTCGTATCTTCAAGAGTATTGCCATTATTATCATTATTATTATTATTATCGTGATTGGATGCTGTTTTAGATTTGTTTGTTCTACCACCACTTTTGGAGGATTTAGTAGAAGTTGTATCCACAGCAGCGTCAGCAGAAGTGGTAGACTGGGCTGATTCACGACATGTTGGACATAGATAGGTATCCTCATGATTAACAGCTTCTTCAGGTGTTAAACCAACACACTCAGGATGATACCATTCATCGCATCCGTCACAGGCAATATATACTCTATATTTAAAAAAAAAACAGATAAACAGTAATTACAACATAAAAGGAGAATTTTATGTGTCGCCACCTTCAGAGCCAATTGGTAAGATACTGTCATAGATGACGGTAACTTACTCAAGAGTAATCGATAATCCTTCAAAGGTTTAAGTAAACGCACGTCACCACCACCACCCAACGGAGATGTGATTCACTGACTCAGTTTTCAACCAATAGCTGGTCACGATCCGATCGATAGGTGTTAATCTCTACGTGGTTAGTGGCGGTGATCGAGTTTGCATATTGGAATCACCTAACGAGCTACTCTCTTTGGGTGGAATTAATGTCCCTGCAGAGGTCCTACTAGACCAGAAAGTTTGTTAAAACTGACTGACTGACTGGTTTCAACGTAGAACTTTGCACAGATGTGCAGCAGTTCGAGTCGCCACACTCCCTCCATGTAGCACACAAAGCAAGAGAAGAAAGTAAAAATAAATGCAAAATAGAGACAGTAGACAGTGATATGAGGCAAAAAGAATAGTAATGTGGAAGAACAATATAGTTTTATTGAGTAATATAAGTCACAAGGAGTGGATGCATCTGCACCAGCCATTGACAACGATCACTTTGAGTCATACCACCAAATATCTCCAGCCACTGGTGTTTACCGTCCCAAGGACCCAAACCGGCCAGTCAGGAAGTCTACACTTCCCTGCGTGGGTGGCTGACTGGTTTAAACTAACTGTTGTGTATTTCATTGACTGATGAAGCCATGTTTTGGTTTGACCACCACTGGCTAGCTCTTTTCCAACCTCACTCTATGTCAGCTAACATAGCCCGTCGTCGAGGAAGGCGATGGTTAGGGATTCACGCGCAACACATATCCAAACCATCTCAGTCGATGTAGCTTGACAGCCTCGTCGATTGATTTCTCCTCCTTACCTAGTACTCGATCGATGCCTAATCCCCGGCCGATAGTTGCTACCTTGACGTGGTGGTCGGGCTTGCATATCGCAATGACCCAACGAGCTACACTGGCTGGAAATTATGTTCCTGTAGGTCCTACCATGCCAGAAAGGTTGTTTGGATAGCGGTTAGACAAAAAGTAGCTACCCAATCCAATACTATGATTCAAACAAATCCACAAAATATGCCGGATCGGTCGGGGCCCGGATTAACAACGACCGCGCTTTCTGCTGCCGTGTCACAGGGCAGAAGTGATAAATATGCTACTGAGACACACCAAACAAGAAAGAACAAACAAAAACAGGCCGCGTTTGACCGGCCTCAAGCAGTTGTCCCCTGGGCTCTGCGGTCACGGAACACTAACCTTTTCTCTGTTTCAGGTACCCGAAGACTCAACCAACTTCCACGGTGTGGGCAGCCGGGAAGTAACAACCGCCCACACACTTCCAAAAGCACACGAAGCCTACCTGAGCATCACTCTCCCCTACTCACATCACCTTCCTCATCTTGCTTCTCTACTACAGCTAGCACTATTCTTCAGGCTAACGAGTCATCTTCACTTCACTCTGCGTCCACAAACAACGATGAGAGCCATAGAAACAACCCAGATAGCCTTTTAAAGCCATGAAAACCGACCGACCGATGCCTAACCTCAATATTGCTCACTTCATACGAGAGATAGAACGCAGCCACCTATGATCAAAGACAGCTAGTTAGCGTTTTCATGTCTTCTGCTCTCAATGGCCAGGTCTCACTCACAGCCATAAAGGAGGACGAAGCGACAACGATTAGACTAAAAGCAGTTACCGTCATAGTGTAAGGTGTTTACACTTGGGCTCAGTGGGGAACAGGGAAGCGCAGATGATCAGCATGCCAGCTATGCTATCTTTCTCCACTCTAGAGACTTGGAGGGGGGCATTAGAAAAGGTCGACCCACAAAAATTGCACAGTCTAACTTATCTCGCGGTAGTCCATAGCAGGCGGTAAGATCTTATTAACGAAACAACCCTAAACTGGCCTGAAGCAATTGTCCCACAGGCTTTCCGATCACGTAACACTAATTCTCTTTATGCTTAAAAGTATCCTAAGAAAATATCACTCTGATGGATGACGAATGTTCAAACACGGGTCGACTTTATTCAACTTGGCTGGTTGTAGTGTCATCAGAACTTACACACACACGATTAAGTGTGACTCTTAGCAAGTAATTGACAATGGAGAAAGCCACCAAGCCGAATAATTGCTCTTATGTTTTGCCGTTATTTACAGTAGTGTACATGGTTCTGAAACTAAGCTTTGAAATTTAAGTAGGGTGTGTGTGCGTCTAATCTCAAGTCGATTTATCTATATGGTTCAAAGACAATTAGTGAGCTCATCACCACATGGTACTACCGACTTTTCTCAACAAGGGCCTTCGCTAGACCCAACACTGAAGATCAGATGACCGGGCAGAAAGGATAAGTGAACCAATAAGGAAATACTGAGAGACGGGCAACGAACCAACCAACCAACCAATCAAAAACCATATTACCAAATAAAAATGCCGAAGAAAATGGAGGAAATCGTTGAATTGCATCACACGCCAAACTTGCTCTCACTTTGGAGTAGGAATTGAATGACAGACCACTAAATGGACTGGGGGGTTCGAAGGTGACATAGAGCAGATGACTACTTACAAAAAACAATTGTAGAACTATCCTAAAGACGACATGAAAAGATTAGCTGTCTTCGATCATAGGTGCCTGCGTTCTATCTCCCGTGTGAAGTGGTATAATAAGGTGAGCAATATTGAGGTTAGGCGTCGGTGGAGTGCTAGGTAGGTGGGAGGGGTAATCAATCGACGAGGCTGTGAAATTACACCGATTGAGATGGTTAGGACATGTGTTACACATGAATTCCTAGCCATCGCCTTCCTCGACAGTGGGCAATGTTAGCTGACATATGGTCAGGCTGGAAAAGAACTAGAGGTGGTCGAGCCAAAACATGACTTCATCAGTCAATGAAATCCACAACAGTTAGTTTAAGCCAGTCAGCCACGTAGGAACGTGTAGACTTCTTGACTGACTGGTTGGGGTCCTCGGGAGGGTAAAAACCAATGAAGGCTGGAGACAATTGGTGATATGGCTCAAACTCATCGTTGTCAATGGCTGGTGCAGATGCATCTACTTCTTGTGACTTATAATACCCAATGAAACTATATTGTTCTTCGTTATTACTATTCCTTTGTCTCACACCTCTGTTTACTGTCTCTATTATACATTTCTTCTACTTTCTTCTCTTGCTTTGTGTGCTACATAGAGGAAGTGTGGGGACTTGAACTGCAGCACACTTCGGTACAAAGTTCTATGAGGAAAACAGACAGACGGACAGATAGCTGGAAAACAGGATGAAATGGAGATGTGCTGTTCCGATAAGAAACCTAGGGAATCATAGTAATAATAACATTAAGTAATACACACACACAGAGAACAAAAAGAAGTAAGTTTACCTTGTCGGTTCATACGGCGTCCGACAAACACAATACAACATTTCATTCGCCTTCAACTCCGCCTGTTTACAATCAGGACAATGCCATGAATCACCCAATTTATGCGCATCTTTTGGATCCAGGCCGACACATTCAAAATGAAACCAATCACGGCATAGATCACATCCAATATATTCTCTACAAAAAAACAACAACAGAAAAATCAAAAAAATCAAAAAGAAAGCGGCAATCAATAATAAAAAAAGTTTAAACTAAGCACTATGTAATTAGAAGTTAATTGGTGGATGAGGGGGGTGACTAGCAGTGGTGGAATCCAGGATGCCGCACATTTCGTCCTATTTGAGACTCGTCTGTCACCTGGATGTACCTGCACTCCCCAGTGAGTGATGATGATGTTCCCACGAAGACTCGAAATACGCATCCTGGATTCCACTGATAGTCACCCGCACCCACCAATTAACTTCTAATTACATGCCCAGACATCATCGAAGCATCTGTACAAGAAGCCGATAGACATATCAACCTGACCCGACCGAGTACTTCGGTCTAAATGGTTCTCTGAATGATGCCAGCTCATGATGAAATCCTCCATCCAATAAACAACAAAAAAAAATCCCAACAAAGCTAATACTTGAAAATTTATAAGGAATAAGCCAAATGACAAGAAGCGTTCCGACTTCTAAGTCAATAAAAATGACCAAGAAAGATGTAGACTTACACAACCAATCACCACCACAAAGGAGGTTGTATCAGGAGATACAATTCACGCACAAAACTCCACTGAAGGTGTTGTTGTTGTCTGGTAGGAGGGGACAACGAAAGCTTCGTAATTAAATCGACCAGCTCTGACAGAGAACACAACTATAAATCAAAATCATCAACATCAACAAAATCAACACAGACATTAAGTATGACCGAAAACGTATTCCGAAAACATGGACCTCAACAGTCGCCATTCCATATAGAGCAGAGACGTCACACGATATCAGAAGAGTATTCAATAAAAACACGACATTAGAGTTTTCTTCAAAACATCATACACACACACTACAAAGCAACCTTGTCCATATCAAAGACCAGATCCCTAAAGATTCTCTATATAATTTTGTCTATAAAATAAAATGCTTGCTTAGAATCTGATGCGATATACGTCGGACAAACATCTCGAGAAATCGAAATCAGAAGATATGAACACCGTAGAGCCGTCTCTGCTCGACCGCCGAGAAATCCAGTTAGTGAACTAGAAAAGCTTGAAAAATCATCAGCCATAGGTCGTCTACACGCTACGCAATAGAATCAGGCCACGAAACTAGTTTCGACAATATTGAAATAATCCAGAAAAACTTCAGAAATCACAAAGGACGTCTAATATCAGAGCCTGAATAGGAATGACGGACTAAAACAGAATTTAACACGGTTACAACACCTCCCTCCCCCATGAAGTGACAAAATCAACGCGAATGTGATAAGCAAGTTCACTGTGTAAACACACACTGCTTTTATAATATTACACACTGATCAAATCCAACAGTCATTTACACTTGGTTTTGTTATCTTTATCAATTGACCAACTTGACAACGAAAAATGACCCCAGACTAACGAAAGATGATCAAGTTAGTAAACTTTGTTTTGATATCATAACAGATGTACTATTACCTTTGTTATCTGGTTTAGTGATCTTCATTGTTATTTTGACTTTCAATATGTCCCCTTTTAACTTGACCTAAGTAGTATATTTTCTCACCTCTTAACTCTCTGTTATATATATATGCTGAGATTTTGTAAATTCTTCTTGTTTAATATTACTACTTTGATAAAGCTATTAGCAGCAGCATTAAATAGCGAAACGTCAGTAAAAACAATAATATCGGTTTGTTTTTCCTTCATTAGGACTCACACAAAAAACTTGGAGAATCTAGACTTCTCCGATGATATATGTCTGATTTCCCACAAACTGGAAGATATGCAAGTGAAAAGCAACAAGTTGGCAGAAGAAGCATCAAAGATAGGAATTCAAGTGAACATAGAGAAAACAGAGGTGATGAAGATTCCTGGTCAACACCACCAACAGCGACCACAACAACAGACAACAATCAGCATAAATGGAAGAAACCTGAAAGAAACAACCTCCTTCACCTACCCACCAACCTGAGAAGCATCGTTTCAACTACAGGCGGACGGAACTGACGAGGATATCAAAGCAAGAATCGGAAAAGCAAGACAAGCTTTCACTACTCTCAAGTCTGTGTGGAGATCAACACTCAGCGCTCAGCATGAAAAAATAAGATCTGGATTTTCAACTCCAATGTGAAGTCAGTGCTACTATACGGATCAGAGACTTGGCCAGCGCGTCATAAAGAGCATCTCAAACACACTACAGACCTTCATTAACAGCTAGCTGTCTTCGCTCAATACTCAAGATCAGATGGCCGGCCAGAAAAGATCAGCAACAGAGATACCTGGCAATGAACGAACCAACCAGGAACCGATTGTGAAACAAATAGGCAGGAAGAAATGGAGATGGATTGGCTGGCCATACTCTGAGGAAACCATCAAGTGACATCACTAGACAAGCCATTGCTCGAGTGGAACTCGAAAGGGAACCGCCGAGTCGGTCGTCAGTGCAAGGGTGACTTGGAGGAGGTCATGTGAAGAGGAGATGAAAACGTGTGGACAGACTTGGAGCCAGGTGAAGACTCTAGCAGAGAACCGAAGGCAATGGAGACGCACGGCTGAAGCCCTATGTTCCTCTAGGAACTAAAGGAAACAATAATATAATAATGATAATTCAAATTATAACAATTTACACGTAATTTTGATTGCATACATTCTTTTCTTACCTTGATTGATCATAAGGAGTTTTACAGAGGCAGTATAATCCAGTAGTATTAGTAGTCGTAGTCGTTGGAGTAGTATTCGCAGGCGATTCACATTTACTCTGAGGAGGAGGAAAACTAACAACTGGTTCAGGCTTTTGTTCTTGCTTAGGTTGTTGTGGTGGTTGCGGTTGCCGTTGTTCATCATGTCCCTCCTGTTGTTGTTGTTCTTTATCCTCTTGTTCTAATTTAGTTGATAGTTTAGGTCGTCCTTTACGACTACTACCTGTGGTAGCTGCAGAAGCACCACCACCACCACGTCCTCCACGAACACCGCCACGTCCTCGACTGGAGACACCGCCACCACCACCACTGCCTATCGAAGATGGACGTGGGGATTTCATAGGTGTGCTGTGATTGTTATTATTGTTATTATCACCAATAGCATCTGATGAAATGGATTTGGTATGCTTTGACTTTTTCACTTTTGTGGGAACAGATGGCTCCTTTTTAATTTTAATCTAAATGTTTTTCAAAAAAAAATAATAACGATAGACCGCCGTAAGACATAATTATGTAACACACAAACTCTCTCTCTCTCTCTTCATAAATTAATTAAAATAATCCCAGAGTGGTAGAAATTAGAATTCATGAGCCATTCAAATAGGTCCCAGTGGCTGAATGGTATACGAGCTTGCTGTTAAAACAGCATTCCATGCTGCTGCATTACGCTGTCTTCAAAAACACTTCTCTTTTGCGTTTGGGATTAAAAACTAAACTGTCTAATTTCGCCTTTTCAATGTGTATCTACCAATTTAACTGCTCCTTTGGAGCCAGTTAGCTGCATAGGTCGTACAATTAGGCGTGTTTCTCATCGGATTTCCTAACATCATCCTGTGTATTTGGTTAAGTAAAGGACAAACAAAATCTATTCACCAAGCGCTATTCTATCTCATCATAACAACATAACACAAGATTGACGTTAACCATGCTTTCAGAGTCATTTACCGCATACCAACAAATCTCAACTTCGCCTTAAGAGTTCGACTAGTAAATACTGCTGAGTCTGGCTTTTGGGATCCATATTAAGAAGCCTGATTTGTGCATTCAAAAGAAGCTGGTTCAGACATTGTCCTTACTTTGACCATCGAGGTTTTAATGACCCTGAATATCTGTGGAATTCTCCTAATTTTAGTTGATATTTTATTTGCCACTATGTCTTTATTATTATTATTATTTAAGCATCTTTAATGAACTGTAATTCCATTGTGATCTTACTTTACAAATCGATATTATTGTTTAAAAAACACTAATATTGTTATTGACTACTATTCTAGAATATTCTATGTATATAAACATATACGTATATATAATTGTAGAGCCAGAAGAGGAGGAAATTATCGAAAAGGATACTCTTTGCTCACATTTATTTTGTGTTTTATAGATATCTCAGTGAATATTCTACGTATATAAACATATGTAATTTTCAAGTATTGGTTTTGTAGGGAATTCGTTTGATTGGTTGGAGGATTTCATCATAAGCTGACATCAGTTAAAGAGCCATTGGAAAACCTGGGAGTACTGTACAGCTGTTTCGGTCTAGCTTGGGACTCTCCATCAATACGCATCCACCGGGGTTCGAACCCAGGACCCTCCGGTTACCAGGTGAACGCGTAGACCATGTTGTGAATTGGCAGAAGTTAGAATTCATGAACTGTTGACAGGATCAGGTCCAGTGGCTTAATGGTGTACGAGCTAACTAGCCTTGTAACGAGAAGATCCTGGGTTCGAAAACCAGTGGGCGCGTACTGATGAAGAGCTCCAAACAGCTGTCCAGTACTCCCAGGTTTTCCAGTGGTTCTCTAACTAATGTCATCTCATGATGAAATCTTGTAGCCAATCAAATCGCTACAAACCAACACTTGAATATCAAAACAATTTAGTTTATCTAATACCCTACCTGCAATGATTGTCAGGTCAAATACATAGGTCAAACTAGTAGAACAGGGACAGTCAGTCAGACTAGTCGAGCATAAGAACCTAGCAGCAAAATCTAGATTAGTTGACCCGAATAAGATAAGAAATCTAGAGAATAGTTCAGGTATGGCACTCACTACATGCAGTTATACACAACCATACCATAGAATAGGATGGGTGGGATAAGACGACTGTTTTAAAATCTAATGTAGCAGCAGTGTGGAGGGAGAGATTGATAACAGAAGTGGTGTTTATCGAATCAACTGTAAACCAAAACGTGTAATAGGAATGATTCAACACCTGTCCAGTTGGACATCTGGAAAATTCTACTACCCCTACGACGACAAATAGGAGAGAACAAAGAAAACTATAAAACTCAAGTTTCGAAGTCGTGTGATTATAATTGATGAAATGATTATGAACAGCAATAAATTGTGTTCAAAACCTTGTCGATCAGTAAATAAAACTGTTTTACTCACTGTGTGATACATCTAATAAACAAACTAATATGGAATTACTTACTACCATAGTGCCCAAGTTTTACACATATATTAGTAGTAGTAGTAGTAGTAGTAACTTACCGTTAACTTTTGATTCTTAACTTTAGATTTTATTCGATAATTATCTTCATAATGTCCAAGTCCAGGTGATGTACTCGGTGTAGAACAAGCACTTGTAGCCATATCATGATTATCCTTTTCAGAAGCAGAAAAAGAAGACGAAGACGAAGAAGTGGATAATGCACCTCCTCCTTTAAGTGATAATTTCATAGTTAAAGAACTTTTATTAGATGCTGGTGTTGCTGTTGGTGGTTGCGGTTTTTGCAGTAGTTGTCGTAGTTGCCGTCATTATTGGTGTATTGAAATTTCTAATTGGACTTTTAACTGATGATTGAATAGGTTTCAGTGCTGGACTAGTAGGAGTAGTAGTATTATGCTTTGATATTTTAATAAATTCATGATTCAATGCACTTTTACGCGGTGGACGCCTATACGCTAGAGGCAGTTTAGAAGGAGACTGTCTTACTTCTTCTTCTTCTTTAATAGAAGTAGTAGTAGTGGTATTTGTACGCGGTTTCCATTCAGGTTGATTTTCTTGTTCTTCTACAGAAGGATCAATAGAGTCGGTTAAATCATCATCAATCATCGGAATTCTGTGTTCTACTTTCATCGCCATAAGATGATAATGAGGAAGGTGAGGCAAGTTTTCGTTTGGATTTTTTAGATATTGATGTAGCAGTTTTATTTTTACCGCTGCTTTTATTATCATTATTACTGTTATTGTTCGTTGAAGTTTTAGGTCGTCCAGGTTTCTTCTTTGCTTTTTCTAGTAATTTATTCGTTGATTTTGTACGATTACTACCGCCAGCGCCAGCACCAACAGGGGGTCGACCTTTTCGTCCAGTTGATTTTTCATTGGCAGGCTGAACGGTAGTTGCTGTCGTTGTTGTTGTTGACGACTGTTCAACACGTACGGGAATTTCAACAGCTGATGGTTGTTCTGACTTATTACCACCGCCTAACTGGTTACCTTTAATTTCATTTACAGCGATCTAAAAAACAGCAGAAGGGGAAAGAAAAGTGGAAAAGAATTAAAATTGAGTACAATTCATGATGGATATAACATTGCTCCTCAACAGGATTTCTGTTAATCATGACTATCTGAGTATATCCATCAGCGATGGATGGGAGGAGGGGGAGGACTACTCCAAAAACAAGCCAATCTTTGATTGGACACTAGTGTAGTGACGTCTCTGATTGTAATACTTCAGAAAGGATATCAGTTCCTTCAAGATTGCAGATACGCTTTGCTGTAACGACTGACAACAAGCACGAAATCTAGGTCAGGCAGAGATGATGTATTCACATAATGCCTTAAGGACAGTAGTTAGTAACTAGTGTAATATGTGTGTATCTAGTCCTTTGTTTGGTGTATACTGAATTCTATCAGTCATGTTGGCAATGTGGCCACCATAACACTAGGTAGCTCGTCATCACGGTGCTAACTAGCACAAAACCTAGGTCCAAGGCTTCCAGCCGATTGCCTCCAACCATCCAATATCAACAATTTGTAGTAACACATTATTGAAACAAACAAAATCTTATACAATTTTTTTTAAAAATTTTGAGTAACAAAATGCGAAGAGAATTAAACGTTCCAATTCAGAAATAAAACTTCATTACAGATGTGTCATGATGATAACAGTCCGTTTGTAACAACAGAAGACAAGGGCCAGGCAACAGATTGTTTATTGAGAAAATCAAGAGATATTTATAGATTTTTATGTACATTATTATTAGCGTTATTGTTAACAAAGAAGCAACATCTTCTAATTGGTTGTTTTGTTGATGAAGGTTATTCTGTACTGTGCTTGTGACTGTTGCTTACAAACTTATCCATCTATCTGCGAGTCGTATTTACACACGCTAAGTCTGCTATGATTGGTTGTCAAGTTCCTCAAGGTAAGGCTTTTTTCTTATGACCCCGATACGAGACATCAACATTGACGTAAATTGTTGTCTACAATTTTGTCTTGCAGACAGCTCTCATTACACGTTGTGTTCAATATTTTCGAGATCGATTTTCCGCTTGGATAGTAGGGTACTCATATCGGCGTAAACTGGCATGCGCCAAACAAGCCTTCTGTATCCATGCTGACATTTTGTCAGCGATCAACCCGTTGGGGCTGGCTGATACAACTTTCCAAATAGATAAAGTGGTCAACACGCTCTACCAATTCACTCCCTATTTCTAAGCTATTAGGTCCATTTAATTACAATCCTATAGCGTCACCTTACATTTGACAGTAGGAGCGAATCGCATGCCAAACGTTCGAAGATTGCAGCTCAAGGTGTTTAGAAAACTCTGCTCTATTTGATCAGCATCCTGACCTAGAAGGACTATATCATCTGCATATTCTGAGTCAACGAGATTATACCCTGGTAACTGGGAGTTATTCTGTCATCTCTTTGTGGTCATTTCCTTGAAGGTTAGACCATATATCTGCAAATTGTATCCGTCCACGCAAAGTCTGTTGTGGTTGGTTGTTGAGTTAGTCTTTGTTCTTGTTCTTGTTTTTTCTCATGACCAAGATTTTGGACGTAAACACTGACGTCCAACTAGGCTAGCAGATAGCTCTCACCACATACACACTGAGGAAACTGTTGAGTGACATCGCGCGCCAGGCGGAACCACAAGTGGGAAACGATGAGTTGGGGTTGGGGCCAAGACTGATAAGGAAGAGATCATATGAGGAGTAGGACATGAAAACTTACGGTCAATCGTGGGGACGACTGAAGAGAATTGCAGTAAACACGATGAAATACAGATGTGTCGTTGTGTAGTGAGAACTGGCAAGCCAAAATTGTAAACAACAATTTACGTCAATGTTCACGTCCCGAATCGGGGTCATGAGAAAAACAATAACAAAGCTTAACCTTGAGGAAATCACCAACCAATCACAGCAGACTTAACGTGTGCAAATACGATTCGCAGATATATGGCTTAACTTTCTAAGAAACGGTCACAAGCAGTACAGAAAAACCTTCAGCAAGAAAAAAACCAATCAGTAGACGTTGCTTCTCTGCTAACAATAACGCTAATAATAATAATGTACATAAAAATCTATAAATATCTCTTGATTTTCTCAATAAACGATCTGTTGCTTAGCCCTTATCTTCTGTCATTACAGTGGATGCTCTATGTTTCACTCGGAGCACAAGGGAATAATAATAATAATAATAGTAGTAATAATAATAATAATAACTTACATCAGCAAGTGATTTAGCCCAGTTAAATATTAAACGTTTACGTGCAACATATTGTGATTTCAATACGCGAACACGATGTTCCAGGAGTGCACGTTCAAATCTTGCTCGTCTAGCTGCTACAGATGCTTTAGCAGCATTTTTAGCAGCTATTGATCGAGCTCTAGCTTTCGCTTCAAGTGTATTCGGGGATAGTGGACGTACTTGTTGACTGCTACCACCTGAATGGTCATCATGACGACTTCTAGATGAACCTAAATAAAAATAAAATGATAATAAATATGTTTATAAATATAGTAAGTACTCAAAGGTTAAAAAGAAACGCTTTGCTAAAAATATTATCATTGTTCTTGAGTGTTAGAATGAGCGCGTGATAAAATTTCCTCATGATTTGTTGTTTCATTGTTAGTGTGAAGGCCAGGGGTACTACCTAGGCGCCCAAAATGAAGGTGGTTGTCTAGAGGGATCACCTCCCGAGTCTTTGACTCAGAATCTCATCCGCAACGCAGAGAAGGCGAATCCCCATGGTTGCTGGTGGTCAATACAGGTTCATACACCATTCGATCTGTTTAGATTATGGAGCTAATGTACCCCATTGTAACTGCTTTTAGTCTAACCGCTATCCAAACAACCTTCTTGGCAGGGTAGGACATGCAGGAATATAAGTCAAGGCAGTGTAGCTTGTTAAATCACTGTGATACGCAGGCAAGATCGGGGCCGTTTAAGTACCAAGTACTGTTACAAAATAGACAGTAGCCTGTACCTGCACTCACTCTCTTGCAGGTGAACCGTTTGAAGTTATCAATAAGTTCGTGTGTCTGGGTAGTTGTGTGACTGCTCGCGGCGGGGGGTGATGGATGAGATTTCCAACCGTATTACGAAAAGCTAAGGTAGCGCATACGTCAACTTGATCCATCTCTGACGCTGTCGTGAGGTTAGCCTGACTATTAGAGGTCGGGTTTACAATGCTTTAGTGAGCACTATCTTGCTCTACGCCTGAGAAACCTGGCCTCTCCAAGATGAGGATGTGCTTATTCGATCAACAATGTCTCCGTAGGATTGCTTGCGTTCGATGGCATCATCGTTTGAGTAATTCTGAGGACCAGCAGTGTATGTCTGAACACACTGGAGAACACCATTCATTGAGTTTTGTCACCTGGAGATACTGGTTTCGGCGGCATGAACATTTGATACGAATGTAATTGAAGAGGTTTCCATACCTATCCCCGATCGCTAGCCCTGGGACAGGATGAAAAAAGCGGGAAGATGGTCAGACTATGGTGTGGCATTATGAGATGAAGGATATTTGTGTTAAGTTAGCGTCGGTTGGTGAATCACAACTCCTTGGTTAGGGGTCGAGAGATAGCCCAAATCAATGGCACAAAACGATGACGGATATGGCTAAGAATCGCAATCAATGGCGTACGTGCTGCAATTTCCTTCTTTATTCCCTTCTTGACAATATAGAGAAGTGGACGCTTATTGAAAACAAATTGGTTGAGTGGGGGGGGGGGTAGCGCTATTATAACCAATAAAGCAGAAGTTGGAGTTGATGGGGTGGCATTGAAATCTGACCTAATTAACTGAACGATCAACAAGTGTAACCCTTACACCCTGATGGTCCAAGGTTCAATCGTTGGTGCTGAAAAGAGTCCCAAAAAAGGATGAGACAGTTGTCCAGTGCTGCCCAGTTTTCATTGATCTACGTGAAATCAATCTAAATCTCCGCGAAAAAACTCAGAATCTAAATAAAAAAAATATGTTATCATGTATCAGGTAGGGAGAGGGCATGCCTACTCTCGTAGCTGCAGATACACTGTGCTAAGTAAAGCCCGATAAGTATGAAATATAGATCTAGAGTCTTCCTTGCTGACTGTCTGTATAACTAGGTCGGTTGTTATTAAAATTACGAATGACTGATTACGTCATCACGCTTGGCTGACAAGAAGACTTTCAAAAGGAAATTAGAACTTCGCTGAAGAATCATGCTTAATTTTACACAGACTCGAAGATCTATGGGGCAAAAACCAACAACTTGTTGACAGGAATAAGCTGGTAGTGAAAAGCAGGGCTTCAAGAGGCGGAGGGTAGTTAACCAACAATAACAACAAGCGCTACCAGTAACATAAGAAACATGAAAGAGGCCATTTCTTCCTCCTTATCTAGGCAACATTATTTCCAGCTACAGTGAGTGGAGTGGAATGCATGAGGATGTCAAAGTCAAAGCTGTGATCAGAAAAGCAAGACAGATAGATACACAGGCAGAGTCACAAATCTGAAATCAGTGTGAAAATCTGGCTAACTGGCTGGATTCAACATAGAACTGCTGCTCAAGGTGTTCAAAAGACTCCACTGTATTCAGAGCATGAAGGAACATGACTTCGAATTTTCAACACAAATGTTAAATCAATCGAAAGGAAAGAAGATGGGAAGTTAAACACTAGTGTCTACAAGAAACCCACTGACACATTCAAAAAGATATTTGAACTTCCGATCATCCTATCCTGTGTCAATGAAAATAGGATTGGTGAAATGTTTAAGTGAAAACAGAGCACAAAAACTAAATAGTACCAAGGAAAGTCTAAGACAGGAAGCGAGGTATATAAGAGAAGCCTTGAAACTCAATAATTACACTGATAAATTAGTCAGGAAGTATGTAGGAAAATGTTAAAATCAAATAAATAATGATAGTAGTGACAGTGACAATTATAATAATATTAATGATGACATGCATGTCAAACATGCGCAGGATAATGACAACATCAACAATGGGGAATCTAAATCATGAGTAGTAATTCCATACCAGGAAGGAACCTCGAGAACCACCTTACGCAAAATTCTTAACAAGGCAGGAAAAAAAGCGGCTGGCATTCAAACCCACATACTCGATTAGAAACAAGCTTTGTCGATTAAAGGATCCTGCCAGTGGAGCCAGTAAAACGAAAAAATTTAGACTATCTAATAAACTACCTGCAATGATTGTCAGGTCAAATACATGGATCAAACTAGTAGAACAGGGGCAGTCAGTCAGACAAGCCGAGCATAAAAGCCTAACAGCAAAATCTAGATTAGTTGACCCGAATGAGATAAGAAATCTGGAGAACAGTTCAACTATATCACTCACTACATGCAATTACACACAACCATACAATAGGATGGATGGGATAAAATGACAGTTTCGAAGTCTGACGTAACAGGGTGGAGGGAGAGATTGATAATAGAAGCTTTGTTTATCGAATCAACTGCAAACCAACATGTATAATAGGAATGATTCAACACCTGTCCACGGAGATATCTGGAAAATTCTACTACCCCAACGACGACAAATAGGAGAGAACAAAGAAAACTATAAAACTCAAGTTTCGAAGTCATGTGATTATAATTGATGAAATGATTATGAACAATAAATTGTGTTCTAAATTGTGTCATCCAGTAAATAATACTGTTTCACTCACTGTGTGATACATCTAATAAACAAACTAATATGGAATTACTTACTACCACAGTGCCCAAGTTTTACACATATACAAATCAATCGATACTTCTGTATGATTCACAGACTTGGCGTTCGCTGGCTTATCTATACTAAAGATCAGACGGCTGACTAGAAAGGGATCTCTGACAGGCAACGAATCAATCGTGGATCTTCCTACCTACCTACTTACCTATAGCCCGTCAAATATATCGAAGAAACTGGAGATGGATTGGAGACATACACACTGAGGAGACCGTTGAGTGTCATTGTGTGCCATCAAAAACCACTCAAGTGGAACCCAAAACGACGTAGTTTGACGCAGGATGAAGAGGAGGAGATGAAAAGCTTATATAAATACATCCATACAGACATATAAGACGTGTAAACACTTTCTAATTAAAACCTACCTGGAGTCCGACCAGATTGCAGAGCTGAAGCTAAAGCTGACCGACGTGAAGTAGTATTATTATTGAACATGTATGTTTTCGACTGGCCATCATACAGGAAACCATCTTTTTCTACATAAGATCCAGGACTTAATAAAGGATGATCAAGAGATCCGGATGTTGTTGTTGTCTTTGGTGTTGCTGTTGTTGTATTTACCACCAGTGTTGTTTTTGCTGCTGCTGTTGTAGACGTATTCGAATCCTCTTGACTAAGCATTAGAGGAAGTGAAGTCAGCCGAGCAGATATGATGTATTTATCCTTGTCATTATTAGAATTAGTGTTCGACTCGGAATTATTGTTATCATCTATCATTATTATTTCTCACTGGGGGATAAGCAGATTTCGGGGGTAGTAAACTGAAAAAGACACCAACAAAAAAACAAGCTATTCAAACTTACTATTTATTAAAAGTAGTAGTAGTATAATAAAAACTTACTTACTTACTAACATTGGCTAGGGGTCGGGCTATGTAGTAAATTGGCAGAAGTTAGAATTCATGGGCCATTGGATCGGGTCCCAGTGGCTTAATGGTATACGAGCTCGCCTTGTAACCAGAAGGTCCTGGGTTCGAATCCCGGTGGGTGCGTACTGATGAAGAATCCCAAACTAGGACGAAACAGCTGTCCAGTACTCCCAGGTTTTCCAATGGTTCTCTAACTAATGTCAGTTTATGATGAAATCCTGAAACCAATCAAATCCCTACAAACCAACACTTGAGAAACTTACTAAAAAAATGAATCAGGTGACACAAGACTTTTGTCTGTTTGAAGCCATTTTTGTGCACCACGCTCTGAACTACGCTTGTGTGTGTGTGATATTACCTAGTGCTCGAGACTGAAGTAGATGGGAGCGGGACTCGAATCTAGGACCTATTATCGTAGGAAATCAAATTGAGTTCACGATATACAAATTACACAGTTCAAGGGGGTGAAATTTGACCACGGTTTTGTTTGGAAACCGAAACTAATCGGATCACTATATTATCAATGATCATCGAAAAACCAAGCATAGATCTGATGAACTTGATCGAAACGAGCAAACAGAATTCGCAGTTCAAGGTTTTTTTTAGATTGGTTACAGGATTTCATCATGAGCTGACATCAGTTAGAGGAACCATTGGAAAACCAGTCAGGGAGTACTGGACAGCTGTTTCGTCAGCCTAGTTTGGGACTCTTCATCAGTACGCAGTCACACCACGGGTTCGAACCCAGGACCTTCTGGTTACAAGGCTAGCGAGCTCGTAGACCATTCATCAGCCACTGGGACCCGATCCAATGGCCAGTAAGTGCATGAATTATAACTTCTGCCAATTCACAACATAGCGCGAGCACTAGCCAATGTCTTTGTCGAATATTTGTCCTCACAGCCGACCTACTGCACCCTACTGGTCACGACTTCTCACTAGAACCCCAGGTAACTACCTACCTGAATAGATTACTTCGATCTGAATAGCAATCACTACTGATTTATATAAGTGGAGTCCACCCACTCATGTCATGGATCTATGTATATTAAGCAGGAATACTCTGCACATCACTTGACCATTGAGTGGTGATCAGAATAAGACATGCCCCCCCCCACCAATCATTGATACTTATGACTATTGATTTCAACCAGATATGGAGTGTGGCGGGGGGGGGGTTACTCGAGACACTAAAATTCACTGGTCTTTGTTAGGTAGGTTCTCTTCACTGCATTCATACACTGGGTAGGGTATTCTTCACAGGAAGTGAAAGGGTGAATACGAACGTCCAGTGCTTATAAGCAGACTGGCTGGTGGACTTCCACGTCTACCTACGCGAGCTAGAAGACTGGAACTGAATACCTACGGCGTACATGGGTTCAAGGATCTCAACAGATCGAATGGTGGGAACGTAGCTTCTGACACTGCTCTTCTACCTTGTGGATCAAACTTCAAGTCGAAGGCTCTCGGAGTGGGAAGCTCCTTAAAACAACCATCTGCTTCGATCTGGGCATTTGAGCGGTACTACAGCCTTCACGCCTAGTGTGGCGCATCTCCCCCTGTGCCTATAAATGTACCAACTTTGTATTTTGATAATAATTAATAATAATAACAACTAAATTTTCACTATTTTTTTCTGTAATCATTGTTTCACTTGTATATTTCTAATTACTTAGGAATCATAGAACCTACTTTCTTTACCTTTAAGTGTATTTTTATGAACTGATGTAGTTTACCGTAAAGTTCTACAGTGAAATATTCAGTGTATCATAGGAACATTTAGTGGAGATGTGGTTCATCGTTTTAGGGACTAACACTTTTAACCAATGGGTCCAGGGATTTGGGCAACTGCATAAAATTATCAGCTCTTACACAATATGGTATGTAGCTTAGTGCACAGGAAAAATCGATAATACGTGGTAACTGTCTACTAAATGTACAGAGATTTTTTTAGTATGGAACTCTTCAGTAGTACGTAGCCACCAGGATTAGAGACCAGGGGGAACTTCCGGTTACAAAGCGAGCTCGTAGACCATTTTCCAAGTCACTGAGACCTAATCAAATGGACAATGAATTCCAACTCCAGCAAATTCACGAAATAAAGCATAACTGCCAGCCGATGTCAGCGGTGAGTAACTGTTCCCTTGTTCTGACTCAGTATACCCTGCTGGCCACTATTTCTCACTAGAACTCTAGGTAACTTCCTGTGTACAGCCAATCACAAGCGTGCATCAAATTAGCTTCTCAAGTGTGTTGGTTCGCAGGGATATGATTGGCTACAGGTTTGATCATGTAAGTACTGATGAAGAGTCACATACCAGGACGAAACATGTGCCGTAGTAATCACTAATAGTTTTCTAATATTCCTCTAACTGACGTCAGCAAATGACTTAACCTGTAACCAATCAAGTTCCTAAAAAGCAATACTTGATTACGTTATCGTGTCATAAGGAAGTGCGCTTTTTGAAGTGTGTGGGCAGTGGTTACTTCCCGGCTGCCCATACCATGGAAGTTGATTGATTATTCGAGTAACTAAAACAGAAAGAGAGTAAGCGGTATCAGTAAATAAAATCCACAACAGTTAGTCTAAGCCATCCACCCACATAGGGAGTTGTAGACTTCCTAACTGACTGGTTGGAGTCCTCGGGACGATAAACACCAATGAAGGCTGGAGACAATCGGTGATATGGTTCAAACTCATCGTTCTCAACGGCTGGCGCAGATGCATCTACTCCTTGTGACTTATAATACCCAAGAAAACTATATTGTTCTTCGTTATTATTATTATTCTGTTTACCTCATATCTTTGTTTACTGTGGTGCGTCCGGTGGCACAGCGGTTAGGACGCTCGCCCACCACGAATGTGGTCCGGGGTTCGATCCCTGGCCGACCCACTCCTTTACCTCGCTAAGCCAGAAATAAAGCTGGTAAAGAGAGGAGGTTAGGTATGGGGCTAGCAACCCCATCCCGTAAAAATAAACACCACTGCTACCGAAACTTCAAGCCTGTAGCTTGAAGCCCTATGTGCCACTGAGAACGTGAAGGAATTAATAATAATACTAATAATTAATAATAATCTGTTTACTGTCTCTATTTTGATTTTCTTTTTACTTTATTCTTCTTCTCTGGCTTTGTGTGCTGACTGAATTGTGGCGACTCGAACTGCTGCACATCGGTGCAAAGTTCTAGGTTGAAACCAGTCAGTCAGTCGCGTCATGAAGTATATATATATATATATATATTTGCAGAGATATATGATGGGGAAAAAAGCTGAACTTACGTGTTCATAAAAACGCGTATTTCCCAAGGAAAAACAGCATCTTCAGACATCCATTTCTCTTCCACTGATACTTCATGACGTTGTGATGCTACACCGCGTCGATTCCCTCCGTATTCTCCTTCTTCTCCTCCATCATCTTCTGAATCATAATATGAACCACCACGATTGGAACGACCATATGAACGACCATTGCCACCATTCTGACGTGATTGTTGTCGACGACTAGATGATGAACACGGAATACCAACACGCCAACCTTCATCCACTGCTGGATCATAATCTGGATCTTTACCAGCTTTAGAATATTTTTGACCAGCACGTCTTCCTCTTCGCTTATTATTATTAGATGTTGAGGATTCATCAGCATCCGGTGAAACAGAATATCTCGCTGATCTACCACCTTTTACGTTGGTGGAATGATCAGTATTTCCGGTGGATTTTTTTCCACGTCCAGAATAACGATTTGGACGAGTAGTTGTTATGCGAACTTTATAATTCGCTTGTAACCAATATCGATCCTGTAAACAAAAAAAAGATAATATACACAATTATCAATCACATAAGAAACTTCATTCATTTATTTCCCCCCCCCCTCTTCTTATGAATTTAAACATAGCAAAATAAAACAAATGTTTGTGTAGAATAATATGAGGTCATTATCATTTATCACATCGTTGGATTCTTTTCAGCTGCTTACAACCTAAAAGGTGATTGTGTAGATGTACACAGAATTTTGTCATACTTGCAGCAAGGATAAACATGATTTTTGTTAACAGACACACACACAAATTAATGAATACTGTTCAGAATTTCAACTTAGATTAACTTATGAAAGAGGAGGAAGTCAAGATTTAAGCAAAATACAAACATGTAGAATTAGGGGCGGATACATTGAAAACTGAGTTGTACGGTCAAGACAGAAGTAGACAGAAGTTGACGATAAGCAATAAACTGGTCATATATGTGTAAAACTTGGGCACTGTAGTAGTAAGTAATTCCATACTGGTTCGTTTATTAGATGTGTTGCACAGCGAGTGAAACAGTATTATTTACTGAATGACAAAGTTTCGAACACAATTTATTGCTGATCATAACCATTTCATCAATTATAATCACATGACTTCGAAACTTGAGTTTTATAGTTTCCTTTGTTCTCTCCTATTTTTCGTCGTTGGGGTAGTAGAATATTCCAGATGTCCGTATGGACAGGTGTTGAATCATTCCTATTACACGTGTTGGTTTGCAGTTGATTCGACAAACAAAGCTTCTTTTATCAATCTCTCCCTCCACCCTGTGACATTAGATTTTATAACTGTCATCTTACCCCATCCTATTGTATGGTTGTGTGTAATTGCATGTGGTGAGTGATATAGCTGAAGTATTCTCCAGATTTATAATCCTATGAGGGTCAAGTAATCTAGATTTTGCTGCTAGGTTTTCATGCTCCGCTAGTCTGATTGCCCCTGTTCTACTACTTTGACCTATATATTTGACCTGACAATCATTGCAGGCTCCACAGGATCCTTTAACCGACAAAGCTTGTTTCTAATTGAGTTTGTGGGTGACTGAGTGCCAGCCACCTTTATTCCTGCCTTATTAGGAATTCCGCGTAAGGTTACCGACGTTCCTTCCTTGTATGGAATTACTACTGATGATTTAGATTCCCCACTGTTGGTGTTGCCATTATCCTGTGCTTGTCAAACATGCATGTCGTTACTATTATTATTATTATTATTATTATTATCACTACTATCATTATTTATTTTACTTTATTTTTACATTTCCCTACATATTTTCTGACTAATTTATCAGGGTCATTAATAAGTTTCCAGGCTTCTCTTATATGTGTCACTTCCTGTCTTAGATTTTCCTTGGTACTACTTAGTTTTTGTGCTCTATCGCTTAACCCCTTCACCAGTCCTATTTTCACTGACATAGGATAGGGTAATCGGAAGTCCAAATTGTTCCTTTGAGGCACAAACATTTTGGTACATGCTCAGAGAATCTGATATATGCCCTTCTTTCTATTCTCTCAATGTAACTGCTCCCACAGATACACGTAAATATGCATACATAATTCTAGTAGAATCAAGTAAAAAAATAAAGAATACATATTACTGCTTAAATCTATATACTACTGATTGATTGAGGTGAGTAGTTATATACCACCCATATGAAAAAGTAATGCTTGCCAGCCAAATCGAGGTGACCTAAACACAGAACGGCTGTTTTGTCCATTTGACGTCAACCTGGCTGCCAAGTACTACGGGTTTACGAGAGTGGTATGCTAATACTCATCTCAATCAATCAGTAGTTTAGTTTTACGCATTTTATACTCGCTGTCATGACTACTGGATGTAGAACTCTGCCAGCCCGCCTGAACGAGCTGGATTCAGGAAAGGCAAGCCATATGCTCATCAAATTGCTACTCTACGCATCATCATCATCACGGAACAAAGCATAGAATGACAGTCAAACACCCTTTCTCTCTCTCGCTACCTCAAACTTCATCGACTTCGAAAAGGCCTTCAATAGCTCAGTGTTGACCAGAAAGTGATTTGGAAACTACTTCATTTCGACGGCGTGAAGTACGCCAAGTCTTTATCAACCTCATTCAACAGCTGGCTGGCTATATGACAAATGCCACATGTCAAGTGATCCACAACGGAAAACTCAGAGAGGCATTCTGTTGAAGTGAATACAGGAGTAAGACAAGACTGACTGCCTGTCTATTATCACCGATGATATTCCTAACTGTAGTGGACTGGATTATGCGTCAGACTGTACGTGGGGAGTGAGAAGACAGGAATAGGCTGCAGTACCTGATAAGAAAACTCTAGAAAATTTGGATTTCGTGCATGGGTGATTTATGTCTAATGTCACACAAACTCGAAGACTTACAGTCAGGCGAAAACCAACAAACTTGTTAGAAGAGGCGAGCAGCAAAGACAGGACTCTAGATGAACGAACCATTTTCTCCATCCTTATTCCACCAAGCTTTATTGTTATTGTACTTCTGATATTCATAATCCTCCCAACTTTTTGGTTTTTATTTGTTTATTTTCTGATAAGTGTAAACATCATTTAAGCTATGTAATAACTGTTATTTTTTGTCTTTCCCCTCACCATGCTGTTATATTAACAGAACATTAGATTCAATAATCTATAACATGCGAAAATTTTCAAACTGAAACGCCAATACTGTTTGAAACAAACTCACTGTTATTATTACCATTATTATAGTTATTATTCTCATTTCTTACTTTGAATATTTTTGACTTTGTATCGTAAATGTGGACAAATCCCTGTGGTTAATTTTGTTTTAATTTTATTTATATTTTGAGTAAGTACTGTTTTTTGGGGATAAGGCAGATTACTATTATTACTATTAAAAGTTTCGATCAGCTCTATACAGTAGAATGCAAAGATCGGCATCCTGTGTTAAGACTACAACACAACGACTTTAGTCGTTCACAAAGAGATTCAAAAGAAATGTGCAGGGGGAAAAAAGTAACACATGGAAGAAACACGATGGTTTAGTTTAACAGGGAGATGACACAGAGTAAATATATCTGTGCTAATGAGAACGGTTTTAAGTTATATCAGTTTCCTCCAGCTATTACTGGTGTTCTTAGTATCTTAAGGTCCCCCAAGCGGGCAGTCCACACCCACCCTATGCGGCCGACTTCAACCAACTGTCAAATACTTCATAGATTGATGACAGCTTTTAGTTTGACCACTTCTAATTTTATTTTTTCCAACCTAATTCTGTATCGGTTAACACTGACTGTCGAGGAAGGCTATGGCTCGGCATGTGCCACACACATGTTCTAGCCATCTCAATCGATGTGATGTAATTCAGAATTTCATGGATTGACACCCCATTTCCCTACCTAACAAAAGAATACACAAATAATGAGATACATAACTTCTGCTGTTGTTGCTGGAGTATTATTAGTGAACAAAAACTTACCAGAGGTTGAATTTCAACAATACGTCTCACTGAATACGGTACAACATTTTGTCTCCCTGAAAAGCCACCACCACCCCCGCCGCCGCCAGTGCCACCAGCACCACCTCCTGAACATCCAACACCATCATCCTCGTCATTCACATCCTCCCCATCATCATCAGCATATGTGTCCAATGTCTTTTTGAAACACGGTTGACCAGATGAATCAAGTACATGTGCATCGTCTGGTGGGTCGGCTAATATATCATCCCATCGAATACAATGCCATAGGGTACGTAGAAGCAGTGCGAAATTAGCCAAATCTAACCCAAAGGAAATATTATCACCCTTTTCACCAGCCGCACCACAAGCACCGCCGGTAACACCAGAACATCCAGTACGTATTTGACTTAGCCGGAAACGCCAGGATTCTGCGAAATTCGGTCTGGAACTTGGATAAAGCCAGTTAACCTGTTATGAAGAACAAATAACAGCTATGTAATGCAGACAATTTAATCAACTTTTCTTATAAAAAGAATGAAATATATAAAAAAGGGACATGAGTTGCTTCAGGACTGCAGATACACACATCAACTGCCTTGCTGATTGGTGAGTGCCAACAACTAGCACGAAACCTAGGTCCTGGCAAGGCTTCCTAACAATTGCCTCCAACCCTCTAAAACAAAAATTCAGAGTGCACCATGATGGAGAGTCCCCTCGAAGTGATGGCCACACTGCAATAAATGAAGGACTAGACACATTACACTAGTTACTGACTAGTGTTCAATCAAAAATATCCAATACAGATCTACGAGAGGTCAATCACGAGCCAGAATAACTCAGTGGTAACGTGGGGATGAAGCGGGTTCGAGTCCAGGAAGGGACATAAATTTCTTCAGAATTGAAAATACGCCTGCCTTGTTGACTGGCGAGTGGCAAATAGGCATGAAACATACGTGTCTAAGGCTTCCTTCCGATTGCCTTCGACCACCACTGATACCAAAAATTCATGATGAAATCCTCCGACCAATTCACAATGAATTATAAATATTCTTTAAATACCTCTACAACAGTTACCTACCTAAACCATGTTATCTGACGTATCTGTTCCTGTGGAGTAAGCCAGTTAGCTGCTTGGGCCGTTTAATTAGGCGTGTTTCTCGTCGGATTTCCGAACATCATCTTGCATAGTGGTTGGTTAGGTAAAGGACAAACAAAATCTATTCGCATACCGCTATTCTATCTCATCTTGTGGATACAACAGAACACAAGATTGATGTCAACGAGGCGACTTTCAAAGTCATTTACCGCATACCAACAATTCTTAACTTCACCTTAAGAGTTCGACTACTAAATATTGCTGAGACTGGCCGTTGGGATTCACATTAAGAAGCCTAATTGATGTGTCCAAAAGAAGTTAGTTCAGACACTATCCTTACCCCATCGGCCATCCAGGTTCGAATGACCCTCAATTTGTTGTGGAAATTTCCCTAATTCTATTCGCCATTACATTTTTATTATTATTGTTATACTTTATGCATCTTAAGTGAACTGTAATACCATTGTGATCTTACTTAACAAATCGATATTATTTAAAAAACACCAAGGTATTGTTAATGACTACCGTTCTAGAATATTCTATGTATACAAACATTACGTATATAATTGTAGAGCCAGAAGAGGAGGTAGTTATTTCTTTTATTTTTTATAGATATGTGCGTCGGTGGCACAGCGGTTAGGACTCTCGCCGACCATCCACATGGTCCGGAGTTCGATCCCCTGCCGATGCACACCCGATATCAATGGTCGGCCTGCGAAATTTGGGCTACCGATATCACATGCTGAAAATTCCATACCTGTATCAAAAATACGGTGTGGAATCAAGCTATAATCAAAATATTTTAAAAAAATCTACTTTGAGTAAGACTGCTAAAAGCCATTCGACTGCCTACATATTAGCACGGTAAAAATGGATATAAAATGATGATATTGGTGAGTCGGATTTCAACTATTTCAACTAACAACAAACTTTGATTATTTTCATTGAATTTATAGTCCAGCAAACTTGCCATCCAAATGGTCCTCGTTAAATGTTTGATATTGTACTCCTACGAAACACAGAGGGCCTCAATTGAATCGCGTATACGTATTTTTTTACTTATTACCTCCCTTTGATGAGAGTAGGTGATTTTCTTGACGCCTGCCTACCCTTCTTGGATGTGTTAGTTATTTCTAAGATTCCATATGCGGAAGCGAATGCCCCCGTTTCCTGTTGTTATCATAGGGTGAATATTTCGAAGATCCATAGCTGACACAAGGTTGAATGTGATCTATTGTAGATGATAACAGAGAGCGGAAACTACTTCTAGTTTGTACTAAGGCTGTACAGTTACTACTATACCAAGCTGAATAAAAGTTCTGATCGTAATCAAACCCGTGATCAACTGACATAACGGTGGAATGGTGAGCGCGTATCTATCACATTCCAATCAGGACTCACTAGATGAATTTATCACCATCATAGTAAGCCACTACATCTTCATTGAACGCCACATTGCATAGACCGTCCTGGGCATGCAGATATGAGAACCCCCTTTTGCGCAACAAGTATCAACTGTGTCACTGGAGAGAGATTACCATATTTTGTTGGTATATATATAAGCGGAACTGATGAAGATATTAGAGCGAGGATTGGGAAAAAAAGCAAGCTTTCGTTACTCTCAAGTCTGTGTGGAGATCTGGAATTTCAACTCCAATATGAAGTCAGCCAGTGCTACTATACGGATCAGACACTTAGAGCGGTGTCATGAGAGGCACTTCGAATAAACTACACACCTTCATCAACAGCTAACTGTCTTCGCTCAATACTATTAAAGAACAGATGGCCGGCCAGAAAAGATCAGCAGCAGGGATCTCTGGCAATGAACGAAACAACCCAGTAGGAACCAATTGTGCAACAAATATGCAGGAAGAAATAGAGGTAGACTGGTCATACTCTGGGAAAACCAATCACTCTAATTGAGTGACATCACACACCAGGCCATAGCTCAAGTGGGACCTGAGTGGGAAGCGGCGAGTTGGTCATTAGTGCGAGGGTGACATGGAGGAAGTGATGCGAAGAAGAGATGAAAGCATGTGACTACAACATGTGGAGTCAGGTGAAAACGTTAGCTGAGAACCGAACGCAATGGAGATATGCGGCTGAAGCCCTATGTCCCCCCTAGGAACTAAAGCAGACAATAATATATATATATATATATCACCGATTCACTCTAGGTGTATGAAAGCTATATATTCAAAACACTCCTACAGGAAGTCAATCACGAGCCAGACTAACTCAGTGGTAGCGTCTCTGACTGCAGCACTGGGTGATGCCACGGGTTCGAACCTAAGACGGGACATGACTCCCTTCAAGGTTGCAGATACGCCTTGCTGACTGGTGAGTGACAACTAACACCAAACCTTGGGTCCGAGGCTTCCTGTGGCCAAATGCCTCCAACCACTTAACAAAAATTCAGAGTGCACCTTGATGGTTGAGCCGCCTAATGGCATGGTGGGGGCACATTGCGAAAACTTCACCGCAACAAGTGTATGAAAGCTATACATACAGCTTACACACCATACTTCAGGTAAAATACACCACAAATAATTAAAGGACATACACCGAAGTAAAATAGTGAATAAGAAAGAAAAATTATATCTTTCCTTGCCTGCCTGCCTGACCAACACCTACCTGTGATAATCGTTTCTTTTCAACATCATAGCCTGGAATTTCACGTCGACCAGCAGCCAATATTACAGAACGTAAATTCCTTGGATTCCAACGGAATAGACTTGATCTCAAAGGAATCTAGGATAGTACAAAAAGGAAAATAAAAAGAAGGTTAACTGGTGCTTCTGGAAATGTCTACTCAAAGTTTTCCCCCATTTCCACGCTTTGTTTTATTTTAACAAAACACACATCTGGTACATAGTTGGCACCAAGAAATGATTCACAGAGAATCTCACAGTTTGTATGAAGGCTGAGGTACTTCCCGAAAGCCCAGACAGAAGCACGTAGGCTATCTTAAGGGATCACCCTTTTCCACCGAGCCTTTGACTTGAAGTCAGGTTCACAAGGCAGTGAAGAAACGTCAGAGGTGATGTTCCTATGGATGTCGGTGACCAGAACAGGTTTATACGCCATTCGGTCTGCTCAAATTCTGGAGGCCATGTGCACCATAGGCTTGGAATCACGGTCCTAAAGCTCTACTAGGTGTGTGTTTTTCGGTTCAGTTGCTGCAAGTGCCAGATGTTTGCATTCGCTCTTTCACTTCTGTAAGGAACACTCGAATCTCGTGAGGGCGGCAGTGTATCAGACTTACATGACATAGGCCGTGAAAGCAACTATAATTGCAACTTTTTAAAAGATACTAGCTAAACAGTGACTTAATTTGAGTAGTACAAGACCGCGTCGGTGGAACAGTGGTAGAATGCTCGTGTATGTAATCAGGAAATGGATCCCCAGTCGACGCATTCCTTTATCTCGCTAAACCAGTAAAATAAGACTGGTAAAGAGGGGAAGGTTAGACATAAGGCTAGCAACCCCATACAGTAAAAATAAATACCAATACTACCGAAACGTCAAGCCTCTAGCTTGAAGCCCTAAGTTCCACTACGGGGAACGTAAAGGAATAAAAAAAATACACAAGACCACCTCATCTTGTATCTGTCAGTTCAACTTTGGAGCCAGTTATATTGATCGTAGCTGCAGGAACTTAATTTTTCGTGTTCAGGAACACCTACTAGTGTGTGTGGCTAAATAAAGGTGTAGTGAAAATCATTAACAGCTCTAATTTAGATCACCTCGTCCACACAGGCCACAAATCTAACTAGCATTGAAGAGACTTTTTCCACCATCTATCATCGGGAATTGAACAAATTGCTAAATGCCTCTAGATACCGAAAACTTTGAAGAGCAAGGGCAATCACAATTCACTTGAAACAATCAAAGCACCCCGTGCATGCAAAAGAAACACGTCCAACCAATAATAGTATCCTGGCTTGCTGTGGAACCTATGAATTCATAAATTCTGCATTATTATTTTAATAATTATTTATCTGATATTTAGGTTAGTGTTATATTGATGCATATTATTACTCACAGATGTTTTTAAACTGTATTCTAACCTAGTGATCTAACTGATTCAATGTCGATTAAAACAAAAATATTGTTAATCACCATAACGCTTCAAGTCTTGGTTTGTAGGGATTTGGTTGATTGCTTACAGGAATGCACCATGAGTTGACATTGGTTAGAGAACCACTGGAAAACCAGCTGGGAGTACTGCTCAGCCGTTTCGTCCCAGTTTGGGACCCTTCATCAGAATTCACCCAACGATGTCCGAGCGCAGAAGTTGGAATTCATGGACCACCGGATCAGGTCCCAGTGGCTTAATGGTCTACGAGCTCGCTAGCCTTGAAACCAGAAGATCCTGGGTTCAAACCCCACAAAGTGTGGGTACGTACTGCTGAAGCAGAGTCCCAAACTAGGCTGGCGAAACAGCTGTCTAGTACTCCTTGACTGGTTTTCCAATGGCTCTATAACCAATGCCGGTTCATGATGAAGTCCTGTAACCAATACTGCCTCAATTATTAAGATACAGAAGAAGTTATAGGAAACAAGATTCTTTGTTCAATAAACACGGTCTGTGCCATGAGAACTATTTATTTCCCACTTTTACAATCACAACACGAAAAAAAACGAGTAACTCAATAATAAATACATTCTTTACCATTTGGATTAATTTTAATGTCTAACTTGTGTCATGAAAAAACACCAGTTGAAGAACCATTGAAATCAAGTGGTTTCCTCCTACTCTGTGTCTTTCCAAGCACACCCAAGAATCCACCAGGGATCCAACGCTGAACTAACAAAGTTACAAGATCAACCTTGTTAACAGTTCACAGGCTCATTTAGCCAAAATTCAATGATTCCATGATAAAGCACTACCCTTGTGGTGAGAGCTGTCCACAAGCCAAAATTGCATGCAACAATTTGCGTCAATGTTTACGTCCCGAATCGGGGTCATGAGGAAAGAACAAGAACAAAGACTAACCTTCAGGAACTCAACAATCAATCATAGCAGACTTAACGTGTGCAAATACGATTCGCAGGTATATAAGCGGACTGTCTAGGAAACGGCCACAAAGAAATAATAGAATAACCTTCAGCGAGAAAACAACCAATCAGAAGACGTTGCTTCTCTGCTAACAATAACGCTAATAATAATGTACATAAAAATCTATAAATATCAGTTCATTTTTTGAATAAGCGATCTGTTTCGTGGCCCTTGTCTTCTGTCGTTACACCCTCACTCAAACAATATATCTTCAATAAACATCCACTTCACCTCGATACGGACAAGACCAGTAGCCACGACTTCTCGGCACAACTTAAGGGCATCTACCGTCATCACGAACCAACATTAGTTAGAGATCACTGATATGATTTGCACTGGGAAATGAGCGGAAAAAAGGGACCCCAAAGGACCCGAACTCACGATCGATACAGACTGGATGACTAACACCTTAACTATCCACGTGCTCATAAACAAGGGGTTAATTCTGTGATGATTACATCTCATCGCAATAATCAATAACAACCAACGTCAAAACTTACTCTATTTCGCTGCTGTTCGCCGTTATCCAAGCGGGAAGATTGCCTGACCACAGGAAAATTTGATGGCCATGAATAACAATTGACAAATGGCAAAAATTGTGGTAGAACAGTCATATGGGAATCAGTATCTTCAGTTTTCATAGAAGCAGTAGTAGTAGTAGTAGTAGTACCAACGGATGTCTTTTTAGTATTGCGTAAAAATTTATTCACAAATGATTTACTATTTAAATCGAATTCAGTAATACTATGCAGTGAAAGAGAATATGGTGCACTGACTGTTGGTGAACAACGATTAACAATCTCTTGATATTTAGCTAATTCGGATTTAAGCGATTTAATCTGCGCCTCCAATTCTTGTGCCTAAAAATAGAAGAATACGAAAGTAGAACTTGTAGGATAAGTAAGGAATAATAACAATAGTAATAATAATAATCCATGAGAACGGGGCTAAAAAGTCACAAATTCATACAACTCCCAGCAAACAGTCTTACGTCAGATTTAGTCATTAGCTAATTAAGGATGAAAGGATCGTTGTAAACTGAAGTGAACAGACTTTGTACAGACGTTCAGCGGTTCCAGCTGCCACTCTCCCTTCATGTAACAAACATAGCAAGAGGAAGACAAATTCAAAAGAGAGTATGAGGGAAAAACAACAATAGTAATATGGAAGAACAATGGAGTTTTAATGGATATTACAAATCACAAAAAGTGAATGCATCTGCGCTGTCATTGGGAACGATTTTGAGCCAGCCATATTACCAATTGTCTCCAAGCTTAATTGTTTTTTTACCACCCCGAGGATTCCAACCAGAGAGTAGTCTACATCTCCCTACGTGGCTGCCTGGCTTAAACTAACTGTTACAGATTTCACTGAGTGATAAAGCTACATTTAGGTTTGACCACCAGTAGTTCTTTTCCAACCTGATCCACCCTATGTCAGCAACTAGAATTGCATGCTCGATGTCCGGAGATGACAAGGTGTTCGAGGATAGAGCTCCTGCTATTCTTCTTTTCTCCTCTGGCTAACCAAGCTGGACAGTGTTCCAGAATACGTTTACGGACGACTTGACGTTGCGTACGGCCGATATACTTTGCTCCACACGAGCAAGTAAATTGATAAATACACACTGAAGTGGCCAAAAGCGGTATCTTGTCCTTAGCGTTAGACTAGATTAACTTTCTGCAGGAGAATGTGATACGTAGGGTGGTTGTTGGAGAAGAAGACATGAATGCTTCACAGTACTACACAGAGTCCCTCAATATCGTACAAAGGGACTCCACATACAACATCTGTACATAGCTGAAGCATTAGCTATTCGAGATCTAAAACTGGACCTCCGCATTCAAAAGTGATACATACATTCACTCGCCCTACCGTGACCAGCGTAAAGTTCTTCCTCTTATTTTGCTTCTTTTCTTTTTATTATGTTAGTTCACTACTTTATTATTGTTGTTATTGTTATTACTGCTATTATATTATTATAATTATTATTCCCATCATCCATATTTTATTACCACTCTAACACTGTTTATTAATAACATAACATGCGTTTTTATACAGATTTTATATAAAAACACTTTATCGCCTTTCCACTAGTTCCTGTCCATTCTACACGAGCTGACTGATTAGTTATTATGTCATGCCAAATTCTGTCAATTTCCTAACTTCCAGTTAGTCATCCCTTCAAGGTCATACCTTACATTACGTAACAAAGGACAAAGTTCACCAGTATCTGATTTATCTAAAGATTTCTTGGTTAAATATAATTACGATTGTACAGCTCATGAAAATGAATCGTCGAAAAGAAAATTTTCTTCGCTGTTTATGCCTTTTTCTTATTAATATTTGTTGCTTGTTTTAAATTCGTATAGGGAAAAAAAAGTGTCTTCATTTCTACTGTTGATGGTGATTACCGTTTGATGCGATATCTTCACCACTTGATTAATTTTTCAGTTTGTAAAATGCAAGACATGAATCGGCATCATCATCGTCAGTGAAATCTAAATCTCCCAGTGTCTTCAGATCAATCCGACGTGCGTCCTAATACAGATGGCCAGGGGAAAACGATACGGAACAAAGAAACTTTACAACGAAACAAGCAACAACCTTTCATCCATTAAATATGCTAAAGAAAATGCGGATAGGGTGGCATTCAAACCTACAAACTCAATCAGAGACAGGCTCTGTAGGCTAAAGGACCCTCTAGGTTGACCCAATTAAACAAAATAATATAATTTACAAAATACCTTGCAATGACTGTGAGTTAAGTCAACTACATAGGTCAAACTAGTAGATCGGGGGTAGTCAGATTGTCGGAACATAAGAATTTACCCAAGGTAAGAATAGTTGACCACGAAAAGATAAGTAATTTAGAAAAAAGCTCAGCAGTTTCACTCCATGCATTAAGACATAACCACACAATAGCATGGTGGGAGAGGGTTAAAATTCTAAAAAGTAATCTAGGTAGGTGGGTGGAGAGAGAGATTGATTACTGAATCCTGCCTGGTTCATCGAGTCTACCTACGCCCAACACATGCAGCAGAAATGACTCAATGCAAATACCAGAAATATGGAAGATATTATTATCACCAGTCAGTCAAATCAGAGGAGGATAATAAATAGTCTCAAAATTCTATCTCAATTCACGTACATCATAACACTTTAACAAGTTACTTATTTTGACTATATAAACACTCGTCTTATTTCCCATCTGATTGTACTGGATTGATAACACTCATAGTATTATTTCTGAATGTACGTTATGCCATACTGATTTTTATTCAAATATCTAATCAATTCCATACATGTATATAAATGAAGGAAAAAGTTGTGTAACTTGATATGATTATGAGCAATAGTTTGTGCTCGAAACGTGGTCATCAGTTAATATTACTGTACAACAAACGCTGTGTCATTTAACAAAATAAAATCTTACCCATAATGGAGTTATACTCTACCACCACAATGCCCAAGTTTTATGCTTATATCAATAACACGCTGAGGAAACCGATGAGTAATATCACACAACAGATTAGTGTTTGAGTGCAACACACAATTTGGACACAGATCCAAGAGTGACATGGAAGAGGAGATGAAAGTGTACATGCGATCGTGAAGCAAGCTAAAAAAGGATCTGCGGAGAACAGAATAAAATGGAGATGTGGTGTTGAACCCTCCCCCCGCTCTCTCTCTCTCTATGTTCCCCTATGAACCCAAGGGAAAAATAGTAATAATAATGATAAAAAATAATTTATATGAATAACTAACCTCAGCACGAACTGTTGCAATCTGTGCATTAATTGAATCCAATTTAGCACTAGCCTCAGTGACTTCACGATCCAAGGCCAATGTTGCCTCATCAACCATTGGAGTGTGTATTTTAACTGTTGGACCAATTTGTTTAAGTCCACTTAGAGCGCCTCGAACAGCTCCACCTTGATATTCACTAATTAAAATTTTTGAATCGTTTGTTACAAGCCGTGTATCCTCATCCATCAGGGTATTACGCATCTGTTGAACTTTAGACATTGACCGCCTACCTTGATGCATATCCATAGTAGTAAGAGTAGGGGTTGGGGTTGAAGAATTTGATATGACAGAACGAATGGCTGTTGTTGTTGTTGCTGCTGCTGTTGACGTTAATCGATTATAACCACCTATTGTGATTGTGTGTTTGTGTAGAAAATAAAAACAGGCAATTGAAAACAAAAACATTTGTGTAATGGAAATGAGGTTAGCAAAACAGAATGTTGATAAAAGTAAGAAAACTTTCGGAAATATTCGAACAGTGTTTGCGAATTAATTATCAGTAGCCTGCCATGCTATGTGATCTCAAGGTTGATCACGAATTGATTTCAGATTCTGATCCATTGGAATCCGGGGAGAGGGGGAGTAATTCCATATTAGTTTGTTTATTAGATGTATCGCACAGTGAGTGTAACAGTATCATTTACTGGATGACACAGTTTGAACAAAATTTATTTATTTTTCATAATCATTTCATCAATTATAATCACACTACTTCGAAACTTGAGTTTTATAGTTTTATTTGTTCTCTCCTATTCGCCGTCGTAGGGGAAGTAGAATTTTCCAAATATCCAGATGGACAGATGTTGAATCATTCGTATTACACGTGTTGATTTACAGTTGATTCGATAAACAAAGCTTCTGTTATCAATCCCTCCCTCCACTCTGCTGTTACATTAGATTTTAAAACTGTCATCTTATCCCATCCCATCGTATGGTATGGTTGTGTGTAACTGCACATGGTGCAGTGCTATAGCTGAACTATTCTTTAGATTTCTTTTCTTATTCGGATCAACCAATCTAGATTTTGCTGCTAGGTATTTATGCTTGGCTAGTCTGACTGGCTGCACCTGTTCTACTACTTTGTTCCGTCTATGTATTTGACCTGACAATCATTGCAGCTAGGGTATTAGATGCACTAAATTGTTTCGTTTTAAAGGCTCCACAGACAAAGCTTGTTTCTAATTGAGTTTGTGGGTTTGAATGCCAGCCACTTTTATTCCTGCCTTGTTAAGAATTTTGCGTAAGGTGGTTCCCGAGGTTCCTTCCTGGTATGGAATTACTCAAGGTAACTTCCTGTAAAGAACCGGTTGTTAGTGAGCTTCAGATTAACTGTCAAGTATCGGTTTGGAGGGATGATTTAATTGCTTACAGGTTTCTGGCATCAGTCAGAAAACTATTGAGAAACCAGAAGGAAGTACTGGACAGTTGTTTTATTCTAGTGAAAGAGTCCGAACTAAAACAATTCAAGGGCTATGAAAATGGCATCATAGCTAGAAATCTTTGTTTTCAAAATACAAAACTGTGAGGATACTTAGAGTTAGAACGAAGGAGAATGAAAACATCAGCATAAAACATGAAGGATTTCTTTCCATTTCATAGAGAGTTAGTCTTTAATCATCCTAAAAACATTAGTTGGACAACGTAACTCCTAACCGGACCTAGCCTAACACAGTTGAGCACTTTATAGATTATTTTCCTCTTTTATTTCTTTGCATTCTGAGTCCAACGCATAGGGTTTCAAGCTGGAAGATGTAAAGTTTCAATACCACACCCAACCTCCCCTCACTACCAGGCCTACTTCCAGGGTAAACGAGGCTTAGAGGTGAGCATGTGGACTCGGGAAATCAAACCCTGGAATCACATGAGGCGTGGTTGGCGACTGTCTCACTACTGAGTCACCGACTATGGATTACTGTCATGCTTTAGTTTGACAACTTGTAATTCATTTCCAGACTAATTCCAAGTCATTAACGACTGCGTTCTGGAGAGGAAAGAGGCTTGACCTGATTACTAACACATGCCTCATCTACCGTAAACAACGAAGACTACTGATGAGAGCATTCAAGATTGAAATCATTGAAAAAAGAGGATCAACCCTCTAAAGAGTGATTTTCGTCATAAATCAATCATAAATCACTGCCTTATACAAAACCCACAACAACAACAACAGACAACAATCAGCATAAATGGAAGGAACCTGAAAGAAACAACCTCCTTTACCTACCTGGGAAGCATCGTTTCAACTAAAGGCGGAACTGACGAGGGTATCAAAGCAAGAATCGGAAAAGCAAGACAAGCTTTCACTAATTTCAAGTCTGTGTGGAGGTCAACAGCACTCAGCATCAAAAATAAGATCCGGATTTTCAACTTCAATGTGTAGTCAATCAGTGCTACTATACGGATCAGAGAATTGCACTGCGCGTCATAAAGAGCATCTCAAACAAACTACAGACCTTCATTAACAGTTGTCTTCGCTCAATACTACTCAAGATCAGATGGCCGGCCAGAAAAGATCAGCAACAGGGATCTCTAGCAATGAGCGAACCAACCAGGAACAGATTGTGAAACAAATAGGCAGGAAGAAATGGAGATGGATTGGCTGGCCATACTCTGAGGAAACCATCAAGTAGTGACATCACTAGACAAGCCATTGTTCGAGTGGAACCCGAAAGGGAGGCGGCGAGTTGGTCGTCAGTGCAGGGTTGACTTGGAGGAGGTCATGTGAAGAGGAGATGAAAACGTGTGGGCAGACTTGGAGCCAGGTGAAGACTCTAGCAGAGAACCGAACGCAATGGAGACGCACGGCTGAAGCCCTATGTTCCTCTAAGAATTAAAGGAAACAATAATAATAATACAAAACCTACATCATATATGAAGTTCATTCAGCCTTAATCAGAAAGAGGAAATCAAAACAAAATAATAACTATGGTGTTCGCCAACATCACCGCAAACTTACCACAAACAAGTTGACGAGCTGTATTCGCGGCAATAAGACTTGCAAATGAAGGTGTACGATTTGGTAGAGGTTGTGAAACAATTGGATCAGTAACACTACTATTGGATGTATTCACAGATGACAAAGGACTATTAGTTGGACCAGCAGCTAGAGTACGTCGAAGGATAGCTGGTGATCTACGCGGAAGTATTAGAGGTAAAGATGAAGGTGTACTAGGCGTAGAAGTAGTTGTATTAGAGGCAGGAGTTGTTGTTGTTGTAGTAATTGCTGCACCCGAATCTGAAGATATATCTAAAAGAAGGTAAAAACATTGAAATTATATTGATTAGCTGAAACAATATACACACATCAATTGTTTTCATGTTTACATTCGATTATGAATTAATTCATATAAGACAAGATAGATATCCACTAACTATTATTGGTTATTGGATGGAGGATTTCATCATGAGCTGAAATCCGGTTAAAGAACCATTGGAAAACCAGTCAAGGAGTACTAGACAACTGTTTCGTCCCGGTTCAGGACTCTTCATCAGTACACCCCCGCACTACGAGGTTCGAACCCAGGACCTTATGGTTACAAGGCTAGCGAGCTCGTAGAACATTAAGCTACTGGGACCCGATCCAATGGCTAGCCAGTCCATGAATTCTAACTTCTGCCAATTCATGACATAGCGCGACCGCTAGCCAATGTCATCCATGAAGAGTATTTGTTCTCACACCCGACCTGCTGCACCCTACTGAATAGGGCAAGTCGCTAGTGAGCATCTCATTGGTATTCAAGTGTTGGTTTGTAGGGATTTGATTGATTGGTTACAGGATTTCATCATGAGCTGACTTTGGTTAGAGATGTGGCTTGCCTTTTCGATTCCAGTTTTCATTTCCACATACACGTGTGCTTCCTGTAGCTGAAACGACGGTGCCAGGATAAGTGAACAAAGTGACCTCTTTCAAATTTATCCCGTTGATAGTCATTGGAGCTGGTTACTTTCATCGCTTTCGTTACTGTGGTTCACACACGTCAACTGAACCTTTTAGGTTCTGGAGCCCGCATACACGATAGGTTTTGTAGCTCCACATTAGTCTGGCTGTAAGCGCAAGACTTTCACATTTCGCCACTTCGCTTTTGTGAGGAACACCCCGTTGGCGCGCGCCTGAAGGCGGGGACTACGAACGAGTGACCATATGAGTGGATTTCGAAAGGAAGACTGAAGTCAGTCAAGCCACCACCTTAGGTGTCATACCACCAGATCGTTAATGGAGTCGAATAAAAACAACAACAACAACCGAAAAAAAGAAAATTAAGCATACCTGATTGATTTGGAGCTTTAACTACCGTTATTGTAGCCATCTGATTCGCATTTGTACCACCACCAAATGATGAATTAGGCGCCGGTGCTATAACAAAACGAACAGTATTACCAGTTGACATTTTCAACTTTCCATCAGAAGTGATAGTTACATTAGCTGGTGCTTGTTGTAATGAAGAGGGTGTTGTAGTAGCAGTAATAGCAGTAGAAGGCATCCCTTCTGTAAGAATAAATCCACCTTGTGAAATGTTTGATGTAGAAATTGTAATCGGTTGTACACCTGTTATCAACTTATCGCTTTCGACAGAGGTTGGTGGTAAAGAGCCTTGCATAATAGTGGACTGAAAGGCAAAGTACACAAATGATAGAAGGTAGTCGGATATCGAGTATCATATGATGAATAATCATAAATTTCAATCTCATTCTATTTACTTCCAGTATTAAATCATTGACGAAAACATCTGCACCACAGTAATCAGTTAAGTCATCTACATTTTTTATTTTTAAGTGTTGGTCTGTAGGGATTTGATTTGATTGGCTACACGATTTCATCATCAACAGATATCAGTTTGAGGTCCATTGGAAAACCAGAAGGGAGTAATGTACAGACGCTTCGTCCCAGTTTGGGACTCCTCAGTAATACGCGCCTAACGGGGTTCGAGCCCGCGACCTCCCGGTTACTAGACACATTCATAGAACATTAAGCCCCTGGGACCCTATCCAGTGGTTTATGAATTTCAACTTCTGCCAATTCACGATATGGCGCGATCACTAGCGAATGTCGTCGGGAAGTATTTGAAATTCGAAGTCCCAGTAACACTGGTGTTTTCCTTCGAGGGTGAGGTTGCTAGCTTCATGCCCAACCTAATCAATTTATCAGGCTTACTATCTGCAAAGCGAGATTTATATATGCGTCGGCAGCCGGGGACAGAACATCACACCGTGTGAGGCGCAGTTGGAGGAGATTCCATCGACGGGTTATACCATCCTAAAATGAACCTAGGTTCAACTTCCCGAAACGCCTACATATAAGATTCATACCATGGTGTAATCGACTTTATCTTCCTGTAACTTGATCTTAATTGACTGCAAATAACTTTTAGATAAGCATGCACCATCTCAGTCGATGTAACTTCACAACCTCGCTGATTGATTTCCCCTCCTTACCTAGCACTCACTCAGCCGATGCATAACCTCAATATTGCTGACCCTATTACACCACTTTACACGGGAGATAGAACGCAGGCTCCTATGATCAAAGACAGCCGCCAGCCAGCCTTTTCATGTCTTCAACTCTCAATGGCCAGGTCTCACAGCCATAAAGGAGGACCGAGCGGACTGATGAGCAGTACACACGTCCTTTGTACGACAATCAGCAGGATTTCACGTCTACGCCATATACGGCGTAAACTGGCATATGCAAAATGAGCCTTCTGTGTCCGTGTTGAGATTTCGTCAGCGATCAACCCGTAGGCACTGGCTGATGCAACTTCCTAAATAAGTGAAGTGGTAGAGCCCATTGTTAAACAGTTAAAAGAAATTATGAAATATCCTCAAAGTACATTTCATCAGAAATTAGCACCTAGGTTAAGAAAAAATTCTTCAGAACCCAATGAACACACTAGACGACAGCTTTAGCAACTCTTCCAATGGTGCACACGACTAGATTCGATCTCCACCCCAAATGAGGTGTCATGGATACATGCATACTGATGTAGGTAAGTTTTTGACAAATTTCCCACTGATATATGAAGTCAAATCTCTTCCAAAATAGATTTTAAAAATGTAAAGATAAATTTTTGAGATTAAAAACTTTTCAAAAAAATAAAGAAATAGGAATTAATTAAATCTACCTTAGCTTCGTTAGACTCAGACGTCGTAGGCATTAGCGATGATTTCGGTAGATTAAAAGAAGTCAGACCATTACTTGAGCTTAATACAAGACGAATACTATTACTACTACTGCTATCTGCAGGATCCAATTTATTTGTGGGCTTATTCTCCATTATTGAAGTTGTCGTATCTGAAATAAACGAAAATAGAATACATCAAAATGTGTGTGTGTGTGTGATTGTTAGTTAGTGAGATGAATTTATTGATGTCTGGATAGAAGAATATGTACACAGAGACTGTGGCAAAAGAGGCAATACAAACTACAAATAGCAATCACCGCTGAAGATGATAATGTCTAAAATGACATCTAAAGCGTGGTAATTCAAACCATCTAGCCGAGGGAACAGAACAACGCCAAAAAAATATTACTCACAGACAGACATTATTGGCCTAAAGACACAATAAATCTAAATAAGAAAATAATATAATTTACCAAACACCATGAAATGACTATAAGTGAGGTTAATTACATAGGTCAAAATAGTAAATGGCGGTCAGTTAAATTGATATACGTGTAAAAACTTGGGCACTGTGGTAAAATATAACTCCATTATAGATAAGATTTTATTTTGATAAATCCCACAGTGTTACACAGTAATATTAACTGATGCGACCACCTTTCGACCACAAACTATTGCTCACGATCACATCAAGTCACTCACAGAACTTTTTCCTTCATTTATATACATGTGTGGAATTGACTAGATATTGGAATAAAAATCAATATGGGATAATGTACATTCAGAAATAATAATGTAAGTTTTATCAATCAAATACAATCAGATGGGGAATAAGACAAGTGTTTTTATAGTCATAATAAGTAACTTGTTGGAATGTTATGATGTACGTGAATTGAAATAGAATACAATTTAAGATTATTTATTATCCTCCTCTGATTTGACTGACTGGTAGTAATAATATCTTCCGTATCTCTGGTATTTGCGTTGAGCTATTTCTGTTGCATGTGTTGGGTGTAGACTCGATGAATCAGGCAGGATTCAGTAATCAATCTCTCTCTCTCCACCAACCTACCTATATTACTTCTCAGAATCTTAACCCTCCCCCACCCTATTGTGTGGTTGTGTGTTAATGCATGTAGTGCAATTGCTAAGTTTTCTTCTAAATTACTTATCTTCTCGGGATCAACCAGTCTTACCTTAGCCACTAAATTCTACTAGTTGACCTTACTCACAGTCATTGTAAGGTATTTTGAAAATTATATTATTTTGTCTAATTAGGTCAACCCACTGGGTCCTTCAGCCTACAGAGCTTGTCCCACCTGAGTGAGTTTGTAGGTTTGAATGCCACCCGAATTCCTGCTTTATTTAGAATCCTACGTAGGGTCTCAGATGTCCCTTCCTTATATGGTATAACAGTAGATGCCTTATATTCTCTCTTATTTATGTTATCATTATTAGTTTCACCATAGTTTTTATTTTGCTTTTGACCTCTTTTGATATTCCCAATGAATTTTATAGGGTAGTTAATTAACACCAACCAGCTATTCTTCCGTCTGTTTTATTTCATCATTTAGGTCTTTTTTTGTGTTACTTAGTGCTACTGCTCGGTTCGTTAGACACTTTACTTAGCCAGCGTTTACAGACAATGGATGAGATGAATTAAAGTCTAAATATCTATTAGAATGTGTTGGTTTTTTATAAACGCTGGTGTGCAGTTTACCTTCTTCTGTTCGTTTTATTTTACAATCTAACATCACAGCTAATTCTCCTTCTTCATTTCCGATTCAAATGTGAATTTTATTCCCTCTACTAGTGGGTTTATAAGGGTCAAGAAGCTAGAGATCTGTTCTGTTTTTAACACTGTGAAAGTGTTATCCAGATATCTCCACCATATTTTTGGAGTAGGGGTCAGTTAAATTATTTAAAGATAGAAATTTTAGCTGCAGCTAGAATAACTGACCCTGTTAAATTAAAATAACCTAGAAGAGAGTTCGGCCATTGCATTGCATTCCCTTGCATGTAATCACACAATAGGGTAAGACGGGTCATAAGTATTGGAAAGTAGTATAGCTAGGTGGAGAGGGGTTAATCATGTTGAACTTACAAGAAGAGAGAACGGAACATTATGAAGGTCTATCCAAAACGAATCACATATGGAACGGCACAACTGACAAGCTTCTACAGCTGGGTACCAATTAGTTGAGAGAGAAACCTAATTAGATTATTTGCTACTCGCATACAACGCATCTGCAGCTCTGATACCCTGGAAGAAGAATTACACTTTCCAAAAAACATCTTCATACAAAACGGATATCCACCAAGATTCGTGGACAAAAACCATCGAACAGAAAATCCAAAAGCAAGAGAAGCCACCCTTACCCCAACTTCAAAGGTGACCTACTAAGTGATGTCCTTAGAAAAAGAATTTCCACTTCTTTAAGAAGAACTTTCTCCACGGCAACACTCAGAGTAGTGTTCTCCAGTCGTCCGCTGATCTGCAGAAGCCCAAAGGACAAGATCTCGCACTTGACCACTTCTATGTGTATATATCAGTCCACCTGTTGCTTTGGAGCCAGCCAGGTACATCGGTCGTTCTACGTGCATCCTGTCAAAAACGATCAAAGAACACTATCCAGTGTGGCTGCAGAAAGGAAGTAGTGCCCGTATAAGCAGTGCAATAATCGAACATCTCGTCACCACTGGTCAATTCATCTCAACAAATGCCTCCTTCAAAATAACCTGCAAAGTGAAGAACCACCTTCCAAAGACAGTACGATTCCGTCTTGTTTGCATTGCAGAAGCCCTAGCCATTCAGTTGGAAGAACCAGAACTATGCATACAAAAGAAAATTATTCAACCACTTCTACTATCATGGTAACAACTCTGTTCATTTGACTTAACTTTTGCTTATATGATTATTTTTCTAACTACTTAAAACTCTTGAGAAATTCCGTATGTTTTGTTTCCATGTACACCCTGAGCACAACTCTTTCATCAAACTATTCATGTTATTAAGTAACTCTTCTTTAAAAATCGTTTGTGACAACTCATCACTTTTGTTACTACTCTCTTATATCAATATCCAATTCCTCTGAACGACTTTTGTATTATGTAACTCCATCAAAAACTTACTAATTGTATTTTCCTTTGACAAAAATTTAATGTACACACACACATACAAAATAACCATCTATATATTCGCGATTGTACAGTTATGAGATTGAATTCACCGCCTAAAAGAGACTCTTCGCTGAACTACTGGTCTTCTCTCTCCCAAGCCTTTGGCTTGAAATGTGACCCACAAGGCAGCAGGTAGAGTAGTCCTATCATGGTTTCCAGTGATGAAAATAGGTTGAATTTTGGAACCCATGTACACCACAGATATGGAATCCGGATTTCCTTCAGTTCTCTCTAGGCAGACACCTACGTGTCTGTCCATTAAATCCGACTGTTGAACACGTAGACACACAAGAGGAAGACAGAAGTCTCCCCACTCTCGGCGCCCTACCAAATCTGGTCGCTTCACTCCGCGTGAACTTTAAAAAAGGAGTGAATTTTACACGCCCCTGTTTAATTTTGGCTTTTGTTGTGTTATATACGCTCCAAAAGTCTACAGATTAACTTTCAATCAGTTTATTCTGATCGAAGTCGGAGCACTAGATATATGTTCATCTTCTTATATACATCTCTGGTGAGGTCAAGACGAGAAAACTGTATCCAGACAGACAGTCATTGTCTTTAAAAGGACTCACACATTCTAGGAAGGGTTCAAAGGAAGGCAACACCTATGGTTCTCGGCATGACTAACTTATCGTACGAGGAAAGACTAGACAGTTTGAATCTCTTCTCCCTATCACGCCGTAGGTAGAGAGGAGACTTAATTACAATGTTTACAATTTTGAATAATGACTACGAACCTAACGTCTTCTCTCCTTTCCTTCACATCAGGTAGTCGGAACAACTTAGAGGACATAGCAGGAGAGTTCAGAAGCCAAGAAGATATCATATTGCTGTTGAGTACTGGTTCTCACATCGAGTCATAAACTCTTGGAACCGACTCCCGACTCAAAGAAGAAGTGGTGTCTGCAACCTCAACTGATTCATTCAAGAAGGGTTTGAACAAGCACAGAAATTCACTAGAAAAGGAATAACATCAAATCATATAGACAAAGCATTTTCATATCTTACTCTCATTTTCTATAGTTCTATTATTATTATCCGTATTGATTTCAGTGTTGGTCTGGATTCCATCTGTAGAAGGAGTAGTAATAGCCGAGACTGGAATTATGCTGGTGCCTCCATCAGCATTACGAACAATTTTGACTAATCTTAAACCTTGTGGAATATTGCCCAATTGTTGCTGATTAGTTGGATTTATAAGTTGACCAGCTTCTTTTATTTCACTTTTCTGTATAGCCGCATCAGTAGTAATCTATGAATAGAATCATTTTTATAAAGAAAGTCAATTATTTGATTAAAATACACCGATTAATGATAGTTGATGCCTTACAATAAAAGTATCTCGAAAACAACCCATCATCAACAGACAGTTTCCTGCCAATCGCCTGAGCTGTAGGTCTACCTGATTCCACACCTATGGTGCGCAGGCGTTCCATTATCTCTAAATAATAGAAATAGCGTATGAACTTATTTTGGTCACCGGGATCCCCATGGGAAGACAGTTCCTGATGCTTTTCCACTAAATTGGATCTCAGGATCAAACCTAAAGTCAAAGGTTCGCAGAGGGGGTTGGGGGGAGAGGAGCCCCTTAAGACAACCATCTGTCTCAGTCTGAGCATCCGAACAGTATCCCAGCCCACTCAGAAAGAATGATAATTTGAGTGGCACATCTCTTGGTGTTTATAATGTACTAAGTTTTTCTACTTTAATCAGTAATTGACACTGTAAACTTGACTACTGGTAGGATTCAGTCAAATCCAACAGAAAGGAATGAACACTTGACCCTGGTTACTTTCCTCCCTAACTGGAAAATTCATAAAATCAATTACAGTCCTGTAGTAATCCGATCATGAGACCGCGAGTAGCTTGCTCAGGGAGGCTTCCTGTGCTATTGGAAGTGTGTGAGCGGTTGTTACTTCCCGGCTGCACACACCGTTGGAAGTTGATTGATTCTTCGGGTACCTGAAACAGAAAGAGGATTAATATTGCGTGACCACAGAGCCCAAGGGACATCTGCTTGAGGTCAGTCACACACGGCCTGTATGAACTGGTTTGGTTTGGTTTCGTATTAGTAAACTTACCTCCGATTATGGATCACCGTAGGGTAAGGATGTATAATTGTTGGGGTCAACCTCTTCTAACCCCCTCTCTCCAGAGTGGAGAAACAGCATAGCTGGCTGGCATGCTGGTCATCTGAGGGGAATAGCTTACTACTGTTAAATCTCTGTTCCCCAGCAGTACGACTTCGTCCACACACCCTCAGTATAGTGTAAGACGAAGGGTTCGAACCACAAAGGGAAAATAAGTTGCTTCAGAGTTAAAGATACGCTTTGCTGAAGGGTAAGCTCAGCTCAGAGCTTTCTGTCGATTGTTTATAACCATCGAAAGTCAATGCTAGAAGACAAGAATTTCTAAGAATCATATTGCACGCGGACGTTCATTCATCTTTCTACACAATTTAATCAAACATAAAATCTGTGAAAGCTATTGGAATTATCAATGGGAATCCCGCCATTCTCACGTGAGTCTTAAATACCAAGTAAGTATATTTAGATCAATAATCAGAGTATTAAGGCAGTAACTGATTCATTGTAAATTTAAAAAAGATTTTGACTACTGTTCACTTCCACAGTACCATACAAAATTTAACACCTTAGTAAGTTAGAAGTCATTTTTTTGGAAAAACTTTGTCATGTAACATTCTATAAGGTACATAGGTATTGAAGGACGGTGGATAATAGTACTTTTTCAGTTACTCATATTGGAAACCACAACCCCCACCTCACAAATCTACAGTAATCTACTCGAAAGAGTGTACAAAACTTATCATGAATAAGAAACAGCGAAGAAAGATATATTTCACCATAGAATTCATCACCAAACGATATGAGTTAACAAATCCATGAAACTCAGGGAGCACTGGACAGCTTTTGTCCAGTATAGTTTGAAAGTCTTCAGAACTGTGCGCACCCACAATCCTACAAGCAATATATGAACCTGGGATTTTCTAGTTACAAAGCCATTCGGTAAGGCACTAGAGATTTCTGCGATATATCACTAGCACCAATTAATGAAAACTACTGAAGAGTCGTAAACGGGGATGAAACACCTATCCAGTTCTCCTTGATTTTAAATGACTGTCTAACATTGCAATTAGTTCGTAACGAAATCCACACTGAAACTTATCTAAGTCCCTACAAGAACCCATAAACACCAAAAGGATATTCTGACGACGATGTTTATAGATCTGATAAATTCTCTTTGATATCAGCAGTTTACAAATACAACGTATAACACAGTGGGGCTTTTGATATGACTGACAATTTTATATTACTAATAAGTAGTTTGACTAATTACTTGAAAAATACTCCCAAATTTAGTTACGAATTGACTTAAGTTACGGAACCATTGAAAACCAAGGAGTACGTTGTAGTTACTACAGCTATTTCGGTTCTAGTTTCCTACACAACCACACCCATCAAGGATCGAACCCAGGACTTTCAGACTAAAAGTCTGGCTCGTCAATCATTAGGCCACTGGAGGTGGTATCTCATGACCCGTAAATTCTAACTTCCACCGACTCGTAATATATGCACATAGCTCGCTTTCTAACCTAGAGGTTCCAAGTTCGAGACCTGGCGGATGCGGGGCGGGGAGGGGAGAAAGGGTAATAAGTATGTGCTGTTGAATGGACCCGAAAAGATAAAAAAAATCAGCCTTTTTCAGTACTCCCTACCGGTACTAAATGGTTTCTCTAATCTGCAATCAGTTCATGCATGATTGAATCCCTGAACAAAAAGCCAACATTCGAAAAGTGATCGGTTGGTTGGATACGAGTAATAATCAATAAGCGTTAATAGTGATGCATCAAACAATGCTGATGATTAAACTTACCACTTTAGCAGATGACAGTGATGTATCTTCTATTTTATTTGGACCATTCACTTTAGCTGGTAAGATAATTCGTTGACCGCCGCCGCCACCACCACCACCACCAATACCACCAGATGGTATAGATAATATCTGTGGTGGTTTACTTCCGGGAATATCCGATATGGAGATTTGGTTATTCTTTAATATAACAACTTTTGGTGCTGCCTATTAATTAAATCATCAAGTAATGCAGAATGTGAATATCTTTCATTAAAATATGAGCATCGATAAAAGTTCATGTAATCTGATAGAGTTTACAACGTAGAACTTGGCAAACATATTATTATATAGATAAGACTTGGGCACTGTGGTACTCAGTAATTCCACATTACTTTGTTTATTAGATGTATCACACAGTGAGTGAAACAGTATTATTTACTGGATGACAAGGTTTCGAACACAATTCATCATTGTTCATGATCATATCATTAATTATAATCACACGACTTCGAAATTTGAGTTTTGTAGTTTTGTTTATTCTTTCCTATTCGTCGTCGTTGGGGTAGTAGAATTTTCCAAATATCTGGAGCAGGTGTTGAATCGTTCCTATTACACGTGTTGATTCGATAAAAAAGCTCCTGTTATCAATCTCTCCCTCCACCCTGCTGTTACATTAAACTTTAAAACTGTCATCTTATCCAATCCCAGCCTATTGTATGGTTGTGTGTCATTTCATATAGTGTGGTGCTATAGCTGAACTATTCTCTGGATTACTTATCTTATTTGGGTCAATCAATCTAGATTTTGCTAGGTTTTTATGTTCTGGTAGTCTGACTGACTGCCCCTGTTCTACTAGTTTGACCTATGTATTTGACCTGACAATCATCGCAGGTAGGGTATTCGATAAACTAAATTGTTTTGTTTAATTGGCTCCACAGGACTGATCCTGTAACCAACAAGGCATGTTTCTAATTGAGTTTGTGGAGGGTTTGAATGCTAGCCACTTTTATTCTTTCCCGCATTGTTAGGAATTCTACGAAAGGTGGTTTCCGAGGAAACACAACTTCATCGATTTTGAGGCCTTAAACAGATCCAGTGTTGACCGAAAATAAATTTGGAAAGTACTTCAACACTATGGTGTGCAGCATCACATATATTTATCAACCTCATTCAACAGCTGGCTGGCTATATGACAATGTCACGTGTCAAGTGATCCACAGAGAAAAACTCAGCGAGGCATTCTGTTGAAGTGAATATAGGAGTAAAACAAGCTGACTGTCTGCCTATTATCACCGATGATATTCTCAATTGTGGGGGACTGGAAAATGCGTCAGATTGTGCACAGGAAGTGAGAAGACACGAATACGCTGGACCACCGATAAGACTCTAGAAGATTTGTATTTCGCGGGTGGATGATTTATGTTTAGTGTCACGCAAACTCGATGACTTTCAGGTAAAAGTCTACAAACTGGTTAAAGAAGAAGCGAAGACAGAACAGAGAGAAGACAGAGGTAATGAAGATCACCAACCATCACTAACAGCAACAACAACAAACAGCACCAATCACCATCAAAGGGAGAGATTTAACGGAGATTACTTCCTTCACTAAACTAGGCAGCCGGCATCGTTTCAACTACAGGCAGTTGGAACGGATAAAGATGTCGAAGCCAGAATCGGAAAGACAACTCAGACACTCATCCCTCTCAAATCGGTTTGCAAATCTTCTGTACTAAGCATAAAGAACAAATTCTGAGCTTCCAACACAAACGTTAAGTCAGTCACTTCTACATAAATCCGAAACTTGCATGGCGCGTCACGAGAAGGATTTCCGGCAGCCACCTGTAGACTTTTATCAACAACTACACCTTCACTCCATACTGAAGATCAAATGACCAGGAAGAATTACTAACAAGAAACTATGGGAACGAACTAACCAAGACCATATTGCTCAACAAATATCCTGAGGAAAGTGAAGATGAATTAAACATAAGCTAAAGGGACCACCGAATGATATTGCGCCCTAGCTAGGCCATTGCTTAAGTAGAAGCCAAGTGGGAAACAATGAGTGGGGCGTCCGAAGATGACATGGAGGAAGAGATCAGAGATTGCAAGCAGTCACGAGGCCAGCTAGAGAGTACCGCAGGAAATAGGACAAAGTGAAGACGTGTTGTTGAAGCCCTATGTTCCACTCGGAAATTAGGGAATAGTATTTTAGATAACATTCATTGAAATTCCTAATTGTGGTGGAATGGATTATGCGTCAGACAGTGGGAAACGAGAAGACAGGGATATCCTGGACCGACGTGAAGAACCTAGAAGACCTGGATTTCGCGCGTGGATGATTTATGTTTGATGTCACACAAAATCGAAGACTTACAAGAGAAAACCGACAAACTGGTCGAAGAAGCAGCCAGAGAATCCAGGACTCCAGGTGAACAAAGACAAGACGGAGGTTATGAAAATAACTAACCAACAACAACAGCAACAGCACCAACATCCAGCGCCAATCACCATCAACGGGAGGGATTTGAAAAAGGTTACTTCTTTCACTTATGATCTAGGGAGCATTGTCTCAACTACACGAGGAACGGACGGACGAGGATGTCAAATCGAGAATCGGGAAGGCGAGAAACACATTCATCAACCTGAAACCAATCTCGAAATCTTCACTCAACTCAGCATCAACAACAAAATGATTCGGATTTTCAATACAAACGTCAAGTCAGTCAGTTCTTCTATACGGATCAGAAACTTGGCGGGTCACAAAGAATATTTCCAACAGCCTGTTGCACACCTTTATCAACAACAGTCTTCGCTCCATACTGAAGATCAGATGGCCGGAAAGAATCACCAACAAGGAACTATGGGAACAAACAGAACAAGAACAAAACAATCGCTCAACAAATATGCAGGAGAAAGTGGAGATGGACTGGACACTCGCTGAGGGAGCTGCTGGGTGACATCGCGCGTCAGGCCATAGCTCGACTGGAACCCGTAAGGGAAGCGACGAGTGGGATGTCCAAGGGTGACATGGGGGAGATCGTGCGAAGAAGAGTTGAAACAGTATGGACTAACATGGATGCAAGTGAAAAGTACAGCAGAAGACAGAAGCAACTGGAGACTTGCTGTTGAAGCCCTATGTTCCACTAGGAAACTAGGGAATCATAATTTAGATAACATTCATTGAAGTCGAAATAAAACCAAAACTTCATTAACTTAACAAACAAAATTAAAAATAACTCCAATATTGCTAAAACCACTTACCAGAGTACCATCAGGATTTAATGCCTGTACAGTATACGGTAAAGTTGTTGTTGCTGTTGTTGTTGACGATGATGATGATGATACCTTGGGAAGTTTTTTTACAACTTGTGACGTTAAACGAATACGTTTGCCAGAAGTCATCGGAGGGAATTTTCCAACATCTTCAACATCATCATCTTCTCCTGGATCATCGTCATACTCTTCTTCTTCTTCGCCTTCTTCGTCATTTTCGTCTTCATCAAGAATTTCATCTTCATCTACATCTAAAAGTTCATCGTCATCAACATAATCAACGACTTCATCATCATCGCCAAAATCTTCAACGATTTCATCCTCTTCTAATTCATTAGGATCATAAACACCTTCAGCACCTTCATCTTCATCATCGTCGACATCACCGCCATAATCATCAAGATCATCATCAAGATGATTATTTCGATCATGATCGTGATCCGCATCTTCATCGTCATCGCGATCCTCCTCCTCTTCATCTTCATCATCATCATAGCCGATGTCATCACCATCACCACCAGAGATATCACCAGCTCCATCATACTGTGGCATAATAATCCCTCCTCGATTTGATGATTTACTACTATTCAAATGATGATGAATCGGTACACGAGAACGTTTTCTAGCACTAGCCGATTTGTTGTTGTGTAGTAGTTCTTCACTTGGAGTAAAACTATCGGAATCATCATCGCCACTTGCTTTTGTTCGATCAGGCTCATCATCATCGTCATCTTCATCGAAATCAACAACAAAATCAGGATCATGACGTACAGCTTTCACTTTTCTAGCACTACGTCTAACTGGTAAGCTGAAGGGGGAGACGAGAATGGCGAGGGTGGGGGGGAGGGGGCAAATAAGAAAAGAAATCAAATTAATTTTTAAACCACTTCAAGTATAGATTTATGGTGATGAATTAATTTAGTAAATCAAAACAAGTGGTAATTCAGCGAAGAGTCTCTTTTCAACAACGAATTTATCATCAAGCTGTACAATCGTGTATATACACATGGTTTTTAGGAATTTATATCCGGTCAGGGAATTAAATCATAGGTGTGAATGTATAAAATAATAATAATAGCATGAAATGCAATTAAAACTAAGAATGTTTGTGACTATAATCATAGTTAAATGTCAAGTGGCAAAGCAAATTAATGTCATATATAGAATAATTCATAGGATGGATAGAACTGCAAAAAGGGTGTGTAATTATAGGATTGGTTGACAAATCGAATAAAATAAAAACGTTACGTAATATTGTGTGAAATTTGATAACATAAAATTTAATGTTGTAAAAAGGAATTGATAATCTGAAGGACAAGATCCCGCTGTTGACCAACTCTATGTGTGTTAATCAATTCACCTGCTCATGTGGAGCTAGGTACATCGGTCGTTTGACTCGAGTTTTGTTCAAGAGGGTGCAAGAACACTATCCTGCAAGGTTACGAAAAGGTGGAAGTGGAGCAATAAGAAGCGCGATCGTTGAATATCTGGTCGATAATGATCATCCTATCTCTATAGCCTCCACCTTTAAAGTCATCTACAAGGCGAAGAGTAATTTACCCAAATCCCTACGTACCCGACTCATCTGTATTGCTGAAGCTTGGCTATCGAAACAGAAAAGCCAGATCTCTGTGTACAGAAAAAGTTCGTTTAACCCCTCCAACTTTCATGGTCTTAATCCCTCTATACTAAAGTATGGTAATCCCTAATCATATTTTGGCTCTACCAATTTTTCATTTTTGTCTATTCAATTTGTATACTCTTCCTTACTAAGTCAATAGTTACTATTACTATTCTCACTTTTAATTGTCCCCGATATTATTTCACTCGTTCCACTTGTCATTCTAAATCAATTCCTTTTTGAAACATTAAATTCTATGCTATCAAATTTCACACAATATTACGTAACGTTTTTATTTTATTCGATTTGTCTACTAATCCTACAGTTGCACACCTTTTTTCAAGTTCTATCCATCCTATGAATTATTCTATATAATGACATTAATTTGTTTTGCCACTTGACATTTAACTACGATTATAATCACAAACATTTTAGTTTTAATTGCATTTCATACTACTGCTATTATTATTTCATGCATTCACACCTATGTTTCAATTCCCTCACCGGATATAACTTCTTAAAAACCATATATATACGATTGTACAGCTTGATGATAAATTCGTTGAAAAGAGACTCTTCACTGAATCATTTGTTTTGATTTTCTTCTATATGTCACAATGGGAATTTTCCATGAGTTAAAAAATAGCAGGGATTAATTTAGCAATGAGTGCGTTTGAATAAAACAAATAAGGTAAAATAATATTTGACATTTAAGAACTCAATAGGAGATGGTGTTTTACTCCTGTATAAAAAATAGATCACAAAATAAACAAGACAACGGTAAGTACTCATTGTGTGTGTGTGAATTCTTTGAGTTCCACGTGGAACATCCTACTCCCTGCAGTCCTTTTTCTTTTAGCTGCTACCACGATTACGCATAAACTTTCATTTTCTCCTCCTCACACGATCTCCTTCATGTCATCCTCAGATCCACACACAACTCGGTGTCCCCCAGTGGGGTTCCACTCGAGCGGTAGGTGGGTGATGATACCAATCAATGGTCTTATCTACATGTGTTTTATAACTCTAACATCAAGAACCAAAGACCACTCTAACAATACTATGTGGATACCTTCACAAGTTAAGGATAACATCTATTGTCCATTATTGTTATTATTATTTCCTCGGTTTCCAATTGGAACATATAGGGCGGCTTCAGCAGGACATCTCCATTGAATTCTGTTCATTGCAGTCCTTTTTTAGCTGGTTCTACGAAGTGGTAGAGCACGTTGACCACTTCACTTATTTGGGAAGTACCATCAGCCAGTGCCAACGGGTTGATCTCTGACGAAATCTCAGCACCACTACAGAGGTCTAGTTTCGCATATGCCAGTTTACGCCGTCCCTGGCGTAGACGTGATATCCAACTGGTAGTCGAACAAAGGGCGGATGTACTGCTCAGCAATCCACTCCGTCCTTGTTTATGGCTGTGAGACCTGGCCATTGACAGCGGAAGACATGAAAAGATTAGCTGTCTTCAATCATAGGTGTCTGCGTTCTATCTCCCGTGTGAAATGGTATAATAGGGTGAGCAATATTGAGGTTAGGCGTCGAGTGCTAGGTAGGTGGGAGGGGAAATCAATCGACGAGGTTGTGAAGTTATAATGATTGAGATGGTTAGGACACATGTTACGCATGGATCCCTAGCCATCGCCTTCCTCGACGGGAAATATTAGATGACATAGAGTCAGGTTGGAAAAGAATTGGTGGTGATGGTGGTCACACGAAAACATGGCTTCATCAGTCAATCAAATCCACAAGTTAGTTTAAACCAGCCACGTAGGGAGGTGTAGACTTCCTGAATGATTGGGGTCCTCGGAACGGTAAAAACCAATGCAGGCTGGAAACAATTGGTGATATGCCTCAAACTCATCGTTCTCAGTAGCCGGTACAGATACATCCACTCCTTGTGACTTATAATTTCCAAAGAAATTATATTGTTCTTCGTTATTACTATTCTTTTGTCTCACACCTCTGTTTACTGTCTCTATTATGCATTTCTCCTACTTTCTTCTCTTCCCTTGTGTGCTACATGGAGGGAGTGTGGCGACTTGAACTGGTGCACATCGGTGCAAAGTTCTATGTTGAAAACAGACAGACAGACGATAACCCACAAGTTCTCATCTCCTCTACACATAATCTCCTCTATGTGTCACCTTTGGACAATCAACTTGCTATTTCTCATTCAGGTTCTACTCAAGGACCTGACACACGATGTCACTTAACAGTTTTCTTAGTGTGTATGTCCAACCCGTCTCCATTCCCTTCGGCATATATGTTCGACAATATGGTTATCGGTTGATTTTTCCCCCAGATAACATCTAACTCACTAAAGATCCCTTGGTAAATCACGGTTAGCAGTGAAATCTACAACGAGAATCTTGTCCAGTTTTGGACAAGTCAAGTGGATGCACCAGCAGCCTGGGTGAGAAGAAATAGTATCAATCAATAGGACTCGGTGCATCACTCATCGATCCAAACAATGAAGAGTTATCATCCAATAGACCACTGGGCCACGAAAACATTGTCTGACATTATTTGGAGAGATACTCGAGCTTTGTTGATATTTTCCCTCCATCATACAGATGCTACGAAAATACCTTAGAGTAAAAATGATGATGATGATCGTTTGATAATTATTTAGTATGTGTATCGATGGGTTCAGAGTTCGAGTCCCACAGGGAACAAAATCTCTCACTGACGAAGCAGCTATATCCAGCCGACAAGTCCAAGATAGGACGAAACTATTTAGATATACAACAGAGTCATATAGTGATGAATAAATAGCCCTGTTAAGAGGATACAAATTAGTGGATATAAAATATTCACAATTCTTTTTCACTAACCTTTCTCTACCTGATCTATCAATTCGTTGGGTGGTTGGAGGAGTAAATGAATCGGAATCTGTTTCAGATAGACTAGAGTCAGTTTCCCGTCTTGCACGTGGTCTTCTAGCCGAACGACTATTGTTATTATTGCTGCTGTTGGTGTTGTTGGTGTTGCTGTTGATGTTATGATTAAATGATCGATTAGGCGTCGTCATATACGCAGCTGGTGTTCTACTATTATGCAGCATTGGATTATACGACATTTGATTCATTTGCATATTGGGTATATTTCTTGGAGCAAGTACTCTACAAATGTGTGGATGGGGGAGGGGGAACAAAGTGCGATTGAAAAGAAAAGAGTTTTGAGAAGAATGAAACGCACATACACACACACGTGCACAAAATTAATACTCAATCACATATTACCACCAATATAAATAGAACAAAAGTGGATATCTTCAACAAATATGATCATGAGGAGAAACTGTGAATAGTGTACATTGATAAGCAACTTGGAACTACTAGCGAACTTCATCATTCATCATTAAATCGAATCCTAAATGATTCCAACAGTATGACGACGAGGATGCTCAAAGTGAGTCAGTCAAGTAATCGAAATTCTTAAAGTAAGTCGTAACGGTTTTTGTTTTTACCGCCTAACCTTCCCACTTTCCCGGGACTTACTGCCGCCTAAAGCAAGGTCTGTAGAGTATGCGTCAACTGGGAACAGAACCAGGACCATGTGAGTGGCTGGCAAGCATTGCATCACTGAACTACAGTCGCACAAATTTACACTACATACAAGCTATTAACTGTTTGTTTTACGTAGTATTCTAGAATTCATCTGATAAGAAAATGTGGATTTATCCCCCACCTGTTACATACAATGTGACTGATATAGCATACGGAAAATAAATAAGGGGATATTCGATATACTAAAGATCAATGTATTGAAATCACCGACGACCTCAGTGTTTATCCAGTTGGGTTTATAGCATACTCCTAACAACAATGACGCTGAAATTGCAGCGACACAGTCCGTTGCCGTGTACACGTAATAATGACATGGAAACGTATCTCTTGACGGTGCTTTATTGTTTTGTGGATCAAACTTCAAGTCAAAAGGCTTGGTGTGGGTGTCCAAGCAGATTTCCAGCTTCTCAGAAAAACTATAAGATTTTGTGTGACGCACCTCTTGGTGTTCATAATTTATCAAATCTGTTTTTAAATAAACGCATATATAACAAAGCGTAACTATTGGTAGGGTGTATGGGAAAAGTGGCAAGTTTCTACTTTAAAGAGCAGCATATAACCTCAAAGATTCAAATCTACAACAAACGAGGATTGAGAATAGCAACATATCTCATTTTTTTAACAATAAAATAATTGGTTGAAGGATTTCATCATGAGCTGTCTAGCACTCCCTGACTGATTTTCCAATGCCGTCAGCTCATGATGAAATCCTCCAACCAATCAATCAAACAAAATCCCTACAAAACCAATAATTGAAAATTGATCTGATGTTCACTAGCGACTGGCTCTATTCAGGCAGTTAACCTAGGGCTGTATTGGGAAGCCATGACTAATAGGCTACAGCAGGTTGAAGGTGAGACAGCAACCAATGTCAGCTCATGATGAAATCCTCCAACCAACCAACCAATCAAACAAACAAAATCCCTACAAAGCCAATACTTGAAAAAAACAAATCATTATAATAAAAAAAACTCACCGATAACGAACACCTTGATCTGTTACAATCGATTGTTGAATTAATTGTGGTTTACCGATATTAGTAGTAGCAGTAGCAGTAGTAGTAGGATAACCTGCAGCAGTAGTATCGACAGCAGCGGCAGCAGTAGCAGTCTGAATCAAACGATTATTTCCCATATGATCTATAGGGAGTGGTTTCACCAATAATAGCGCATTCTGTTTTGCTTTCACTGCTTGAGCTTTAGCTGTACGTGCTTGTTGAGCTTCAGTGCCTAGACTGCTGAGACGTTCGAGTACTTCACTGTGACGTTTTTCTAATTCTTCAATTTCTTTTTGTAATTTAATCACAGCATTGGAAGCAAGTAAACCGGCTTTTTTATCATTTTCAGCAGCTGTATATCGACGTTGAAGTAGACTATCCAAGTGGAAGTTAAGTCGTCTAGATGATGATAATGATGATGATTTATAAGTCGGTGGGACTGAAGGTCTTTGTAAAGCAGGTGGAAAATGAATTCGATGCGATATACACTACATAGTGAAAAAAAGAAATTGAAAAATACAAGAAACGAATTTATTTATGAAAGGAACTTGCGTATACTGACTGACTAAGTTGTTTGTTTTTTATTATAGCTTGATTCCACTCAGTATTTTGGTACAAGTATGGAATTTTCAAATTTTGCAGGCCGACCAATTGATATCAGGTGTGCGTCGGCTAGGGATTGAACCCCGGACCATGTTCATGTTCGGCGAGAGTCCTAACCACCGTGCCACCGAAATTTACACAGGAGTGTAGCAGTTCTTACTTGCCACATTCCATGTAGTACACAAAAATATGCAAAAAGGGGTGGGGAAGGGGGTTAGAAAAGGTCGATCCCGAAAATTGCGCATCCCAACTAATCTGACAGTGGCCCGTAGCCGGTGGTTCTTGCAGGTCCTAACATGATAGGAATGGTTTTTGGATGGCGATTAAAACAAAAGAATTTTCATCATGAGCTGACATTAGTTAGAGGATCATTGGAAAACCTGGGAGTACTAGACAGGTGAAGAGTCCCAAACTAGGACAAAACAGCTGTCCAGTACTCCCAGGTTTTCCAATGGTTCTCTAACTAATGTCAGCTCATGATTTAAATCCTGTAACCAATCAAATCCCTACAAACCAACACTTGAAAAACAAAAGAAGTTATCATCACAGTGTGGGTCTTTCACAACACATATCGAGGGTCTGTGGGTTACTGCTTACTCCTAGCGAATAGGGATGTAACAGCAGTATGGTGTTCCAATAGGATGCCCAGCATGTCAGCTATGCTGTCTCTCCCCTCTGAAGGTGGTAGGGGCTTTTAGTAAACGTTGACGGAGAAAATTATATCCCCCGCCACCATACCCTTTGGCGGTCCGTAGCGGGAGTTAAGATCTTAATTATACGGACATAACTCTAAAAAGAACTCAAACAGGTTGTATAAGACCGGTCTAAAGAAGTCGTCCCCTGCACTCTGCAGTAACGCAACACTAATTGGCTTTCTGTTTTAGGCATCCCAAGAAAAAAATCATGTGCCAGATCCTCGAGTGGAACCCGAACGGGAAATGAGACACAAGTTGGGTGTGGGCGCAAGAGTAACATAAAGGATCTCCTGTGAGCTGGAAATGAAAGCTTATGGATAGTTGTGGAGCCAGTCAAAAAAGACTGCAGAGGACGGAGTGAAATGGAAATGTTCTGTAGAAGTCCACGCGGAACAAAAGGGAATAATAACAATAATAATACCTTTAAGGGCAATAGTAGTGATAGGGTGGTAGGTAGTATGATTCGCTATCTCAACTAGCCGACTTTCAGCGACAGTATGTCTTGATCTAAGAATCCTAACACCCCCCCTCCATACAAAATAAATGTAGATCATTGCCTTCCAAAAGTGCTGGTGAACACTAAATCGTTTATTTATTCGAACTGGTCTCCATTTGGCGAAAGACAAGAAGACTATCGTTGCTTAGTCGTAAACCGGTTGATAGAAGGCGAGAGAAATACGATCAGAAGTATAATTGAACGCATTCTATCAACACTTATTTACAGACTTTACTGAAAGTAACCTGCATTTCTTTCTGTCTCGTTATCCATGAAACAATAGATAATCGTATTACTTTACCGTTTTCTACTGTTCCCCGTTGGTTACTATGCATAGTATTCTGCGTATTAGGTGTAGTCTTCTGAAACTAGCGATAGGGTCCAGGATCTTTATGATCTGGATATTTGAGAAATAGGTTTCGAGTAACCAAGTTATTGATATAATTACTCGAAAGTGAAAGTTAAAAGTTGTAAATTATGTGGTACTCAACGGCACGACATCGAATTGATAAATAAAGAGTTCAACAGCTGCCATCATGCCATCCAGTTCACGTCGGAATCAGAAATAAACTAAGGATTCCATTTTCTGGATATTTTTCCCAAATGGAGATCTGATGGTTCTCTTCAAAGATCGATCTACAGGAAACCAACATGGAATGGTCAGTACACAAATTCCCATAGTTGGGTCCCTTTAAGAAGAAAGAGAAACCTGATCCACTCCTTATCCTCAAGAATAAGTAGGATATGTTCCAGTGATACAATCGACGGGGAACTGGGGTGACTCAGACAAGTAGTCCTCATAGAGAATGGATATCCTTCAAGATTTATCGAGAAAAACATGAAGTCAAAGCAAAATCCTGGAAGGACCCAGACTGTGCGAAGAAACTGCTATTTATAAGTGTTGAATTTAAAGGTGATAGTGCAGCTAATATGCTGAAGAATCGCTTATGCAGATCACTGAGGAAAGCCTTCTTTACGACTGAGCTACTTATCAATTTCTACAGCCGACAAATGATCAATGGATGTGTGAAGGATAAAGTGCCGCTTGTGTGTTTATAAATTCACCTGCTCGTGTGGAGCTAGTTATATTGGCCGCACAAAGCGCACACTTTCCAAATGCATCTCTGAACATTATCCGGCATGGTTAGCAAAAGGACAATGCAAGGCAGTTACTAGCTCAATTCTCAAGCACTTGATGAACTCAAGCCACGTATCTCCACCAAAGTTGTCTTTCTAGATCATCTACAAAGTGATGCCAAATGGTCCAAAAGGTGTCAGGTTTCGGCTTTTGTGTATGACGAAGGCGCTGGCAATTCGTCAATACAACGCCGAACTCTGTATACAGAAAATGTTTGTCCAGTTTATTATTCTACCTTGGTCTTAACCTTTGCATTTACATTAATAACTAATTCACTACTATCACTCTCATATGTTCCCTGTTGTACATTTTCACACCATCTTCACAATTGTTAAATTGACACTCAACTATCACCTTTCTTCTCACTCAATAGCAATTTTAATCTTATCAAAATTTCTATCTTTGTACCGTTGAGTACCACCGTAATTTACAACTTTTAATTTTCACTTCTATAACCAAGTTATGTCAAGTTAATATAGTGTACATTAAGCGCAGCGCTAATCTACTCAAGCAAAATCAATACACTTACATAAGATACATTTAATATCGGTTTCTTCTTATCATTGGTATTGGTGCTTTTCTTAGACATTTGATTATCTGAATCGGTACTGTTATCCCCTTCTTCTCCTGCTTCTGCTTTTACAACATTCGGCAATACTTTGACTTCATCAGGAACTGCTTTAACCTCTGAATCCATTGGTTCATCGTCTTTCTTCTCCATATGATTGCCATCGTTGTCCACGGGTACACCATCTTCTTTTTTTTCTTTTTCTTCTTCTTTACTTATTTCAGTAGTATCTTGTAATTTTATTGAATTTTTCAAGGATTCTGCTTTTGCTTTTGCTTCTTCTTCTGCTTCTTGTCTTTCTATTTGTTCATTTAATTTTATTAATTCATCTGGTGGAATAGTGTACGATGTACGCTTAGGATTTAAATATAATGGGATGCCTGTGATTGGATGTAATACATGGCCACGACATTCACTTGCTTTAGGCGGTTTCACAGGTATTTGACCCTTGAAAAAAAATAGAGGAGAAAAGTGTATACAGATGGGGAAAACAACAGCATATTTATATGGCAAGAGAGATTACATGTACACAAAAGGGATATATATATAAGAAACCTCTTTTACCTACCTGGGAAGCATCGTTTCAACTACACGCAGGCGAAACTGACGAGGATATCAAAGCAAGAATCGGAAAAGCAAGACAAGCTTTCACTACTCTCAAGTCTGTGTGGAGGTCAACAACACTCAGCATGCAAAATAACATCCGGATTTTGAACTCCAATGTGAAGTCAGTCAGTGCTACTATACGGATCAGAGACTTGCACTGCGCGTCATAAAGAGCATCTCAAACAAACTACAGACCTTCATTAACAGCTAGTTCTCTTCGCTCAATACTCAAGATCAGATGGCCGGCTAGAAAAGATCAGCAACAGGGAGGGAACTCTGGCAATGAGCGAACTAACCAACCAGGAACCGATTGTGAAACAAATAGGCAGGAAGAAATGGAGATGGATTGGACATACTCTGAGGAAACCATTAAGTGAGTGACATCACTAGACAAGCCACTGCTTGAGTGGAACCCGAAAGGGAAGCGGTGAGTTGGTCGTCAGTGCAACGGTGACTTGGAGGAGGTCATGTGAAGAGGCGATGAAAACATGTGGGCAGACTTGGAGCCAGGTGAAGACTCTAGCAGAGAACCGAACGCAATGGAGACGCACGGCTGAATCCCTATGTTCCTCTAGGAATTAAAGGATACAACAACAACAACAACAATAAGTCCCCAACAACCCCACCCGAACCAGGCAGTCTATACTTTCTTACGCGGATCGAACCAACAGTTAAAGACTCCATCAACAGAGGACAGATTTGATTCCATCGCGTTTAAACTCTTCCTCAACCTAGTCTTATGTCAGTTAATATTGTTTAGTGAGGAAGGTGGGGGGCTTGGTGTATGCATAACATGTGTGTTTCAGCCACCTTAATCGACGTAGTTACACAACCATATTAATTGGCCCTCATCACTTTACACCTAATCTAGATATTACTCACCGTATTGGATGGTTGGAGGCAATCGGCCACAGGAAGCCCTGGCTAGACCTAGGTTTCGTTCTAGATGGCACTCATCAGTCAGCAAGACGTATCTGCAACCTTGAAGGAATTCATATCCCTTTTGAGATTCAATCCCGCGTCACTCACTGCTGCAGTCGGAGACGTTATCACTGAGCTATTTGGGTTCGCGATTGACCTCCGGTAGGACTGTATTGGATACTTTTGATTGGACACTAGTTAGTAACTAGTGTAATGTGTCCAGTCCTTTGTTTGGTGCAGACTGAATTCTATCATTCAAGTCAATCAAAGTATCCAATACAGTCCTACAGAGGAGGTCAATCACGAGTCCGAATAGCTCATTGGTAACGTCCCTGACTGCAGCACTGGGTGACGCGGATTCGAATCTCAGAAGAGACATGAATTCCTTTAAGGTTGCAGAATCACCTTGTTGACTGATGAGTGCCAAACAGCACAAAACCTAGACCCAAGGTTCCTGTGGCCGATTGCCTCCAACTATCTAATACCAATAATTCAAAGTGTACTGGCGAGCCACCTAGTGTTATGTTGGCCACCTTGCGAACTTGACTCATAGAATTCAGCCTGCACCAAACAAAGGACTGGACACATTACACTAGTTACTGACTAGTGTCCAATCAAAGTATTACTCACCATATTAAAACCAATTAACATGGGAGATAGACTAACCATTAGCCTCTTCAAGTCTCTCCCCACATACAACGGCCATATCTTACAACCAGTACACAACGTCAGCTGATCGATAGCTGGATAACACACACGTCTACGCAATTGCCACACGAACTAAAATTTCGATAGCAGTCACTTCATTAGGGTTGATGCAACTCCTCAAAGAAGAGAAGCGATCAACACACTCAACCAATACATTGTCTATCTTTAAACTAGGAGTCGGTGCAACCCGATCCTACGGTATCATCTTACATGTTGACAGAAGTGAAATAACATACTAAAATTTCTGCTTCAGGTGTTCAGAAGACTGTCCACGTCTTCGCCTCTAGAAGGACTATACAATATAAATAACCGTTGTATAGGTTGGATAGGTGGTCGACTTGAATCGGTGAGTCAGTAGAACTCGTATATAAATCACTGCATGCTGATATGATATATGTGTTAGGCTGGAAGGATATTAGTAAAACTCCTCTGCGAAAGTTAATATAAGCAAATCTTGACAGGAAATTGCTGAATGGTCTTGTTCCTTCACGTTTTGAGTAGAACACAGGGTGTCAAGCTTGAGATGTGAAGTTTCAGTAGTAGTGATATTATGATTATTATTATCTTCGGCAGTGGGTTCGCTAATCTAATGCCCAACCTCCCATCTCTCTACCGCTCTTTCTACAGGCTAAACAAGGTCAGGGAGTGTGTCGACCAGACCACCTTGGTGGTTGCCAAGGATTCCACTCCCGAACCACCAACGCAGATTCCGGTAGTACTGGATAGCTGTTTCGTCCTTGCTGGGGACTCTTCATCAGTACGCACCCATGCCCCAACCAGGAGTCGAACCCAGGCCTTCGAGTTACAAAGCGAGCCCACAGACCATTCATTCAGCCATTGAAGCATAATGATAAAAACAATAACGAATTCTTGTTAATTAAAAAAAGGCATAAGAACTCACTTCTAGATATTCCGGACAAACACCCCATCCAATACCGTGTTGAAGGCCACGAGGATTAGTACGACGATTCCTTGTTACCGCAGCATTATCACGCCAATAAGATATTGGCGGAAGAGTTTTAAAGGCACGTTGAGCTATCCGGGCAGCATTACCACGTGTTGAACTTATCCACATCCAACCATCTCCACCTAAACGACGATATTCTTCACCTCGTGTCTTCCAGACTGTATGTCTAATTGGACGAGGAGTTTTTGTACGTATAAGATTTGCTGGTAAACTGGCCGCATTCCCAGCACCACCTGTAGAAGTCAAGCGATCAAATTGTCTTATTCGCTTGTCTTCTTCCCTTTGAGCAGCTGTGAATCGTTCCAGATTGAGGTGACCTATTTTAGATGATGATAATAACAATAAAATATTGAACGAATTAGGGTATTATTCCTACTCGTACAGACTATAGGATTCATGACATTCAGTTTTGTCTGTCTGTTTTCGACATAGAACTTTGCACCGATGTGCGGCAGTTCAAGTCGCCACACTCCCTCCATGTAGCACAAAAAGCAAGAGAAGAAAGTAGAAGAAATGCATAATAGAGACAGTAAACAGAGACGTGAGACAAAGGAATAGTAATAACGAAGAACAATATAGTTTCATTGGAAATCATAAGTCACAAGGAGTGGATGCATCTGCACCAGCCATTGAGAACAATGAGTTTGAGCCATATCACCGATTGTTTCCAGCCATTGGTTTTTACCGTCCTGAGGACCCCAAACCAGGAAGCCAATCTACACCTTCCTACGTGCCGGCTGGCTTAAACTAACTGTTGTGGATTTCATTGACTGGTGCCATGTTTTGGTTTGACCGCCACTAGCTCTTTACCAGTCTGACCTTATGTCAGCTAACACTGCCCATTGTCGAGGAAGGCGATGACTAGGTATACGTAACACATGTCCTAACCATCTCAGTCGATGTAGTTTCACAGCCTCATCGACTGATTTCCCCTGCACTTAACCGATGCCTAACGAATATATTGCTGACCCTGTTATACCACTTTACACGGGAGATAGAACGCAGGCACCTATGATCAAAGATAGCTAGCTAGCCTTTTCATGTCTTCAACTCTCAATGGCCAGGTCTCACAGCCATAGAGGAGGACGGACCGAACTGCTGAGCAGTAGTACACCCGCCCTATGGTCATCGCCTTCCTCGCCGGGAAATGTTAGCTGATATAGGGTCAGGCTGGAAAAGAGCTAGCGGCGGTCAAATGAAAACATGGCACCAGTCAATGAAATCCACAACAATTAGTTTAAGACAGTCATGTAGGGAGGTGTAGACTTCCTGACTGGTTGGGGTCCTCAGGACGGTAAAAACCAATGGTTGGAAACAATTGGTGACATGGCTCAAAGTGATCGTTCTCAATGGCTGGTGCAGATGCATCCACTCCTTGTGACTTATGATTTCCAATGCAACTGTTTTGTTCTCCGTTATTACTATTCCTTTGTCTCACACCTCTGTTTACTCTCGATATTCTGCATTTCTTCTACTTTCTTCTCTTCCTTTGCGTGCTACATGGATTGTGGCGACTTGAACTGCCGCACATATGTGCAAAGTTCTACGTCGAAAACCGACCGACCGACCTATGGTCGATAGCCGGATAACATGTCTACGCCAGAGATGGTGTAAACTGGTATATGCGAAACTAGCCCTCTGTATCCGTGCTGAGATTTCGTCAGAGATCAACCCGTTGGGGTTGACATTCAGTATAAAACTTTACCACCAATGGAGGAGCAGGGCTTATTGACGTAGACAGCTAACACATTAGATCAATGGGTAAAGCGTTCAAACACTGGTCAAAGTATCACGCTTCAACCAACCCAAATGAAATCAATCGGTTATTACACATGCTTATAAATGACACACACACACACCACCAATAATGATAAAAAACACTCACCCAGTGAACTGAACCATACACGTTGGAAGCATACAGAACGAATTGACGCTTCCAATCTAGCCAGTACAAATGCTAAATCGGATGGTGATTTACAATCTAGTACATCTTTAATCCAATCGGTACGATGAGCTCGCCAAGCGGGTGTGAAGAATGCTAGAGGGATCTGAAATATACGTAATAGACATGTGTATTTAAAAAATATTACTGTATTGAAAGTCACGAAAAAAATATATTTATAATTTTTCTTTAAACCAACTAAACGATTAAGTAAATCTAAGATATTTTGAACACCATATATTTGCTTCATTTTTAATTCTGTGTGTTGACGTTTCTGTAGAGGGATAGGGTTGATTTTTCGGGGTAGGGTCGATAGCCCCACAACACAACCAACTTCTCATCGTTTTCAGGGCTTAGGGGACCGGCGGCTCGTAAACTAGGCAACTAACCAACCAAGAACCCAACAAATATGCCAAAGAAAGTGGAAGTGGATTGGACAAACGCTGAGGAAACCAGTGAGTGCCATCACACACCAGACAAACCTTCGAGTTGGATCCGAATAGGAAATGACGAGTTGAGCGTCACTTCAAGGGTGACATAGAACTATGTCGTTTTCACTAGTATATCACTGAAGAAGAGAACTGACATCTGACTAACTTGTGCTTCTCAGTAGGAAAGTAAATCAACCAAGACTGTGAATTACGTAATCGATTAGGGGTATAAACAAATACCTGAGGCAAGTCCTATTATTCATTATTAGAACATTAACTTAGTAAAGTATAGGAGCCAACAGATGTGAGGGATAGGATACTCCCACGACGCCCATACTGAAGCTGGTGGTTTTCTTAAGCGACCACCACCACCCACCCCGAGCACTCAAACTGAAATCTGATTGTGACACCAATCAGTGAAGCAGTGCCGGGAGCATCTATGCTCCCATGATTGCTGGTGACCAAAGCAGGTTCATACACGCTGTTCGATCTTTTCGGATTCAACAGCCCATGGAATCACGGTTTCCCGTCTCCCTTGGGCTGTACTAGAGTGTCCGCCAGTCCGCTTGTAAGCACCAGACGTTCGCTTTCGCTCTATCACTTCTAGGTATCATCAGGAAATAAAGTATGTCTTATAGCCAAGAAGATACTGAGATGTGTAAAACCAGACTTTATCGTTTAAAAACAAAATTAACGCTCATTTTAATTAATGTTTGTCATAACTTTTGCTTCGCCGATGATATATGTCTGATTTCCCACAAACTGGAAGATATGCAAACGAAAAGAAACAAGTTGGCAGAAGAAACATCAAGGATAGTAGGGAATTCAGGTGAACATAGAGAAAACAGAGGAGATGAAGATTCCTGGACAACACCATCAACAGCAACAACAACAGACAACAATCAGCATAAATGGAAGGAACCTGAAAGAAACAACCTCCTTCACCTACCTGGGAAGCATCGTTTCAACTACAGGAGAACGAAACTGACGAGGATATCAAAGCAAGAATCGGAAAAGCAAGACAAGCTTTCACTACTCTCAAGTCTGTGTGGAGATCAACAGCACTCAGCATCAAAAACAAGATCCGGATTTTGAACTCCAATGTGAAGTCAGTCAATGCTACTATACGGATCAGAGACTTGCACTGCGCGTCATGAAGAGCATCTCAAACAAACTACAGACCTTCATCAACAGCTAGCTGTCTTCGCTCAATACTCAAGATCAGATGGCCGGCCAGAAAAGATCAGCAGCAGGGATCTTTGGGAGTGAACCAACCAGGAACCAATTGAGAAACTAATAGGCGGGAAGAAATGGAGATGGATTGGCCATACTCTGAGAAAACAAACCATCAAGTGACATCACTAGACAAGACATTGCTCGAGTGGAACTCGAAAGGGAAACGGCGAGTTGGTCGCAAGTGTGAGGGTGACTTGGAGGAGGTCATGTGAAGAGGAGATGAAAACGTGTAGGCAGACATGGAGCCAGGTGAAAACTTCAGCTGAGAACCAAACGCAATTGAGACGCATGGCTGAAGCCCTATGTTCCTCTAGGAATTAAAGGAAACAATAATAATATAATAATAACTTTTGCTTCAGCACAAAATGTATCACTCACAAACCCTCTGTTTTCTGTATAATAAGTGTTCATCACACATAAAGAAGACAATTATGCGTCACTTGTTGTACACGGACTAATGATGCTAATTAACTGCTCATGTTAGGTAATTGCAGTGGGATTAAAACTCGGAACCTATTGGATAAGAGTCGAGTGCTAAGACCAATGAATTACAGCACTATTGATAAGCATATATACAATATATAGGCATTAAAATACACCCCGAACGATAGCTGATACCTTAACGTGATGATCGGGCGTTTGCATACCACAATGACCCCACAAGCTACACTGGCTGGAACTAATGCTCCTGCAGATCCTGTTGTACCAAAAAGGTCGTTTCGATACCGATTAGACTGAAAGCGTTTTCCATCATGATAATGTAAGGTATGTACACTATGTTGAGAGTCTGTGAGGAAGAAGCCTTAATGCTGATGATGAATAGGGTTGTAACAGCAGTGAGATGTTGCCTTCAGATGAGTCACACTTATCGTGCAAGGACTAATGATACTAATCAACTGCTCATGATAAGTAAGTGCAGCGGGATTCTCTAGCCGCCCATTAATTCGGAGCAACGGGAAGGATAGACTTCCGTATATGACCACTCCAATGTGCATATATCAATTCACCTGCTCTTGCGGAGCTAGGTACATAGGTCTTATCAAGTCTCATCAAAGAACATCATTCAGCATGGCTGCAAACAGGAGGCACAGAAGCGTCATAACTGAACACCTCGTCAATACCTGTCACAGCATCTCAACTGACTCATCATTCAGAGTCATTTACAAAATAAACAAAAAATCTACCAAAGGCAGTGTGTTTCCGACTTGTTTGTACTGCGGAAGCTCTCACCATATACATCGAAAAGCCGGAGCTGTGTGTTTAAAAGAAACTAGTCCAGCCTTTACAACTACCATGGACCTAGTTCGGTATGTTCCCTTATCCTTCAGTTTTTTTGTTTTGTTCTCTGTGTGTGTAATTTTCTCTCTTTGTCTTCATTCAATTCATCCCATATTTTTTCAGTTATAAAATCAGTTATTTCAAGTTTGTTTCCATGCTCCCCCTGATCACTATTAACCATTTTACAATTATATTCTAATCCTGTGTAATTTTTTGTTTCTAAGCCTCTTGTAATTCATATCAAGTTGAAAATAATTATCACTTTCGTTACTATGTGCAATTAAATAAATAATAATTGTATCCATGTAAACTAATGTATATAAATGCGATTGTACATCTGCTTTTGAGAATGAAATCGCCAAAAAGACAGATATCTTTGCTGAACTTCTTGTTCTTTTCCCTCTAATGTCCTTCAGATGACCTGTAAGCCAGCTATGCCGTCTCATCGCTTTGGAGACAGAACGGTGGTTAGAAAAGGTTGACCCAGAAAATTGTACATCCTGACTTATCACCTTTCGGAGGTCCGTAGCCGCCGATAAGATCTAAATAAGGACACAGCTCAAGAAACGAACTCAAACAGGCCGTGTGTGTGTGTGTGACCAACTGTGTAGCCAACACAACATTAATGCTCCCCCAAGAAGGAATCAACTTCTATAGAGTATAAGCACAGCTGGAAAGTAAAAACTACACACACGCTTCCATAGTCGCACACAAAGCTTTCTTGAGTTGAATTATATACAGATTTAACCCCCACACACACTCCAATATACTTCCTTTAAAGGCAAATCAAACAGATAAAAACTCACCATTGATTCCATATAACACAGTGTTAAACGCAACAAATCCAACAGTTGATATGGACTAGCTGGCCAACAATCGAATCGAATACGTTCAAACACGGCTGCTGCGGTTGTTGCTGCTCCTTTAGGTGATTTAGGCAATTCAATCATATTATCATTCATCATAGACCGTAATATTCCCTTATAGGTAGATGCTAGTGTAACAGGATCAATATATTGCCATAAATCTGAACAATAATCACTAAAATTAAATTTATTCGCCAGTAAACGTCGTTTCTCTTTCTCTTCTAGGTGTTGAGCACGTGTCAATGCAACATTAACACTATCCAATATCGTGTCGTCTGGATCTACTTCATCATTAGTGGTAGGTTTCTTCGCCGCCGCCGCCGCCGATGGATTCTGTGGATTTGTATTCCTTGTACCGCTTGGTGTTCTTTTCAAATCATGTATACTATCATCAGTATCATCTGCATGCTGTTTATCCGCATCATTATTATTATCATCATCAGCAGTAGGCGGTGGCTTTTTCTTCTTCTCCAGTCCATACACCTGAAGTATACAAATTTGTCCATGAACGCCAACTCCCTTCATCTGACAGACGATAGGCTAGTAGACAACATTCATTCGAAGGCGTTGGACTGGATGATGAATTCCAATCAATTGGCATATGTAATGTGGATAAATCTTGTGGTTCTAAGATTGTCGGTGGATAGACTGCAACATCATTCTATGAAAGAGTAAATTGTGATGATAAATTATACGTAAGTGCATATAACAAACGACGACGCAATGAATTATACAAACAAATGGTAAAACAGACGCCGAACACGAGTATAGCGGGCAACCAAAGTACTCCTAAACCCAACCTTAGTTTACTAACCCACAGTGAGCCAGGAAAAGAAAGGAGGTTAGGTTGGGCTTGAGGCTAGAAACCACATCCCCCTCAAAAGACAACAACGCCGATACTGAAACATCAAAGAGTGAAGCCCGAAGGAATTTAAAACATAGTTTACAATATAATAAATAACTATGATGATTTGCAACCCTACTCATCGACTGAGATAGTTAGAACATGTGTTATGCATGTCTAGCCATCGATCGTCTTCCTCGACGGGCAATGTTAGCTGACGTAGCGTCAGGCTGGAAAAGAGCTAGTGGCGGTCAAACCAAAACATGGCACCAGTCAATGAAATCCACAACAGTTGGTTTAGGCTGGCCATGTAGGAAGGTGTAGAGTGGCTTCCTGGTTGGGATCTTCGGGACGGTAAAAACCAATGGCTGGAGGAAATAAGTGATATGACTCAAACTCATCGTTCTCAATGTCTAGCGGAGATGCATCCACTCCTTGAGACTTATGATTTCCAATGAAACTATATTGTTCTTCGTTTTTACTATTCCTTTGTCTCACACCTCTGTTTACTGTCTCTATTTTGCATTCCTTTTTACTTTCTTCTCTTGCTTTGTGTGCTACATGGAGGAAAGTGTGATGGATGAATTATACGTAGGTGCATATGACATTTAAAGCCTAACTAATACTACAAACGATGACGCAATGAACTATACAAACTAATGGTAAAACAGCCGCCGAAAATGAGTAAAGCCGGCAACCAAAGTACTTGTAAACCCCGCCTTAGTTCACTAACCGATAATAAGACGGGAAAAGAAAGGAGGTTAGTTTGGGTTCGAGGCTAGAAACCCAGTCCCGCAAAGAAAAAAACCACCCCAGTACTGAAACTTCAAAGAGTGAAGCTCAAAGGAATTAAATACATAGTTTACAATATAAAAAGTAACTGTGTCAATGATTTAACTTAGAACGATGATTCGAAACCCTACTCAGCAGTGTAATTACATTACTATTTTTTACAAGTTGATCACGGATTGATATCAGTTAGAGGACCATTGAAAGCCAGGGATGACTGGACAGCTGTTTCACCAGTTTAGTTTGGGAGTCATCGGCAGTACGCACCCACCCCACAGGAAGTTCGAACCCAGGACCTTCCAGTTACAAGGCAAGCTCGTATACCATTCAGCCACAGGGACCCGATTCAATGGCCAGTCCATGAATTCTAACTTCTACCAGTTCGTGATTTAGCGCGACCCCAACCAATGTCGTCGGTGGGACATCCATCCTCACACTTGACATTTGGATGGACCTCACTGGTCACGACTTCTCACTAGAACTCCAGGAAACTCCATCGTGTAGCAAGCCACTGGCTGAATGATATACGAGCTTGCCTTGTAACCGGGAGGTCCTGGGTTCGAACCCCAGTGGGTGTGTACTGCCGATGATTCCCAAAAAACTAGGGTGAAACAGCAGTCCAGTACTCCAGTGCTGGTTTTCAATGGTTCTCTAACTGATATCAATCCATGATCAACTCGTAAAAACAAATCTAATCCTTACAAACCAATCATAGGAGATTAAGTTGTTATATATGAACTGAGATTTTGCAAATGCCCATTTAATAATACTTTGATAAAGCCATTAGCAGCAGCATCAAATAGCGAAACTTCAGTAAACACAACAATATCGCTTTGTTTTTCATTCATTGGGAAATTCCACAAACCTTTATTATAATGATATCATATACCCAATGCCCAAATTTTTCCAAACTGTTAAAAGTGAACTTGGTTTGGACATATATTAGTGATATAGTTCCAAATTGTGGCTTAGAGGTAGACTGACCTCCAACCACTCACGCACGTCGTCTGGGATTCGATTCCCCGTCGCCAACGCACTCCCAAACCTCGCCTAACCGGTAGGTAGCCCGGCATAAAGAGGGAAAGTTGGGCCAGTCGTGAGGCTAGCCATCACACCCCATAGATAAAAGATAACACATCTGCTACTGAAACTTCAAAGCTCTAGCTTGAAGCCAACGCTAACTTCCACTCGGAATGCAAAGGAATGAGGGGCGGGGGGAGGGGAAACAACTCCAGGTCTAATATTAATCATTAATTAATGTATCTACTATGAGAGTAATGTGATAAACAGATTATACATATGTAAGCAATATTAATTGTATTATAAAACACTAAAAATACTTACAGAATTATCCTCTTTGGTTATCCGACTAATCACTTGATCATGATTACGTACAATGCAATTGTTTTGATCTGTAAGTAGAATTACTGGTGAATAGTCTTCAGTATACTTTTCCAGAAATGATGGCAAATCATTTGGTAGTGGTGGGAAGATGGGCTTATCAATCGATGGGAGACTAGAAGCTGCTATAGCCTTGATTCAATAGAAAAATAATAAAAGATATAAACGTGTTTTGTACCTGTTGGAGGATTTCAACATGAGCTGACATCAGTTAAAGAACCATTGGAAAATCAGTCAGGGAGTATTGGACAGCTGTTTCGTCAGCCTAGTTTCGAACTCCGCTTCATCAGTACGCACCCACACCACAGGGTTCGAACCCGACCTTCTGGTTACAAGGCTAGCGAGCTCGTAGGCTATTCATCAGCCACTGGGAACCGATTCAATCGCCAGCCCATGAATTCTAACTTCTGTCAATTCATGACATAGCATACCCGTGACAACTCATGGGCCACTAAATTGGGTCCCAGTGGCTGATGAATGGTCTACGAGCTCCCTAGCCTTGTAACCAGAAGGTCCTGGGTTCAAACCCCGTGCTGTGGGCGCGTACTGATGAAGAGTCCCAGACGGGGACGAAACAGCTGTCTAGTACTTCCAGGTGGTTTTCCAATGGTTCTCTAACTGATGCGCTCATGATGAAATCCTTCAACCAACCAAACAAAATTCCCTACAAAACCAATACTTGAATATTATATATATATCAATACAAGTAACAGAATGCTAATAGGCTGACTATCTCTCCACAGAGTCGCCACACACACTCAGCTCAGAGAGGCCAGGATTCACAGGCGTAGAGCGCACAAAAAGCACTTGTAAACCCAATCTTTGACAGTCAGACTGATGTTGCCACGTCACCAGGGACGATTTAAATTGGTGTATGTCACATCTTAGGTTTCACTATACGGTTGGAAGTTTCATCTATCAGACACCTCCGCCAGCCCAGCACTAACACAACTACCTAGATATACACGAACTTGTTGACAAATTCAAGCGGTTCACCTGCATGGGTGCAGGTACAGGTACATGCTCCTATCAATCTTGAAAGAATACTTAGCACTTAAACGCCGCAAATCACATAGTATACTTAGAGGCACTCTGATCGTCAACTGATTGAGTCCGCCATACAAAAACACTTAATAAGGAACATTGAAAGGTAAGAATTAAGAATTTATATCAATTACGTAGACTTACTAATTTCTTTGTTGAATGTTCATTTGTTTCACCAGAGTCAATCTTTTTACATGAAGCTGGAAAATTATTTTGGAAAAGAAAACAAAAAAAACAAATGCAAGAACATTGACACGTGACACCATTCTAATTTTTCACGTCTTTTTCAAAACAATAAAATAATCAAACCTTAAGCGTCAGTGGCACAGCGGTAACATGTATTGATATCAGTTAGAGAGAAACCATTGAAAACCAGTGAGGGAGTACTGGACAGCTGTTTCGTCCTACTTTGGGACTCAACAGCAGTGGGCTCGAACCCAGGACCTTCCGGCTCAATGGTTCTTTAACAGATACCAATCAGTGGTAAAATCTGAAACAAATGAAATCCCTACAAACCAATTCTTGAAAAATAAATTCTTTCTTAATTAACCCAGGAAAGATTGAGGGGGAGGCACCGACAGAGAAGAACAAGTAGGATCCAAGAATGAACAAACTGTAGAAGCACATATTGAGTGATATCAGATTGTCTAAACCACATTAAGTATTTAATTGGTGGATGGTGACTAGAAGTGGTGGAATCCAGGATAACGCGCATTTCGTCCTATTTGGGACTCGTCCTCCAGCTGGATGTACCTGCATTCCCCAGTGAGTGATGATGTTCTCACCACCACCGAGGATCGAACCCAGTGACCATAGTTTCAAACGCCAAAGCGCGTTATCCACTAGACCACTTGGGCCACGAGAGCCACCACCTCTTGTGCAATGGGTCATATTAATTATTTAGTTGAATTTTAGACTTTCCCGTCGATTGATTGAACTGAAGTGCTCGGTCTCAGGTTGACATCTCGGCTTCTTGTGCAGATGCTTCGACGATGTCTGGATTCGAGCCACGGTGGGAACATTTTTACTTATTCATTTAAACGCAGAAAAAACTTGGTACAATATGTCATCAAGAAAGATGCGCCACACAATAATAATAAAACAACATAGATTAAAAGTAAAAATATAGGTGTAGACAACGGATAGAGAACTTCATCTGGAAGGAAAACAGTCATACTTAACAAGTTCAAACAGTATTCGTCAGCTATCATCGGGAAGGGAAGAAAGAAGGAAATAGCAGCACGTTCGCTACTGATTACGATTCTTGGCCTCAGAACTACTCACGCGATGATGCCATCGAACGCAAGCAATCCTGCAGAGACGGAGATGATCGAACACGCAGAGTCGCCGCACATCCTCAGCCTACTCGGAGAGGCCAGGTTTCACAGGCGTAGAGCAGCGCAGCCCGCACCGAAGCATTGTATACCCGACCTTTGACAGCCAGGCTAACGTCGTGACGGCGCCAGAGGTGGCTCAAGTTGATGTATGCCACCCTAGCCTTCATTATACGGTTGGAAATCTCATCCGTCACCCCTCCGCCAGCACTCACACAACTACCCAGATACACAAACTTATCAACAACTTCAAGCGGTTCACCCGCAAGAGTGAGTGCAAGTACAGGCTCCTGCCAATCTTGTAACAGTACTTTGCACTTAGACGGTGCAAAGCACATACCATACTTACAGACACTGGGAACATCATCGCTCACTGAGAAATGCAGGTACATCCAGCTGGAGGACGAGTCCCAAATGGGACGAAGTGTGCACTATGCTGGATTCCACAGTACTAGTCACCATCACATTACATAGAAGGTTAAAAGAAATATCTTCCAAGAAGTTGACATGATTGGGGGAGGGGTAAGAAAGAACAAGAAAGATGCAGCATAAAAGAGTTACGTAACACATACAACAATTCAACAAACAATTACTCACCTTGTTCAACCTCCAGCACAGAATAAACACACACTGTATTATTATTATTTATCGAATTCATCAACAGATTTGCATATCTTTGATAATTTGGATCACTGACAGACAGCGATTTATGATTTGGTCGTAAACGACAAAATTGTTGTAAACCATTTTCAGTTAATTTTTGAGTAATTCCCATTTCAGATTTCATTCTAGGCAGTAACATGTCTAATCGATGACATAACCATGGTTCCCAATCTGTTGATAACAGTTCACGTATACGCATAACTTGTTCAATTGAAGAATAATAATAAACGCATGGTTCATTAGCATATGAAATAGATGGATTACATTGAAGTGTTCTTCGGCTCTTTTTATCATTTTGTTTTACCCGCACTGATTGACTGTCACAATTTGATGACTTGGAAGGTGAGTTGATGCCTTCATTATTATTATTATTACTATTATTGGAGCCGGGAGTATTTTCCATTTTCACAGCATCAACAGCGCCGCTATTTTCAACAACATTATTAGTATCAATATCTGCATCACTATCTTCCATTTCTTGATCTTTTTCGATTAACTCACAACCACATTCTGCTTCCCATACTTTATCTATAACACCGTCATGAAATCCCATTAATTCTGGTTCACGTTGACTAAAGTCAACTGGTTCACTGAAAATTTAAAAAAAAAAAACAAAAAAAACAAGCATAGATTGTTTAATTGAATTTTAGATTTTCCCTGTCGATCAATTGGACAGAAGTGCTCCACCTCAGGTTAATATATCAGCTTCTTGTGCAGATGCTTCGATGATAGCTGGGTATGTAATTAGAATTTAATTGGTGGATGGTGACTAGTAGTGGTGGAATCCAGCATTTCGTCCTATTTCGGACTCGTCCTCCAGCTGGATATACCTGCATTCCCCAGTGAGTGATGATGTTCCCACCGAGGCTCTTGTGGTCCAATTGGTCTAGGGGATAACGCTTTGGCGATTGCAACTATGGCCATTGGATTCGAGCCCGGATTTCACTGCTAGTCACCATCCACCAATTAATTTCTAAATATAGATTGTTATTAAGTGTTGGTTTGCAGGGTTTTGATTGGTTACAGGACTCATCGCGAGCTGACATTAGTTAGAAAACCAGTGAGGGATTACTGGAAAACTGCTTCGTCCCAGTTTAGGATTTCTCACCAGCACCCACCCGCCAGGGTTCGAACCCAGGACATTCTGGTTACCAGGCGAGCACACACTACTCACATCGACCAATAGTGCTTGCCAACCAACCATATAAAAGTGGTCTAAACAGCCATTTTGTTCGTTTTAGACCGAGTTTATCAGTGGTGTAACCCGGCTAAACTCAGCCCAGGCAGCCAAACTAGTTCAAACGATCCGACTTCTAGCTAGCTACTTGGGCAAATTGTTAACATCATTAAATCAAATAGACAGTTTACAATATTGCACTTTGTAGGAATGAGACATGAAAAAAGAAATCAAGAAAAGAATTTTCGTATGATATTTTGTGACTGCTTCCCCTTTATTTATATGACCTCTGGACGTCTAAATGCACAATATGATTATGGGATAATCAGTTATCAGACATACAGGCGGAGAAAGAGGCTGGACAGACACGTGCGTCACTAGTTTAAACAGTCAACACACCTGTCTCGATAATACCTACAACTAATACACTACTCCGTAGGAGTTCATGCAAAAGGTTATTAACCGCCTATGATGACTGAAGACTTATAATCTTTTCCATTTGTGATAAAGGTGGATGAATTAAAATTTAAACCGTAGACCCATAAAAATTAAGCGTCAAACCACAGCTCCATTTCATACTTAATCCTCTACTGTGATCACCTCTTCCAATATTCTTCGGATGGTATGCGCTAGTGAATTAGCAATTAATAACATCAACGACAACAACAACAAAAAAAATCAATTATGCACACGAATTACAGACATTTTTGACTGACACGTCAGGCACTACTCTACTCCACCCAACTACCTTGTTATTTGAAAAATCTACAAGAAAGATAATTAGTAGCCAGGGTGTTTCTAACTCATAGGCTAATAGCAGTTGGACACCAAAAGATACATACATAGTAACCACTTTGACAAGCAGTAATAATAATATTATTATTATTCCCTTGCGTTCCGAGTGGTGGAACATAGGGCTTCAACAACACATCACATCTCCATTTTGTTCGGTTTTCTGCCGTCCTCTTCAGCTGGCTACCTCCATGATTGACCAAACTCTGTCATCTGCTCCTCCACAAACGATCTCCTTCATGTCACCCTTGCAGTGATGACCCACTCGTCGCTTCCCATTTGGATTCCACTCGAGCGATGGCCTGCATTACGTGTGATGTCATTCGGCGGCTTCCTCAATGTATGCTCGGTCCATCTCCACTTTCTCCTACATATTTGTTGAGCGATTGGCTGTTGCCTGTTGGTTTGTTCCCATAGCTTCTTGTTACTCATTCTTTCTGGCCATTTGATCTTCAGTATGGAGCCAGCCAGCGAGGAAGGCGATGGCTAGGCAGGCATGCGTAACACATGTCCTAACCATCTCAGTCGATATAACTTCACAGCCTCATCGATTGATTTCCCCTTCCACTTACCTAGCACTCGACCGATGCCTAACTTCAATATTGCTCACCATATTATACCACTTCCCAATCAGCCAACCGATTAACAAACATACCTTACTATAGACCAAATTTACCAACTAATAAAGAATAAGCCATATGAGGAAGAAGTTCAACTTCTAAATCAATAAAAAATGATCAATAGAGGCGTAAATACTAACAACCCATCAATCAAGACAATGGTTCTCAGTAGGAAGATACAATTATATCATCATTCATGGAAGAAGAATTCAAATAAGTTCATTTCATAATGAGACCTAAGCTGAAGATGTTGTTGTCTGGTTGGAAGATAACGAAAGCTTCGCAATTAAATCAACAACCAGGTCAGAGAGAGAACACAACTAAACCAAAAAGATCCTTCTAAATGATCTTGGTTAATGACAAAACCTACATTAGATGGAGGATTTCATCATGAGCTGACATCAGTTAGATAACTATTGGAAAACCTGGAAGTACTGGACAGCCGTTTCGTTCTAGTTTAGGACTCTTCATCAGTACGCACCCACCTGGGTTCGCGCTATGTCGTGAATTAGCAGAAGTTAGAATTCATGGGCTGACCATTGGATCGGTTCCTAGTGGCTTAATGGTCTACGAGCTCTCTAGCCTTGTAACCAGAAGGTCCTGGGTTCGAATCCCTCAGTGTAGGTGTGTACTGTTGAAGAGTCCCAAACTAGGACGAAACAGCTGTCCAGTACTCCCAGGTTTTCCAGTGGTTCTCTAAATGATGTCAGCTCATGATGAAATCCCCCATCCAATCAAACTAAATCCCTACAAAACCAAAACCATTACACAGAAGCTCTTCAATCGATGAAGAGTACACAATCAATTTAAGTGAATGTTTGCTTTTCAACTACAACTTTTTTTATATAACACAAAGATTCTCTGCTCATTATCATGAGTGTTACTCACCTAAATTAGATATTTCTTATTGGTAAAAAGCAGTACACTAAACATTAAGACTGAAAATATATTACAATAATTCACACTTTTGCAATAAAACCACTTACATAATTAATCGTCGACTAATATACCAATATAACCGACCAGCTCTATCTTTACCAATTGGTTCTTGATAATGTGCTACACCAGATTTTTCAGCTTCAGATAAACAATCTGTTACACCTGGTGTCTGTAGAGAAAAAAATAGTTTTAGGGTAAACAACAAAGACAAAAAGTTTATTGGCGAAATAATAATTCATGAATGCATTAAACACATGAGTCTGCTAGCGCCAACCGTGGAGGAGGTGAAGGTTTGACTCACAGCACCGACCAATGCACTTTAAGAAAAACCTCATCTGGCTAATAGTCAGTCCAAAAAAGAGGGATTATTATTGTTTCCTTTAGTTCCTAGAGGAACATAAGGCTTCAACCGCACGTCTCCATTGCGTTCGGTTCTCCGCCAGAGTTTTCTCACCTGGCTACACTCTGCCCACATGCTTTCATCTCCTCTTCACATCACCTCCTCCTCTTCCACCTCATCCCCGCACTGACGACCAACTCGCCACTTTCCACTCGAGCGATGGTCTGGCGTGTGATGTCACTCACTTGGTGGTTGGTTTTCCCAAAGTATGACCAGTCCACCTCTATTTCTTCCTGCATATTTGTTGCACAATTCGTTCCTGCTGGGTTGGTTCGCACATTACCAGAGATCCCTTTGCTGATCTTTTGTGGCCATCTAATCTTTAGTAGTATTGAGCGAAGACAGCTGTTGATGAAGGTGTGTAGTTTGTTCGAAGTGCCCTTCGTGATGCGGCGCAGCGCCAATTCACTGATCCGTATAGTGGCACTGATTTCACACTGGAGTTGAAGATGCGGATCTTATTTTTCATGCTGAGTGCCGTTGATCTCAGCACTTTTCCAAACCTAACCAACAACTACTGGTATCATTATACCCTGGAGTTCCCAGTGGAATATAGGGCTTCGACTTCCTCATTTCATCCTGTTGTCTACAGTCTATAAGCCTTTATTTCCTTCTCAAAGGACCTCTTCCAGGTCACCTCCCAGACCCACGCTCAACTCGTCGTCTCCCATTTGGGTCCTATTAGAGGGCATAGAGCATGAAATCACACAAAAGTCTCCTCAATGCATATCCAATCTATCTCCATTTTCTTCAGCATATCTGTCAGGCGATTGGTTGTTGGTTGGTTTATTGCCAGAGTCCTATTCTAGCCATTTGATCTTCAATATCGAGTAAGTGGGACAGGTGCTGATAAATATTAGCAGCCTGTTGGAGGTGCTTTGAATTTTCTAAGCACACTTAGACTATTTTAAATAATCTTATAATAATCAAGCCTTTGACTGAGATTTCATCTGAGAAGCTCCAGTGATAAAGTCTTCAGGGAAAAGTTCAACAATAGCGTCATCCCAAGGGATGCAAACGCACAAGTGACCTTCAGCCAACCAATCGTAGAAATTAGTGACTTTCGCACAAAAAATTACGTATTTTTAAAAGGAAATGCTTGAAAACACACTAGACAGTTATAATGAGGAGTATCAGTTGCTAAGTTAGACTAGTTTCTGTACATGTATTCACCGAGGTGACTAAAGATGAGCTGTTTTTGTGAATCGTTTATCTCTCTTATCCTGTTGTGCAGTCTTCTCCAAAAGCCCTCGGATGAATTACTATGGTTTCCAGTAAGAGGATCGACGACTGCTTACCAGGGAAATGTGGGTAAGGAAACAAAATAAAATAAATGACAACAACTCAATCCATCCCTAATCGTAACCCTAATCCTAACCCTAGAGAGCTATTAACACACTGTCCAAACAGTACTTCAGAACGTGATCTGGGTGAAATTTGCTGCTTAGTTGGTGAATAGCTTTGATATTTCAGCTATCAAAATGACAGATACCGCTATAAACAACGACTAGCATGCGTTCAAGGTCATTGGAGTGTTCGCACTCCTGGAACGCTATTGTTGAACTTTGCTGTGTTCTGTAATATTCTCTCTCTCCCTCATTCTAGAATGAGTGATCAAAGAAAACTACCACTTAGATAAACACACTTTATATATACATACACAAATATGCAAGTTACCTTTTGTTTAACGCAAACTGGACATATCCAACTGGATGTCGGTACTGACGATAAAGGAGGATTTAAACAATGCAGATGAAATACAGCAGTACACCCGTCACAACACAACACTTCTCCACTTCTACAAAGAAAGATATAAATATATACATAATAAAATAATTTCTAAATTATATCAAGTGTAAATTCAATCTTAAACTGGATAGGGCTAGACTCAACCTTTAACGAATAACACTTTAACCATACGGTTAATTTCAAATTATTACAAGTGCAAAAAACGTTGGTATTCATATTGTACCGATACAGAAATACAGATGTAGGTCATCATAGGGTTTATGTACTCAAATTTTAATCCGTAGATTTGCGAGTACTAACCCCCTTTAAGTGGCATTAACACACTAGCTTTCCTCTCACAACAAGCCCAGTTCATTATCAAAAGCATGTCAAATGCTAACGCTTGTTGAATAACACTTTCCAACCCCCCCATTAACTAGCCAGTACTACCGAGGGTGGATAAAGACTCCAGTTTCCTCTAGAAACGGTTCTTGTGACGCCACGTGATTACAGCTTCTGACAGGTAAGTTATCCTATTCAATGCCTTCACGCAGCGAATGGAGTGTTGCTCAAAAATGTGAAAGGGCAAATGCGAAAGTCTGGCACTTACAAGTGGACTGGAGGACATGCTGAAAAACTCGATTCCTGATCAATGTTTTACATGGGCTCTAGAATGCGAACGGATCGAATTGAGTATGAACCATGGGGGAAACAGCTCCACTACCTTGTGGATCAGACTTTAAGTTGAAGGCTCGGTCCGAGAGTTCAGACAGTATCCCAACCACCTAACAGAGATTATGAGCAATAGTTTATGCTCGAAACGTCATCAGTTAATATTACTGTACAACACTGTGTGATTTATCAAAATAAAATCTTATCCATAATGGAGTTATGCTCTACCACAGTGCCCTAGTTTTATACTTATATCACAGAGATTTTGTCTGGCGCATCTCTTAGTGCCAACAATGTGCCGAGTTTACGTTTTAATAATAATATAACATTTTCCAGGTCTCTTTTTACGAGGAGCTACTAAAAATAATGAATAGATATAGAAAATACTCCTGTTATTCTCATGAATTAACTCTACACTGGCAAAATTCTAAACATCTAACAAACCTACAAATTTGCAAAAATTATTTGCTATGAGGTGCTTAGAAATAAACATGTATTCCTTAGGATATATAGTTTTTTGCACACATCGATTTTTATCAATCTTCAGCCTTGTGAAAACTGGTTCATCTACTTTACATTAAACTTAGAAACGATAGAGTTGAACTGACGCTACGCGCCAGAGCTGAGTCTAAAATAGCAAAAGCATCAAAATGGTGTGAATCACTGACTTAGGAACTTGAGTTCCAGCCAGTAGGCCCCGGGTTTGAACCACGCTCTACCTGGACAACTGCATAATATCAGCCCTCACACAATAAGTACTAATATATACATATATATATAAAGCCAAACTGTACTTACTGATGACAAACACGGCAGTAATCTTCATGTGCCATTAAACCCTCACGCAGAATATCTCCCCGAACTTGACCAGTTGCCAAAAATAAGTTGGTAAGACCACGAAGAACAGCTATACGCGATTGAATTGGAACAAAAGGATAATCCGAATTCAGTGGGATGAGATCATCAGGAAAGAGTGCTGCAGAAAGTACTGCATCCGCTCCACCTGAACTAGTTGGTCCACCAACATTTCCAGCACCTGTCATTGTATTTATCGCAGACATACGAGCTGCAGCCTCTGTTGATTTAATACTCGATAGATAATTAGCTAGTAAATAAGGCCAATTGAATCTGTCTAATAGATAGAAAGTCATATTGACTGAATCTTTACAATCCATAGGACACATTGATGTTCCATTCGATTCATCTTCACGTAGAAGAGCTTTCAGTAACACCATATGTGTTTCAGCAAGTAAATTAGAATTCTCATCTGATATAAGGCAAGCTAAAAAGTCTTCCAGTCGGAACGGTGACAGACGTAGTAGAGATCCATAACGTCGAAGCACCTCATATATAGATAAAGCATCAAGAAGATATTCCCGTGGGCATACAAGATCATTTCCTGATGGAGGCAGGCTAAGTGGAGGTGCTCGGAACCTAAGTTCAATAGGATCCATTTCAAGCATTTTCAGTGTATGTGCATCATTAAGGAAGGAAGAACTTGTAACTGTTGTGTTCGCCGCAATGGCTGCATTTGAATCAACAACAATACTGACATTGTCTGAAGGTTCAGACTTGACAACTGAATTCACCTCTTCAGAATTTGACGAGATACCCGGAGAAGGTGGTGGTGGGAGCATATCTAAAACAGATTGTCGAAAAGGCGAGGCTGGTTCCTGTAACTCATCTTCATTCTGTTCATGAATATCATCTAGTGATTTTTGATAACCACTTCGAGTAGACTTGTCATCTAGTTCACTGATATCTTCACTACTGTCACTAGGATCAATAAGTCCAGCTAAAGCTGCATAACCTCCTCGTCTTTTGCTTCGAGTACTCGATTCACGTTGGTTAATATTTGAACTGTTTGAAGCAGATGTTTGGTATTGATGCATCATGAAAGCATCATTCTTTATGCTGCCTCTTCTGCCTTGAGCATTAGCACGTGCAGCAGCCCGTGCTTCCATTTCCTGAAAAGTAAACACAAATTATGGTTGAAGATTAGCAGAAAATGTAAACAGACAAGGAATCACTTTTCAGGTTGTCAAGAAATGGTATCACTAATTACACTGCTCACTTTGACAAAACGTATGTTGAATGAAACATACCTACGCTAATATACCGATAGGTAGGAATACACAACAATACAGTTCTGTTGTATATCCAGTCATATGCAAATCGACGAGGCTGTGAAATTACATCGACTGAGAGGGTTAGGACATGTGTAACGTGTACCTAGTTATCTCCTTCCTCGACAATGGGCAATGTTAACTGGTATAGGGTCAGTCTCGAAAAGAGCTAGAGGCGGTCAGACCAAAACATGGTACCAGTCAATGAAATCCACAACAGTTTGTTTAATCCAGCCGCCACGTAGGAAGGTGGAGCTTTCCTCAGGACGGTAAAAACCAATGGCTGGAAACAATTGATGATATGGGTCAAACTCATCGTTCTCAATGGCTAGCGCAGATGCATCCACTCCTTGTGACTTGTGATTTCCAATGAAACTTTTTTTCTTTGTTATTACTATTCCTTTTGTCTCATATCTCTGTTTGCTGTTTCTATTTTGCATTCCTTTTTACTTTCTTCTCTTGCTTTGTGTGCTACATGGAGGGAGTGTGGCGACTTGAACTGCTGCATATTGGTGCAAAGTTCTATGTCGAAAACAGACAGACATATGCTACTGAGTTTCCGAAAACATAAAATTCGGATTATAGTAATTTCGGAAAAGAGAAAATATGGATTAATACGCTGGAGTCTGTTATCTCTTGTATTCATATGTTAAAGAATTTGAAAACTTGGTGATTTTTCGGTATTTAAATCGAACAATAGGCCCGACAAAGTTTCGAGTTTTTCAAGCAATAAATCAATAAGCCAGATAAAGAAAAGTCATAGGTTCTATGTACAGTGAACATTCAGAGTCAACATTTTGAAAAGGACAGTGAATATAACGAACTTGTTAATACATAAAAAGTGAACCAAAGACCAGTTATAACTTTAAAAATTCATAACTTAGGTGTATAATCGCTAAATAAATTTCCATTTCTTCATGAGTACATTTACCATTATACTCTTTAACAAAGAAATATCTCAAAAATTAACCAATATCCATGAAGTAAAATCAGTACATGTCTAGTCACTGTTTTTCTTCGATTATCAAACATATTACCCTATTTCAAACTTTATAATCTGTAACACAAATTTACAGCTATGAAAAGAAATATTAGAACTAAAGTAGCACAATTATGGGATAAACTTTGAAACCCTACCGGAAACACAACTGTCTTCTACCAAATGTTTTTTAAGGTTTTTAACGTCACTGTTTTGTTTTTTTCCTGCGAAATCTGTCTGATGGAAAGTATGGTAGCATTGATTTACCCAACAGTAATCACAAAGATTTCCGATATAACTTTGCTTAAGCTTAATAAATATCCAAATCACTAGGGAACACACCACAGGAACTGAAAGTGAAAAACTGAGGGTGAACATCAAACCAATTGGTGTGATACTAAGACTTTTGACAGTCTTGTTAACGTAAATTCATATCATTCCGTTTAGGAATAAACATCAAGATGTGGTCCGAATCAACACATTGTATATCTGTGCATCAGAGACAATGAGAGGTGAAAATGGCTTAATCCAACATAACGTGAACAGATCAGAAGTGCTTCACATAACTTAAGTCTGTGAACTCATCTTACTTCGTTTTCCGTCTTCAGAAAAGGAAGTGGACAAACACTACTGTGATCATATACGCCGTAAAAACTGGAAACAGAAACTCAGTCGTAATTTGTTTAGTAGTGTGCTACCACATTTTTTAAATTATAATTGTCACTAGTATCCGCTAAGTGTCCACGATTTTAGTTGCAGACACAAAACTTTCTGCAGTTGCATTTTTCATACTGCACACTAAAATGTACTGATTAAAGCTTTAATGTAAAACTATGTGTTGGTGAAAACTGTTCCTAAGCTACTGAAATGGTGTGCTGCGAAACTACCTGATGTTATCTACATATCCCCAAAAGTATTAGTGGAAAGTGTAAAACATCTCACATTAGCATTACCGCATGAAGCTTGCTAAATTTAATTACTTATACGAACTGTGATTAAGATTTGACCGGATAGTTACATAAAAATTGGGTGCCAGGAGAAACGGAGACATGTGTCAAAACTATCTGTGTCAATCTTGAAATTGTTAAACGTAATTCCAAAGTTTCCCCCTGAGATTAATACAAATATGATTTTTACATATGTTTAAGAGCAATAAAAACTGCACATAGTAACCATAAACAAAAATGTTGAACATACCCTTCGCTTTCTAGACTCTTCCTCAGCATCTTCACGCATCTTTTCTTCCTCTAACCTTCTGAAATATTCATCGTCATCTAATTCATCCTCAAGACCCAAATGAGGTCCATCTGAATCACTTGATTCAAGCCATGGTTGGCTTGGATCCACTGGACGCTTACGAGCACCATTCCTGCTGCCTTTGGGACGTCCACGTTTTTTACCCTGACGCTTCTGATCATTGGCTGCAATAAAGTACATAGTTTAGTTCATATTTTGACTACTTAATACAAATGTAAATATATATTAACGACAAGAGTCAACAATACCACCAAGAAACTTTCATGGAAAAAAATGCTAACCATCAAAAACACCATTTAAAATCAATTGTCGGTATACATAAGTATTAAATGTAAATGATAATTGATAAATAATACCGAATACACTGCCAGTAACTTACAACTGCTGTTGGCTACCAAGGCAGCATCATCATCTTTAAGCATTTTCTCATAATTAATTAAATCATTTTCACCAATTACATTTTGCTTCGAATTTTCTTTAATTTGATCCCAATTTGTAATTTCAACTGGATTGAGAAACACCACCTTTGTCCGCTTTTTAGCGCCAGCCAACGAGCTGGCTGCCCCAGCGGTCACAAGGCCACTCGTGCCAGCTGAGGACGAATCCATTTCGGCCTCTACCAGAGGCAATTAAGAGAATCTCAAGGTCACAGATAGGGTCTAGCGAACGGGCCAGAGCGCGGTACGCTTATTTGAGGAACAAAGTGCAAATTTAAACAAATATTTTTTGTGATTTCATTTACACTATATTTTTGTCCCATAAAGTGGGTTATTTACCTTCTCTTCTTATTTATATTATTATGAACACCAGTTTTGCAGACCTCGCCTGTTATCTTGAGCGCATCAGTACATAAACTTAATGAGTGAAGCTATCTTATGGATTCACTGGGGCAGAGATTTACAGGTTATTTTTCGGTTTTATGGGACTAAGAAGAGTTGGAAGTTATCACCCTTGGATTTTATATTACTCATGGCCGTTTTAATTCCTGGAATACTTTCCTCATACTTCCACTAGTGGCTGTGAAAATCCTGTATAGAAAAACTACGGATGATTCACGTACTCACATGTCCAGTGACCCAACAAGTCAAACATCTTTAAGGCAAATATAGTGAATTTGCAAACTGCGGTGATTGTAAACAGCCGCAAATATTCGAAGATACTCGTCCATTATATCTTGTATTGAATCAATTTACGGTTGTAATCATGTCATGTGGTGCTACGCCATCTCAAGTTTGTAAACTGACACTTCATCATAAAATCTCAGCACAGTCAAATACTGATCAGCCGATTACATTCTGTTAACGCCCTTTACTGCTCACGAATCCATTTCATGCATGCTAGCAGGGTATCATCACATTTTGCGTGTTGGTATTATTGGGGATTATCCCGTATGATTTCCCCTACACCGTTATGCAGCTTTCAAAAAATTATGTAACACTAGTAACACTAAAACTGATATGGTTGTAATCAGTAATCTATGCTCTGAATATCATCCAGTTGTTAATACTGCATCACTGTGCGACATTTAAAATAATCTTATCTAATATGGAATTACATTCTACAACAGTGCCCAAGTTATGCACTTCAAAAAAATTAACCTGATATCGGATGCTCACCAGACAATTGCAAGCTCCCTCATGCATTGTTTCCATGAATGAGGTCTTCATCACTGTCGGACATTTGTTGGGCGTTTAGGCCGACCCTCCTGTAGAAGGTGTCTGTGAAATTTCAGTTTTATCCAGAACTGTTTAGGGTTGGAAAAGACGAAAAGATTTGAGAAGAGATGAGACTTGCGGAATTATACTGAATGCTGTATCAAGGACCACCTCTCACGACTTTTGCTTCCTTCCTTTGAATAAACAGGCGCTTAATCACCCGTCCCATGTAACACCTTAATGATATGAGGGCGAAAAGATGTCATTTAAGAGAAATGCAAAGCGTAGTTTTCATGCATAGAACCCTATATATGTCAGTAGTCACAGGTCATTAGACCAGTATACGTAGAAAACAAGAAGATGGCAGTCTTGGTTGATGTTCATTTCTTTAGAAAGCAGGTGAGCTGGTGAAGCGAATGATGGCATTCATAATTCAGTACAGCTCACAAAGGTGTAGAAACATTACAAACAATAAAAACGGTGTAGTCTCCGTTTGCCTATTGGTCGTTTTTATCCTTCTGCACTTCTTTATCATTAACCCCCTCAATACGGTGAAATTATGTTGTTTCCTTTCTCTGAGTCCTGCACTTTCTGGAGACTCTTCATATCTGTTATGTGTAGGTCAATATCTTGAACACACACTATTAGGCGTGATGAAAACTGCCCTTGATATCTTCCACCTCAAGCCTAATGATTCGTACACTTACCGAAATACGGTACTGAGAACTGGATTAAACAGTCACAGTGAAACGTAGTCAACAGTTTCATCTTTCGCGAAACACTTATAATCGGCAATACTGACATGGACCTGTTCATTAGAGATAAACTGACAGCTTCATAAAAATAAAATATTCCCTGCTGGTATTTTTTAAATTTTTTTTGATTGCATGGAGGATTTCATCATGAGGTGACATCAGTTAGAGAAACACTGGAAAACCTGGGAGTATTGAACAGCTGTTTCGTCAGCCTAGTTTGGGACTCTTCATCAGTACGCACCCAGCGGGGTTCGAACTCAGGACCTTCTGGTTACATGGTGAGCTAGCTCGTAGACCATTGAGTCACTAGGACCCGATCCAATGGTCCTTGAATTCTAACTTCTGCCAATTCACGACATAGCGCGAGCATTTCGCAATGTCTTCTTTGATGAGTTACTGCCTCATCTTCAACCTGACGTACCCTACTGGACACGGCTTCCCACTAGAACCCCAGGTTAACTGCCTGAATAGGAACAGTTGCTAGTGAGCATCAGATTAATTTTCATGTGTTGGTTTTGTAGGGATTTTGTTTGATTGACTGGTTGGAGGATTTCATCATGAGCTGACATCAGTTAATGGAATCCTCCATGCAATCAAACAAAATCCCTACGAAACCAATACTTTAAACTTTTTTATTCCTTTACCTTCCCAATATAATATAGGACTTTCGGTGGCAGTTGTTTTTATTTTTACGCAATGAGGTTGCTAGCCTCATGCCCAAACTTCCATCTTTACTAGTCTTATTACTGCAATTGGCGGGCGAGTCAAATGCTGTGCTGTTCAGACAAAGGGGAGTTTGCATGTCGTTAATTTACGATACTTAGGTGGGGAAATTTAGTTGGTTCTTCGTAAAATTTCCATTTAAATAAACATTTTGCCAAGCCTAAGGGCGATATTCTTCCTTACCAAGAGGACTATGTCGACTATAACCTGACCACTAAGTTAGCTTTCGATGTAGTCGCATCTACCCGCAGAGATTTTCAGGCATTTTTCTAAGACTTAGAATTAGCTTTTTACTTAGAAATGATTTAGGCTTCGCGCAATATTTTCAACTCCTTGGAAAATTAATTTGTCAACCGCCTCCCATTTCACTACCACCAAGCTATTTGGCTTTGACTTTTCAGTAGGAATGTATTTCATGAACAGCCTAAATTGCAGCGGCTAACTATGCAGTTTCCTAAGAAGACTGAATGACAGATTAATTAACCTAGATCTACTCGGCTTGCTTCTGAAGTAATTTGTTTCATTAAGTTAGAAGATATAAGCAGTTTTCCATAAATAAACCTTTAAGTTCGGGGCTAACTGTCACTATTATCAGAATCCTGTAGATCAATATGTACTGAACAGTCTGAGACCACTGTTTGGCAGCAACCTATAAGTTTCAAATAACCTTTGAAGTGAGCCACGTCATGCACTTCTGATATTTATAACTTAAGAGGAAAGTTCGTGGCATTTGTATCTTTATTAGCTACACGAAAATATGTCTATTGGATATCAAAGATATTTTTCAGCTCAACTGAGACTCATCCAGTTTGCCCTAACTTTTCAGTTCGATTATCCGTGCTGGGTGAGTCACATAACAGACAAGTGAATTTTCAAGGAGTAGGAGCGCGGTTGCTGTGATATGGTGTGATTGTGTATCCCTGTGTTCTCTCTACATTATCAGTGATAAATACATCCTCGAGCAGCTGTAAGTACTGTATTCTCCCCTCACTAGTTGAGACGGTATTAGGAGCGACCTGGCATCCATGTTAAGTGAGCAAGGCTACTAAGTCAGCTGGTATTATGGTCAAAGGGTGGGGCTAGCAGGACAGACGGTCACACAACAGTCACGAGCGTTATTTCTAGTCAAAGCCGGCAGGAAAGCGGGCACGAGGTCGTTCAAGAAGTGTAACCAACTGGTTTCTCAAGCATCAACCAATCGAAGATGAAAGCGATGCTAAAGTTATATCTCCATGGTTTATTCTGAGGAACCACCGTCACATGTAGTATAAATACTAAAGTATCGGTACTCGAAAGAACACACTCCTTAAGCATTCATTAATACATACTGTCTACATGAATAAACACCCCGATAATGAGAACATTTTTTTCCTTCACGTTCCCCAGTGGAACATAGAGCTTCAAGCTAGAGGCTTGAAGTTTCTGTAGCAGTGTTCATTTTACAGGATGGGGTTGGTAGCCCATGCCCAACCTTTCCTCTTCACCAGCATTATTTCTGGCTTAGCGAGGTAGAGCAGTGCCTCGTCGACCGGGGATCGAACCCTGGAACATGTGCATGGTCGGTGAGCGCTATGTCACCGACGCTAATGAGAACATTAACGACATTATATGAAGGCAAATACAAAATTGTAGCAACTGTTTCTGAGAAGACAGTTGCTTACTTCAAATGAATATTGTAAGCTCATCAGACTGTTGACCTCAGCCAGAAATAACCTTGATAGCCACTGTGTAGCCGTGTAGTTCAACGGGGACAAGTTTAGTCCACACAAAAGGCCGACTTCTTAGGCCGGCCCACCCTAAACTGGTGAGGCAATCATGTCCAGTTGAAAACGCCGATTTATTAGCAGTCACCTGCGTAGAGCAACAGCTGGTATGGTTAGTATCTGCGTAGGCGATCGACTGTGAGTACTGGATTGAGACAGGCTATCAGGAAAACAGAAGGAGCATATAAACCATCATAAATCTGACACCAAATGTTTGTCCCTCCAAGCCCCAATAATCAGTGGTCATTTTCTTTGAATTACATTGATGTATATAAACAGATTTGTTGTGCAGCATGAAGCTTATTTAGGTTCACGAACTTCGGTGATCTCATACAAACTGGGATTCCACGAACCCAGCAATCCAACATCTACTTTCAGAATATTCTTCGAATGAGGATGTTATCGTCACTCTCATCTGTTGGGAGGAAACCTAGAAGAATTTCATTCAATTAAGGCGGCGATTTCGTTTTCAAAACTGGTAGGATGGAAGTTGCGTTTTACCCGAAGTACGAGGACACTTCTTCTACTAACCGTAGGCACGGAATGACTTACGAGTCCCTGTACAGTTACAACGCATGTCCATATCAATATTATTTCAATTATTAATTGTAGACAGTTACTATTTGTCATTATATCATATTATAGTGCTGTAAAATGCATGCATTTCATGTAATTATGTATAATGAGATATAATTATTATTATTATTTGGGCAGATATGTGGATCTTGAAGCAACAGAAGTGGCACACATTGTATTAATTGTAATTCGTAAATATATGGTCTTGTCCATATTGGAATATACTGCCCCCTCCAAACGATCATTATCAACCTGAAAAGGTAGTTCTAAACACATTTTTAGCTGTGAATTATAATGGGGCTACTTTGTCCTTCTAGGAGGACATGTGCGTTAGTACACATTTCAGTTAGTCTAGATCATTAACAAAAGTAACAATAAGGGTTGTACAGATCTAAATTTAAAATGCTTTGCTCCTATCATCTGTAGGCCTGTTCAACTTCTTGTCAAGATGCTACCTCATTGGCCATACAGAAATTCGTGAGACATCTTACAGGTCAGCTTGTCCTACTAGTTCTAATCTTTCAGATCTTTGAATCCACTTCTGACTGAAATATCACTTATCTACCTCATGATAATTTTTTATTTACTCACTATTATACTCTATTTTATCTTAACTATCTACGCCATTGATAAAGCTAGAACTTACTCTTTGCTCATATTTGTTGCTTGATTAAAGTCTGGATGCTTTGATTAAAAACACAACAACACCAATGTTTGAACAAAGCTATCGGGAACGTCATAGTTTCCATGCTTAGACCAATATGGTAAGCACTAAACATTGCAAATGTATACTATCATTACAAGGACTCTATAGCTCCTCCTTGTTTATATACTGCAAGTGTACTTCCCATGATGTATTATCCATAATTGTATTTTATACCATTTTGCAGTTTCCCAGGACGTTCTCCTCCTCTTGAAAAAGCTTTTAATCAATTGGTGGCATGGCACTTACCTAAGTATACGCTGTTCACTGATTGACAATATATATCAGCAGGGAACGGAACGAAGTTTGGGTTGTGGCTCAACTTTGATGGTGACCTTAGTAAAGGGTTTACAACTTAACATTTATACGAACCTGTTCTGATTGCTCGTACAATAATCAAACAATTTAAACTTTTGAAAAAGTGCTAATTTATGATACTTCAGGATTGTAATTTATAACATAACTGATCGTGCCTGTAAAAATGGCATACATTTCTTGTAACCTTACCCGTCTATACGAAATAAAAATTATTATTATTTGTATTAACCGACAGTGAGATCACTAATCAAACTGCTGTACAGTTAACTTCTCTATAATCTCTATTGTTGGTTGAGTAATAAACATTCGACGTTCTGCTCTGTATTTTATTATCAGTTGCTGTGAGGTTGGCTTGATTATCAATTACCCAACAAGTGTTCTGAGTTATCTTTCGACAACGTTATTGACAGTTTTTGAATTGGTAATCCAACAACTTTCACATATGACAAAACCTTCAAAGCTCTCAAAAAGCCTTTTCTATGTGTAATTTCTTTTATTGCATGCCTTTCTCGTCAGTAACTCACCTTGTTAATCGATACAATTTTACGCAATACACCAAAAGAAATACAATAAAATACTGATTACTCCGATTACAGAAGACTAAAACTAATCTCATATTTCCTATTATCGCCCGGATAGACAATCACTCTGCCTTTTCAGGTATAAACATTATAAGCTACACTAAGCACGAAGTTGCATCACGGGAGATTTTATCCTTGGTAGATCGAAACCATTTTTTGATTGCAGCTTATGTAACTTTTCGTAGTATGGAATTTTCAGCATGGATATCGGTGGCCCAATTTTGCAGGCCTACAATAGATATCTGGTGTGCTTCGGCAGGGGATCGAACTCCGGAACATGTGCATGGTCGGCGAGAGCTACACTGTGCCACACCACTAGAATAAAAACGTGTGTCAGTACATTTCGTGACTCACGGAAGTAATTGAATGATTGAGTCAGCAAGAATCGCCAACGAATTCGGGAGATCTGACTTCCTGGATGCATTTTTCTGGTTTGAACCTGCGTGAAATTCGAATGATTTGCGGACACTTCACCGGTAACTCTGGCAGAATGATATGACTGTTAATACACTTGGTAGTTGCGCTAAGAAATTTTACCACCTTATCGATTCGCGAGCCCATTATTCTAACAACTATTAGCAACAGCAATACTATACGAAACCACCGGAAACGTGACACGAGAAGGTAAAAAGAGAAGACAGACTGTTGGCGTAGGGAGCTTCTACTGTGCTGAATGAACAACGAAACTGGTGAACAGAGATTGCGTATGTGCATGCTTTAAATGACCTAGAGAGATAGCATAGGGTTTCAAGGTCATAAGTGGGGTGAAAGAAATACAGCCAGGCATGTGAAAAGTTCATGTAGAAAATTAGGTCTGTGTATCAGAAAAGCTTCATGTATAGTCTTTGAGAACGTAAAACTGTGAAGTTAGACTAGTCTAGTTTACCATATTTTTATTACTGTGACAGACACTGTGAGCTGGAAACTAGTCTAGTAGTTTTCCCTCTGTGCCATCTGCTCTGTCATTGTGTTCCAGATGCGCATAGTTTCATACTCCGCTATGTATGTAGGAGTTATTCATTCTTTGGACCTACCTAATCAATTCGGTATGTGTGCAGCATAAGCATGTCACTCTTATTCTTTCTTTTCACACTTCTTCAGATATCTGGAAAATCTGAGAAGAAAACTGTAGGAGGTTCGCCGGGCCCAAGCAATTCGTTGATATTTAGGAAAAGTAAGGATGGGTCTAGTATATTACCTTGAGGCACACCGCTGGGAGTGACTGTCCAGGTTGAGAGACTCAAGTTGATCCTGCCCTTCTGTCTTTTAACTACGGCTTATTCTTTTAATCCAGCGTAGTAAGCAGGCTGTAATTACAAAGCTTTGCTGAAGTCTACGGAAGCAATATCAGTGAGCTTCTCCCTATCTTTAGACCTGGCCCAACTCTGGTGTCCTGTGAGGTTTTCCAAATAAGAGAGGTTCCTCGAAAAACAGTGCTGTGCATCAGATAATAGGTTTCTGTTTTGCTACCATGCTATTATATCCATCTAGTCTACTCTTTCCAGTATTTTTATCAAAGTGCTAGCAAAAATTATAGGCGCATAGTTTGGAGGGCGATTCCTAGATTCTCCCTTAAGAATAGGGATTACTACTGTCTTCTTCCAATCGAGTGGTAGTACGTCGCATGGAAGCAATGACCTGAGAATGGCAGTCAATGGGCCGGCTATGCAGGCCTAAAACTCCCTAGGTAGTCCCAGACAAGGTTCACTAGGTCCCACTGATTTCTCTGTGTATAGTTGTGATGTTTCATTTGACGTCGACACACCTATATTTTCCTTTAAGTGACAATGGGACTAGTGTTATGATTGGTGGTAACTTCTGTATGAAGACTCTGGGGAAGTATTCTTCCATTCCATGTGATTTTCATTATACTCCTCGAATGTCAGATAGGAAACTCCATGAAATATCTCACTCTTGAGGTTCATAAGATAATGTAACTTCTTGGGACGTTTTTTAACATTCTGTTCTAGATGCAGTCTGAATTTCAGCTATGAATGACGAATTTCTGCCTTAGCTTTGTTCTCATTTGTGATATACAGCTTCTTGTCCTCTGAATATGTTCCAGCACTTGTGCTTACAGCTTGGTGGACCACGATTCACGTGGTTTATCTTTAGAAAGCAAAGCTTCCCACCCTTGAGAACAGTCGACTGTGTGTAGTTAGATTAACTGGAGGTATATTACCTTTGATTGACACCATTCAGCTTCCTCTCTCACACTTGAACTCCATTCAGCTGATGGGATTTGAGGAATCCTAGCATTTACATTGGCTTTACACATGTTTTGTTGAGATGGTATTTTGACCTGGGGTACTGAGCAGCAGTGAACTTGTGGCTGAGCACACCATAATCAGCTCATTTCAGGAATGGAAGACGTTGCGTAAAGTTAACATCTATAGTGTTATCATCCCCTGTCTCCATTTCCATAAGGGATAAACTCCGGTTTACCGGACAGAAGTGTAAGACCCCAAAGAAAACTATATTTCTGTGAAGTACCGGTTCTCTTAACGAGTATTTAACTCTTAAAATTGACTTCTGGAAAATATCTGCCTAGTTCTTCAGTTGATTAATTCAAACAGTAACTGGACAAGAACAATTGCTTTATCCAAGGACTCTGACTTCAATCTGTGGCCTTTTTCTTGAAGCCTGAAATTCAATATCTGGAAATGTGAGTTGTAACAAGGCCATTGGATGCCGTGCTTAGGCGGTCTTTTGTAATTCTGAGTTACAAATCGTAATCCAACATGCCTCGGATTAACATTAAGGGAGGTGTTTGGCGAAACACGGAGGTAAATCTCTTCATATTGTTTACTGTTTTTTAAGGATGAAATCTTAAAAGCTGCTGTTATGAAATATGGCAAAAATCAATGGGCTCGGATAGCATCATTGTTACATCGCAAAGCCGCTAAACAATGTAAAGCTAGATGGTATGAATGGCTCGATCCTAGTGTCAAAAAGACGGAATGGAGCCGTGAAGAAGATGAGAAGCTTTTGCACTTGGCAAAGCTGATGCCAACACAATGGCGAACAATAGCTCCGATTGTTGGTAGAACCGCAAATCAGTGCTTAGAGCGTTATGAATACCTATTGTAATTGTCAAATCCTTTCTTATCGAGAATTTTAGGGATAAAGCGCAAAACAGGGAGGGATTATCTGCCGAAGAAGATCCAAAGCGTCTTCGACCGGGAGAAATCGACCCAAATCCTGAAACTAAACCAGCTCGTCCAGACCCCGTTGATATGGACGAGGATGAACTAGAAATGCTTTCAGAAGCTAGAGCAAGATTGGCCAATACCCAGGTTGGTTTTTTTACTGTGGTGATTATGGTGCTTTTGCCGTCTACATTTTAAGAAACGGGTCTTATGCAGAGGTAAAATGAGATTGCTAACTTGTAACATATAGCCATTAGTTTTTGAGTCTAGTCCATGAATTCCAAGTCTCTCTAATTGTGGTTACTCTGGCCATTGTGTTCTCACTCCATTTCTTTTGTAAATTGCAAATTACCGTACTTACTTAACATACTAAACTCCTTTGGTACTACTTAGTAACTTCCTCGTTGAATACCCATTAAGACTATGCGTTTAGAAATTGGTACAACTGGATATGTTCACCTTCATTGTATCGATAAACTTATGTGTAGTAGGGTTGATCGTTAAATAATTGGGCAGCATTCTGAACTTTGTAGGTAAGACCTATTGATCAGGTGGCTTTTTTTCTTCTCAGTCATTGTAGTTGAATTTTGTGTAGGATAATTCATATATGTCATTGTCAGTGGAGTAGAAATTCTGCGAGTCTTATACATTTCAAGGCAGTCTGTACTCAGTTGTCTAAAGTAAAACTGGTAGTTGAGATTTTCCAACTGCATTTTCATTGATTACAGTTTTCCATTTGTTTAGTTTATTTGCAATCGTTAATGGTTATTCCCAGTGCATCTCTTTCTAATTCAATCTTCCTTTCGGTCTGTGTTGTCGCTATCCCATTGAATTACTATGTCATCAGTTCAGTTTAACGTAGTGTGAAGTTTAATAGCACAGGTACTTGACTTCCAAAAGTGTAACCTTGGGATCAAGATGCTCTCATCGATTTCAGTCTCGGTAGTATAGTGTAATTTGTGACATATTACTAAGTTTGTATTGGGCAAGTCAGTTAACTTCATGATGAAAATTCATTAAAAATGAAGCTCTGTAGTATGAGTTGTTTCTAACATTGCTAGAGTTTACTTGTCTTTAGGATGTCTCAAACAACTGAGTGATTAATATCAGGCTCTTTTAAATTAAATTTTTATGGTTTAATAGTTGATTTTGAAATTTTTTAAATTGAATGCAAAAAATTAATGAGGAGCATAAAGCATTTCCACCACTAATGAGTTTTAAACAATTCATTTATTAAAAAGGGTTCTGTCAAGGTAATAATGACATCTACATGACATTCTTAGGCTATGCAACGATGAAATCTCTATCATCCTAGCCTTTAACTTCGGATAGAGTATGTGTTTTGGGAAGTCTATTTATAATTTATTTATTTATTTTGATTACAGCTTGATGCCACACCGTATTTTCAGTACAAGTGTAGAATTTTCAGCATGGATATCGGTAGCCCAAATTTTACAGGCTGACCATAGATATCACTTGTGCGTCAGCAGGGGATCGAACCCCGGACCATGTGCATAATCGGCGAGAGTCCTAACCACTATGCCACCGACGCACTAGGTACCTTGTTGATGTTAAGAACTTTCATACAGCGAAGTTTTTTCCCCATTAGAGGTATAAACTTCCCGTAGACCTGTAGGATTTTTTTCCTGAATTCATTCAGGAACCAAACTTTATGTCTGATGAGCATTGGTTGAATGATGTACTTTTTCCCATGGCAGATGTTTAACAGGTATTTCAATAAGCTTTAATTGGTATCCTGGAAGATTAGATATTTCGATATATGCTAACAAAAGTTTTATTCCTTTTAATTATTTAGTTGCTAGTCTCTCGTGTTGTTCAGTTGCTCTGTATTATCGAACTTTTTATCACGCTATTAATCCTCATTTATTTATTTTCCACCGATTTATATCTTTTTTTACATCAACGCCTTTTGAAACTTTTATGTAGCTGAACGAGTCACTAATCTAAGAATACATTAACCAATAGAAGCTTGTATAACTGTGTGTCTTTTGCTCAGTTTCTCTTTGTCGGTTTAGTTGAATAAGATTGATGCTGGGTAAATACACTTCTTTGTGGCGGCATTCAGAATAAAAGAATGCATAATACCCTGATACATATTTTAAAATATCTATCTGTGCTAAAAGGTTACATATCTGACCAAAAACCCCACACATAACGACTCCCTGTTTTCAGTGTAGGAAATCTCATGATTCTTACTTGGATTTACTAATTGCTCATTTTGTTGGTCTTTATCTTTTCTTCTCTTATCCTCCTATTGTTGTCGGCTAAATCTTCTTGCCATTGTAGGTTTTAAGTAGTATTCTCCATTGGTACGCATTAAATTATTGATAATTGTTAGGTTTTGGTTACGATGTATTCAGATAAAATGTCGCAAAAATCAACCTATACCTATAGATCCGTATACAAGACTTTAGGCCATATTTGTTTTGTTGAGTCTGGTGATAATGTATGATTACCCAAACCTTGGTAGACGATAGTTAATTCGAATAAGCTCGGTTGGGAAAAATGTTATTTTATTCGGAAGGAGTGAAGTATTCTTCTGATAGCCGCTAGATACCTGGCTTAAATAATATATTTTAAGATCACGCAGTCCATCAGCATTAGGTGTTTAGCATGAACTTGGAAACAAATGTAAAAGGACTGAGAGGGTTTCAGGTCTGGACAAAAAATGCACTAACTATAACTTTGTTCTTCGAAAGCTTCTGGAATGTACACTTGCCACGTTCGACTTGCCATAAGATATTCTATCTTTTTTTGGTGGTAACTTGTTGCAACTCTCTGACTGTGACTGCAGTGCTAAAGTATGTCGTATTGCTGTCATTCCACAACTACAACATGCATAACCACGTGACAGCTAAGTATTATTTTTTGGTCCGTCGGTTCTGAGTGTAACATAGAGTTTCAGTAGCACATCTCCACTTGTCTCTGCTGCCATTTTCATCTGGCTCCACGACTACTCACAAGCTTTCATTTGATCTTCACATAGTCTCCTTCATGTCACCTTCGGATGCCCAACTCGTCGCTTGTTATTCGTGTTCCATTCCAAGACTTGGCGTCTGTAGTCACTTGACGGTCTTTTTGATGTATGTCATATAGTCACCACTGGATTCAACATACATGGTTCTTAATTGTTGAAATAAGTAAAGAAATGTTCACTTGGTGTAATAAACTAAAGCATTTACATTAGGTGATTTAACATTTAACCGAGAAGTCAGTGTTATTTTCTCTAGCTAAAGAAAATGTAACTCAGCCGACCAGTAGTTAACCATTTAGCCTTATTTGGGTCCATGTCTTTCCATCTAAAGAGATTGTCTGTTTTTGACCACAGATGTTTACGATCTCTTTCTCACGTTAGGTGGTATAATAAGGTAAGTAATGCTGACGCTAGGCGTAGAGTGTTGGGCAAACAGGGAAAATCACTCGAAGAGGCTATGAAGTTACATAGATTGAGATGGTTAGGCCACGTGCTGCGCATGCCTAACCATCGTCTCCCCCGACAGACGGGCATTACTAGCTGATATAGGTGCAGATTGGAAAAGAGTGAATGGTGACCAAACAAAAACATGGCATCGATCCATGAAATCCTTGACAGTTAAACTGAGTCAGGTAGGAAGGGAGATGCAGACTTCCGGGTTGGGGCCCGCCCTCGGAACTCTAAGAATCAATGGCTGGACTGGAGACAATAGGTGACATGGCTCAAAATCGTTGTCAGTGGCGCAGATGTATTCAGTCTCTGTAATCTTTCATATTCATGTATTTCTACCATTACTCATTCTGTTTCACTCTTATACTCGTCAAAACTCTATTGATTCTATTCACTCATTTTCTTGTCTACCTTTGTGTGCTATTTGGAACGTGGCAACTGGAACTGGTGCACTTCGGTGCCAAGTTCTATGTTGAATACAGCAGCAGCAGCAACATGTCTTTCCATCTAAAGCAAAGTCAGCATTTTGTTGGCACTTACGAGTCATTATAAGCCAACTGTAAGACAACTTCACAGTACTAACAATAACAAAGATATCAAAACGCAACAGCTAGATGCAATATAAAGTTGAATGTGTTCGTATGTAAATCTAAAGCTTTCAGATAACTCATTTTAAGGATTGATGATGTGTTTTTGTGCCTGACGATACGCGTAGTTTTTCTTTACTCAACACATGTGGGTTGGCTTATCGCTTGATAACAGGACGGAAAGGTGTTGGGTGTTCTAATCAGTTTTGATGACTGATAACATGAGAAGATTTCCACTCAGAAGTTTCTGGATCTACTTGCTGTCTTTCATGCTATTCGATTGCATCTCATTCATTTCCGCTTTTTATATCAGTACTGTGTTTATTCTTTACTTTCAAATATAGGGTAAGAAAGCAAAGCGTAAAGCTAGAGAACGTCAACTTGAAATTGCTCGAAGAATGGCTATGATGCAAAAACGTCGAGAGCTTCGTGCAGCTGGTCTAGGAACATTTCTAGGCCTGATGCCTAAAACAAAACCATGCATGGATTATAATTCAGAGATTCCATTTGAAAAACAACCACCGAAAGGATTCTTTGATACGAGTGCTGAGAAACCAGAAATTAAACCTATGGATTTTCAGCGTTTACGACTTTCTGATATTGAAAAAGAAAGTTATATGGAAAGGGAAAAAGTAAGTGTCGATTATTATTATTATTATTAGTGATAATGTTTTAAGCTAAGTTAGTGATATAGTTAATCTCTCTTCTATGCCTTTATTAGGATTTTGTGACATTAAAACACAAAATTGGTACGTTATAAGCACCAATAGGTGTGCCACACAACATCTCATGGTTTGTGTCAAGGCTGGGATGCTTCCTGGACGCCCAGACTAAGCGGTTTGTTGTCTCAAGGGTCCACCCTGAGCCTTCGAATTGAAGCGTGATTCACAGGTCTGTGAAGCAGCGTCAAGAGCTACATCCTCATGGCTTCCGGTGATCAAAACAGGTTTATACGCCACTCGATGCTTTTCGATCCCGGAGCCCATATACACCACATAGGTTTGGGATCAGGGTTTTCCAGTTCCACACCAATTAGGTTATAAGCATTCGCCCTTTCACTTTTGTGAGGAGCACCCTTGTGGCTCTTGAGGGCAGTCATTGGGACCTACCTGGAGTCCTGTTAATGTTTAAATTGAGTTTTTTCAGTCAATAATGTTATGCATTTGTGTACTTTATGGAGTAACATATGTTTTGGAGAACCTTCAGTTGTCAGAAAGAACTTACAGTTGAATCATCATGTTGCTTTGATGTTTATTGTAATGTTTCATGAGTACTTCGTAAATTATCCTCAGTTTTTTAATGTCTATGAATTAATGTGGGTAAGGTAAGATTACTCTACGTCGATTCTTCAGAGGGTAGAATATCCATCAGCTACGAAAGTGGTCTGGCTTCGATTCCTGGTCGACACACTCCTAAACCTCGTCCAGCTTACTAGCCGATGGTAAGCCAGAAAAAGAGGGAAGGTTCGGGGGTGAGAACAGCGACCCTACTCCTTAAATGGAACGCAAGCGGTACTGAAGCCCTATTGATCCACCCGGAACTTGAAAGAATGCCAAGGGAAGGTTATTCAATCTCCAGAGGGATACAATAAGAGAAATAAAATGAGAAACTAAAAGATGTAGACGTCAAAGTGGTGTTAAAATAATGGTATATTGATTTTCTGTTATACCCCTTTTAAGGTTGACTCTCTAGCCATGTTACTTATGATCTTCAAATGCTAATCTATAAGGCTTCTCAAAACACCAGTTGTGAATAGTTATCATTCGGTAGGAAATACACTATTAACTAGTGAATGTGTATACACGGGAATCAGTTTAAAGTCGGGTTAATTACTCAAAATGAACAGACAAGAATAAATTTTTCTTTTAGCTCAAATTGGATAGAGGATTTAAGATCGTTCGTTGTATTTTATTATCTAGTTTACTGAATAACTTATAGTTGCAATTAGTAGTGTTATCTGAGCTGGTTGGTTTAGTTGCGGAGCTTTTGTCGTCCTTCTGGACAACATCCCCTTTCAGCGCAATTTTGAGCATAAAGTGAACTGATTTAAATTTTCCATGAGTGATAAAATTGCGTCTCCCGGTAACCATCTTTACATCTGTATTGATCATTTTTTTTATTGACTTGGATTTTAAACTTTCTCGTCACATGATTTACTTTTTATTAGTTGGTATATTTCGTCTATATTAACATGTTTGTTAATCGCATATTCGTTTGAGTACCAGGCTTCTAGGAATTCCCTGACTGCACTTTTGGTGTTTCCTCTGTCTAATATTTAGACATTATTGCAATCAGACTGATGTCCATGATTGTCCACATGCACTGATATGAAAGAATACAACATCATGTCTTTTTACAGCTAATTTGTGTTCTTGGATTCTGATTCGAAGGGGACGCCCACTTAGTTGACCGATGTAATGTCTGTTACAGTTCATGCATGCTATTTATTTTGTAAGTAGTATCAATTTTATCTTCTTTTTCTGTTGGATTTTTCGGTTTGCACAATATCGAATTAAGTGGTTTCACTTTATGCTAAAACTTGCGCTGAAAGGGATGTTGTCCAGAAGGACGACGAAAGCTCCAGGTCAGAGAACACTACTAATTGCAAATCATCCACCTGAGCTACAAAATTTTCTCTATTAACTTATAGTTGATTATTAGTTCACCATGTGTAATATTTCTTTGTCTCTTTTTTTTCCTTTCCTTATAGCGAGAACGTAAAAAAGACGCCGAACGTCAAGCTAAACGTATGCAATCAGATTTACCTGGTCTTATTCAACAACGTGGTAATTCTTTGGATGAACCATTGTTAAAACGATCTAAACTTGTCCTTCCTGCACCTCAAATATCTGATTTAGAATTGGAAAATTTAATCAAAGTATGTTTCATGTGTTATCGTGTATTGCTATTTTACTAAAGGTTTTTTTCTTCTCTCCCTCTGTCTTGCTACACTTCTAGGAGTGTGATAAATCGAGTGTGAGGAGTAGTCTCACTACAGTGTCTCAGTTAAGATATTGTGTGTGTCGGTGGCTGAATGGTAGAATTCTAGCCAGCTCCGCGAATAATCCGGGTTCTGTTCTAGTCTGACTCACTCCTAAACGTCACCTCACCGGTAGTCAGCCTGAAAAAACAGGGACAGAGGTTGGCGACTTCACCTTGTAAAGACAACACCACTGGAACTGAAGCTTCAAGGATTGAAGCCCTGTATTGAACTCCGAGATGTACCGGTGTGATCTCTTAAACTTTACCTTTTTGATTAGAAATGAGAATTTGAGTTTGAGGATTGTTTAAGGATTTTCTAGTATAGTTTAAAAATGGTTGACTTTTTGGGGGTACCTGAAACAGAAAGAGCATTGGTGTTGCTTGACCGCAAGGTCAATGGATAACTGCTTGACGCTAGTCATGCATGGCTTGTTTGAAGTGGCTTTTGGAATTGCGTGCGTATTAATTCCCTACCAGTGGCTATAGACCACCACAAAGTAAGTCAGGATGTACAGTTTTTTGTGTCGACCTTTTCTACCCGTCCCTCATCAGACTGGGAGGACAGCATACCTGGTTTGCGGGTCATCTGTGGGAAAAATCTTACTGCCGTTACACCCCCCTATTCAACATCAGTACAACTTCGTTCTCAGATCCCCAGCATAATGTAAGAAACTGACACTATGATGGTATCTACTTTTAGGTTAACTATCAAAAAGACCTTCCACGTTATAGGACTATCATGAGCATTAGTTTCAGTCAGTGTAGCTTGTTGGATGATTACGATGTGCATGCCAGACCACCACGTCAAGGTAGTAGCTGTCTCTCGAGTAGTTGAAAAATGGAACTAAGTTAACCGGTACCGACTTCTCAAGTACCAGGATTTCGGAACCGCACTTGTTACGTAACAGCCGACGATAGGCAACCCCACTGCCCAGACTGGAAGAAATAAATCATTATGAAGTATAGCAAAAATATTCGTTCAGACATCTATAAGACACAAAATAATCGAGCAAAGAATATTCTTTTCGATAAATTCCTCTTCCGGCTCTACAATTATATACAATGTTTATATACATAATAGATTCTAGATTAGTAGTCAATAACAATATTAGTGTTTTTTAAATAATATCAATTTGTAAAGTAAGATCACAATGGAATTACAGTTCATGAAAGATGCTTAAATTATAATAATAATAATAAAGATATAATAGCGAATAGAATATCAACTAAAATTAGGGAAATTCCACGAAAATTCATGATCATTCAAACCTAGATGGCCAAGGTAAATATAATAATGTCTGAACTAACTTCTTTTGGATGCACAAATTAGGCTTCTTAATATGGATCCCAACAGTCAGCCTCAGCGATGTTTAGTAGTCGAAGTCTTAAGGCAAAATTGAGGTTCATAGGTATGCGGTAAATTACCCTGAAAGCATGATTAGCGTCAATCTTGTGTTCTGTTTCCACAAGATGAGACAGAATAGCGCTGCGAATAGATTTTATTTGTGTGTATATAAACATATATATACATATATATATATGTAATTGTAGAACCGGAAGAGGAATTTATCGAAAAGAATATTCTTTGCTCGATTATTTTGTGCATTATTAAGTAGTCGTTTTACCTACTAAGTGGTACACTTTCTGTCACAATGGGTGAATACATTTAGGTTGTTCATATATTTTAGGCTTCAATGTATTCACTCCTTGTCATCGTCGACGCTCTGAAACTCCTTCTTCAGGAGTCTTCATCTGATTAGTTCTCTCCCGCTTACATCTTCGTTCATTGTAGTTTCATAAGAGTTCTTTCTCTGCTCGTGTGTGTGTGTGTTTGTGCGTGCTTGAAAGTTTGACAACTTGAACTGGTTCACTTTTGTGCAGAATTCAACGTTGATAAGTAGGATAGGATTTGAACTTGAAAATCCAATGAATAAAAAAAATGAATACAAGAAACAATGAGCTGTACTCACACTCCTAGAGTAAATTCCTAATGATTGTGACTAGTTACATGTAGGTAAGTGTTTATTATCAACGACTCTGCTTTTAAATCATGTCATATACCTATTTATTCATTAGTAAAGAAAAAGACGTGTTTATTTTTGTTCAGGGAAAAAAAATACTATTTCTTTCTTTCAATGACTTTATTTACTTGAAACTCTACATACTACTGATTAGTTGAGATGAGTAGTTGTATGACATTCATATATCAATTAATAGTAGTACTGTAAGGCGCTAGGCAAATCGAGGTGATCTAAACCCCGGACTGCCGTTTCTGTCTTCCTGTCTGTCTGTTTTCGATATAGAACTTTGCACCGATGTGCAGCAGTTCCAGTCGCCACACTCCCTCCATGTAGCACAAAGCAAAGACAAGAAAGTAGGAGAAATGCAAAATAGAGACAGTAAACAGAAATATGAGGCAAAAAGAATAGTGATATCGAAGAACAATATAGTTTTATTGGATATTGTAAGTCACAAGGAATGGGTGCATCTGTGCTAGCCATTGAGAACGATGAGTTTGAGCCATATCACCAGTTGTTTCCAGCCAATGGTATTCGCAGTGACAATAAAGCCAAAAATGTAAAATGATAATAATATTGATTGATAATCGAAATAGTATCACTATAAATTACAAATAGGAGACATCTATCCATGAAATCCTTGACAGTTAAACTGAGTCGGGTAGGGAGATGCACACTTCCGGGTTGGGGCCCGCCCTTGGGACTCTAAGAATCAATGGCTGGAGACAATAGGTGACATGGCCCAAAGTCGTTGTCAATGGCTTACGCAGATGTATTCAGTCTCTGTAATCTTTCATATTCCTTTCTACCATTACTCATTCTGTTTCACTCTTATACTTGTCAAAACTCTATTGATTCTCTTCACTCATTTTCTTGTCTACGTTTGTGTGCTATTTGGAACGTGGCATCTCGAACTGCTGCACTTCGGTGCCAAGTTCTATGTTCAACCCAGACAGACAGACAAATAGGAGAGAATAAAAGAGCACCATTTATTCTGCTAATAACATAGTAAGTTGTAAGTGTCACATTGAAAGCGGGCTGGCCAAATAGGGTGTCGTTGAGATTTTGTAGTTGCTTGTACGAGCATTTAATCCTTTATTGTGATGACCTCTAGTCCTACCTGATGAGAAGCAAGGAGGGGGGAGTTGTGAATAGAGATTGTGTCAAGAGTCAGACAATACAGATTTAGATCATTTCTCACCTGAGTCCAGCTGTCTGTCTGTCTGTCGACCCTTCTTCAAATATGACCCAGGCCTTATTGAGTAACCCAGGAAAGGCTGAGTGGTGGTGGTGGGGGGCAATGAAGAACAATAGGTGAGATGCACGAGTTAAAAAATTGTAAACGTAGAGAGTTTGAGTGATTCCTGATTGTCTTCACTTCTTTACTGTAGAAGGTTAGGGGAAATATTTTCTTGGGAATCGAAAAGATATGGGATGACTGCCCAAGAAAGGTCAACTTTGAATGGCGAACTCGTAAACAGTATCTTCTTAGTTACTATGATTTTGTTTCCCCTTCAGTCATTGGCAATAATTTATGTCTACATAAGGTGTGTAATATTGCAAACACTCACTTTGTGTGTCTTTGTAAAATGTTTTCTTATATTGATTGAAGTATTTCTACTTTTGCGGGTGATATCAACTCACCATAGGTTGGTCAAGCCGGTGAAAATGCTGTCAGAATGGCTATTGAAGATTCTGTTGGCGAAATGGGCTCTGCAACACATCCTTTGTTACCAGAGTGTCCTACAGGGGGATTTGCAACGCCTGCTTTAAGTCTTCAACGTACTCCAATGGCTATGATAGATACTGTAACAAGAGTAAGTCAGTTTCATTGGTTTATTTTATTATATTTTTATAAATTATAATAATTAATATTCCCTTAGGTTCTGGTTGGAACATACGTCTTCATTTCATCCTGTTTTCTGTAGCCGTCCTTAGCTGGCTCTACAATCGTGTGTAAGCTTGCGTCTCCTCCTGCTCCTTCTCACTCGATCTTCTCCATATCGCTGTCAAACTGCGGCCCATCTAGGTTGTTTTCTATTCGGTTTCTACCGGAGGACCTGTCGCGCGATGTTACTCAACGGTCTTCTAAGCATGTGTCCACTTCATCACCATTTTCTTCGGTGTATATATTGAGCGATAGGTTGTTAGTTGATTCGTTACCAGAGGATTCCTCGTTGCGTATCATTTCTGGCCATCTGATTTTCAGAAATGAGACAGTGAAGGCAGTTGTTGATAAAAGTCTGTGTAGCCTATAATGAAATGTTTTTGGTGACTTGGTCGCCAAGTCTCTGAACCATATATAGGAGCCCTGACGACTGCCTTGACATTCATGTTGAGATGCCGAATTTTGTTCTTTGTGCCTAGTGGAGAAGATTGCCACGGTAATCTCAGATGAATGATTTGCCTTTCCTTTCTATTCCTAGCTGGTCTTGACATTGCCATCCTTTCCGCCTGTAGTTGAAAAGATTAATTAATTTACAGTCTCCTACTCATAATGCAAAAAAGCTGTCTGCGATTGAAACGTTCAGTTCCATGTCCCCAAAGAAGGATGGAGGCATGTAGATGAAACATTCACGGTGCTAAAAGCAGGATATATAAATAGGGTTTTTGAACACATCAACTCAAAAGTAGAGGCAACTTGTGAGTTGGAACATCATGTGCAGGGGGGGGGGGAGCGTCCCCGATGTTAGATTGTAACATAAAAAGAAGACAAAATGGAGAGTTAAACACTCGTGTTTACAGAGAGCTGACACATTCAAACTAATACTTCGATTTGGGTACATCCCATCCTGTGTAAGTAAAAACAGGATTGGCGAAATTTTTGAGTAATAGGACAGAAAAACTAAATAATGCCAAGGAGAAAATATATGAAAGGAAGTGAGGCGTATAGGAGAAGCTTTAAAACTTAATAAGCATCCTGACAAACTAATTAGGAAGTCTGTAGGAAAATGTGGGAATAATAATAGTAATGACTCGACATGCAAGATAAACATGCACAGAATTGATGACAACACCAACAGATAAGAATTTGAATCATCGGTGGTACTTCCATACAAGGATGGAACCTCTGAAATCTTATTTAGAATTCTTAACAAAGCGCAGGAATAAAAGTGGCTGGCATTCAAACCAACCACAAACTCACTTAGAAACAAGTTATGTCGGTTAAAGGATCCTGCCAGTGGAGCCCATTAAACAAAATAATATAGTTTATCGAATACCCTGCAATGATGTTGAGGTCAGATACATAGGTCAAAATGATAAGACTAGCGAAGCACAAAAACTTATCAGAATTTAGATTAGTAGACCCTAATAAGATAAGAAATCTAGAAATAAAGCTCGGTCATAGTTCAGTTACAGACAACCATACAATAGAATGCGACGTGTTGACAGTCTTCAAATCTAATGTAACAGGGTGGATTGGGAGATTGATAACTGAAGCTTTATTAATCGATTCAACTGGAGATGCGTGTGTAACGGCAGAAGACAAGGGCCAGACATCAAATGGTTTATTGAGAAAATTAACAGATATTTGTACATTTTTATGTACATCATTATTAGCGTTATTATTAGCAGAGAAACAGCGTCTTCTGATTGGTTGTTTTCTCGCTGAAAGTTATTTACTCATCTCTTTGCGGCTATTTCTTTGAAGGTCAGACCATATCTGCGAATCGTATCCGCCCACGCGAAGTCTGTTGTGATTGGTTGTTGAGTTAGTCTTTGTTCTTGTTCCTTTCTCATGACCAAGATTTGCGACGTAAACATTGACGTCAATTGCTGTCTACCAATTTTGGCTAGCAGACAGCTGTCACCACACGTGTAATCGGAGTGATTCAACACTTAAGCCCGGACATCTAGAAAATTCTACTGCTCTTAAGACAAATGGGAAGGCGGAACAAGAAATATAAAAGTATAGTTCCGAAGTTGTGCATTTACAACTGATCATGTGATTATGAACAAAAATCAAATTGCGTTCAAAACGTCATCCAGCTTTCTCTGGCTGCTTTGCCAGTTTTATTCTGCACCTTGAATTTGGTAGGGGGAGAATAAGCAGCCTTATGAGGTGCAGATATTTCAACCTTCAGTCCTTAATCGGCGTTTACGAATACCTAGAACCTTTGCTGGGACACATTTGAAAAATTATCAACAAGTCTCTTACAGAAAACTTCCGAGTTCTTGGCCCTCGAGCGTTCACAGTAGTAGCAATGGGTGTGTGAACTGTGGACATCGAATGGGACATCCGTATTATTCAGTGATTTATGAATAAATGTCACTTATCGTTCTTGTCATTAAAATATTAATATTATTATTAGACCACATTATGGGTATCAAAACATACCCCGCCGAAAACCCCATAGTTTGTGCTAGGCCCAGGATACTGCTCGAACGCCGAAACTGAAGCTGGTGATTGTCTTAATGGGCCACTTACCGAACCATTGACTTGAAATTGGATCCTGACACAAGGCAGTAAGGGGAGCAGCGTCAGGAGCTATGTTCCTATGGTTCCCGTTGGGTGAAACAGGCATTCATACAATATTCGATCCCTTTGGATTCTGGAGCCCGTGTACACCCCGAAAGTTTAGAAGCAGGATAGGTAGACGTTGATATCCATCTCTCTACTTGTAAGCATCAGATGTTTGGATTCGTCGTCTCACGTTTGTGAGGAACACAGTGATCGGTTGAAGGTGGTGAGTAGGACTTATCTGGCAGTGGCTTTGGACGTCTGGTAGCTACGTGAGAGCAGTTCGAGAGGATTACTGAAGTCTACTCACCCTCTTGGCAGCATTAGGTGGTTTATAATGGCTTCCGTTAAATACTGGTTCCATCTATAATGTAATGTACCTCAGGAATTGTTACCATCTATGGTATAATTTGTATTTTACGCTATTAGTAGTTATATTTTGTATTCCATTATTTGGGGTTAGTCTTGTTATAGTTTTATTTTATTATTTTTTGGTGTGATTTTTTACAGGAAGCTCAAAATATTTTAGCCTTACAACAAGTACAAACTCCACTGAAAGGTGGTGAAAATACTCCATTAGTTGGGGAATCCGATTTCTCCGGGACAACACCACGTCTACCAAGTAATCTATCAACACCGAACATTCTACTACCGACTCAAATAGTTGGTGCCACTCCATTTCGTACACCGAATATCATCGAAAATGGTAAGCTTTTAAAGTGTTTTTTTGGTGTTTTATAATGGTTACCTGCCATGAATTGGTTTTGAAATGATATTCTATCTGGTGTCGTCTTTTTCTTTGGTGTAATCACTATATATATCTGGTGTTGAGAAGCACCAATGAATACAGTTCGATAAATTTGCAAATTTCTCTAGGTTAATGGTCGTCAGAACCTATTCAGCATGCCTACTGATCGTTGTCTGTCGTCTGTTTTCGACGTAGAACTTTGCACCGATGTGTAGCAGTTCAAGTCGCCACACTCTATGTACCACACAAGCAAGAGAAGAAAGTAGAAGAAATGCATAACAGAGACAGTAAACAGAGATGTGAGACACAAAGAATAGTAATAACGAAGAGCAATATAGTTTTATTGAGTATTATAAGTCACAAGGAGTGGATGCATCTGCACCAGCCATTGAGGACGATGAGTTTAAGCCATATCACCAATTGTCTACAGTCTTCATTGATTTTCACCATCCCGAAGAACCCAACCAGTCAGGAAGTCTACACCTTCCTACATGACTGTCTTAAACTAACTGTTACGGATTTCATTGACTGATAAAGTCATGTTTTGGTTTGACCACCACGCGCTAGCTCTTTTCCAACCTGATCCACCTTATGTCAGCTAACATTGCCCGTTGAGGAAGGCGATGGCTAGGCAGGTATGCGTAACACATGTCCTAACCATCTCAGTCGATTTAAATTCACGGCCTCGTCTATTGATTTCCCCTCCTTACCTAGCAATCGACTCCTAACCTCAATATTGCTCATCCTATTATACCACTTGACACTAATCATTGACTTTAATTTAGTGTGTTATGTATGATAAGATTAGTTCAGAATATTCTGTGAAGTTAGACCAAGATGTGGGGGCTGAGGGCTATTCCTTCAAGTTACAGACAGCTGGTGGTACCTACTGCGTTGATATCCATAGAACAACTGGAACATGTGAGTGAAGACTCCTAATTCCTTATTGGTTCAAAATTATTCTCTGAGCTGAGTTAAATCGGATACACAACTGTGATGAGTTAGGTTTCAAACGAGTGGAATGGCTTTTTGTTGTTTAAATCACTTCTATCCAGCTGGCTGGCAAGTACAGCAAGAGTAAACCATAGGCACCAAAGTCAAATGACCTTGAAGCGACCAATCGGATTGTTCATCATTCATAATGGATTCTGTTCATGAACTTCGTTACAAGTTTCACTCAGATTTGATTTTTGACTTTTGTGTGGGAAATGGGTTGGTACGGAGGTTTAAAGCCTGCATATGTGGAGGGATAATGACACTGCAAAAGTATTGCCGGACTGTTGACGGCTACGAATTTAGACGCAACCACTGTTATATTAAGAGATGGTGATTTTTTAGATACTTTCTTCTCCAAATCAAAATTGTCCCTTAGTAAAATATTGCGTATATGCCACAACTAGCTGCTAAAGCGACCAGTATCTGCTACAGCTGCAGAAACAGAGAATAGAAAGATTTCAACAGCGCAATGGTATCAGTACTGCCGTGATATTGCGTCACAAAAGCTGAATGGGATCACCTCTGTACTTGGGGCAGTTGGGGTCGTCGTGCATATTGATGAAACTGTACTTATTAAGCGGAAAATGAATCGAGGCAGGGGTAGAGGAAATCATGTATGGGTGCTGGGACTTTACGACACAAATCTTCGTAAAGGTTTGTAGAACGCATCTCGAACAGAATTTCTGATATCTTGATACTAATTATACAATGACTAGTCCCCCCGGGAACTACTATTCACTCAGACGAGTGGAGAGGTTATTCTCAATTATCATCACTTACTTTAATTTTACTTTACTTCGGCTATCTCCTACGGGAGGATGAGCCGGCTTCATGAACATCTCGAATCATCGCTGCCCAGGTGCGGCGATCTGATGAAGAGAGTTCATGAAGTTTCATGGGAATTTGGTACGAGTGATGTCCCCGGAATCGCTCGGCCTTTTGTTTGAGAGTGTAGCTCTAGCCTTTACACAACCAAGTGTGACCTACAAGGCAGTAGGAGTGGAGTAGGGAGTCCACCACCCATTGGCAGCCGGTAACCAGAGTTCGGTTCATACGCCTTTTCGAATGGGGCCAGACATCCAGGACATCCAACAAGCCCTTTGTCCATACGTCTGCCGGTGAGCTCCAGTGAGCTTCATACGCCAGTCGTTGGAGGTTTGGAATCAGGGTTTAGCCATCTCCCCTAGACTGTCATCCAATGGACAGTCAACCCGGTGAAGAGCGCCGGGCATCGGCTTTCGCCCTCTCACTTTGGTGAAAAACACCTCCACCACGTGAAGGCAGTGAGTATGACTTCCTCAGGAGAGGCTATGTGAGACGCCCGGTCATATGGGAGGGGTGGCCAACCCGCAGCGCAAGGCACCCACCCCCGACCATCCTGAGGCTATATTCACCATATAGTCAACCATTCTTCTGAACTGGTAGATCCTGTAACAGGAACATATACAAATTCCATTGAAGGTTTCTTCGCTCGCCTCGAAAAACGTATCAGAATGGTAAGCGGTTCCCGAAGTGATATGGTATATAGCCATTTAGATGAGTTTTTGTATCAACATTGGTTTAATATGTTTATAACCACTCCTGTGAGAAACTGCGACCAGTTTTTGCACCATATTAGAGACATTTTTCCCGTGTAATTCATTTTTTATTACATATGTATATTATAAATACACTTTTTATTAATTTTATACCACTTTTTAACTGGAAGAATCTGATTGGTTGTTTCAGGGCCGTTTGTAGTTGGTGTCTTTTCTTTACTGTCGCCGCAAGTACTACTATGGTTGATGTGAGTGGCAGTATGCAACTACTTAAATCAATCAGTAGTATATCTATATATACGTATAGCATTATGCATGTATCCCAGCTTTACTGATTCCCATTTAAGATATCAAGCGGATCATATGCATTTCAATCTGAATAGTATCGTTTTCCAAAGGAAACTATAGTTCATTAAGTTCGCTTCGAACTGTGTAGCTGACAAATAATGAATTTTACTCACTGCATTTATTCTTTATCTTATCTAACTTGTCTTATTTTGTGTGTCTGATAGCATTATCTGACAGTGATTGACTTGTTACTACCAGGGAATAATAGTCTCGTTGACTTAGAATATGCAAATGATGATATAGTGTCCCCTCTTTCCTCGGGTGAAGACACTGACAAAATAGAGCAGAGTCTTCTGAACACCTTGAGCTGCAGTCTGCGAATGTTCGGCATGCGAGTCTCTCCCACCACATATAAGATGATGCTACAGGAGTGGACTGGACTACATTGTCTTCTAGCTTAAAGATAGGGAGTGAAGTGGTGGCTGGGCGTGTTGACTACTTCACTTATTTGGGGAGTTGCATCAACCAGTGCCAACGGGTTGATCGCTGACGAAATCTCATCAGGGATACAGAAGGCTGGTTTCGCATATGCCAGTATACTCCGTCTCTGGCGTAGACGTGATATCCGGTTTGCTGTCGACCAAAGGGCGGGTGTACTGCTCATCGGTCCGCTTCGTCCTCCTTTATGGCTGTGATTGATACATAGCCATTGAGAGTGGAAAACATGAAACGTCCGGCTTGCTGTCTTTGATCATAGCTGCCTGTGTTCTGTCTCCCATGTTAAGTGGTGTAATGTGAATTCAGTCAGTGCTACTATACGGATCAGAGACTTGGCACCGCGTCTCGAAGGGCACTTCGAACAAACTACAGACCTTCATCAACAGCTAGCTGTCTTCGCTCAATACTGCTATTTGGAACGTGGCAACTCGAACTGCTGCACTTCGGTGCCAAGTTCTATGTTGAAACCAGCAGCAGCAGCAGCTCAATACTGAAGATCAGCCGGTCAGAAAAGATCAACAACAGAGATATCTGGGAGAAAACCAACCAGGAACCAATTGTGCAACAAATAAGCAGGAAGAAATGGAGTTGGATTGGCCATACTCTGAGGAAACCATCAAGTGACATCACTAGACAGTCCCTTGAGTGGAGCCCGACCGAATGGGAAGAGGTGAGTTGGTCGTCAGTGCAAGGGTGACTTGGAGGAGGTGATGTGAAAGCGTGTGGGCAGACTTGGAGCCAGGTGAAAACTCTAGCAGAGAACCGAACTCAATGGAGACGTGCAGCTGAAGCGCTATGTTCTTCTAGGAATTAAAGGAAAAACAATAATTATGATAAGTACTATTTCCAGCCAGCCAGTCAAATCCCTACACACTAACACTTGAAAGCTACTATGGCGCTCATTCGTGACTGTCTACGGAGCGTGACCAACGGGGTCCACCAGGTTAGGTCGAGTGTCGTCCGGAATTCAATCAATGACCTTTGAATTCTAACCTCTGTTAATTCGCATTCTTTATATTCAAGTTTTTTTCCTTCACGTTCCCAGTGGAACATAGGGCCTCAAGCTAGTGGCTTGAAGTTTCTGTAGCAGTGTTTAATTTTAACAGGATAGGGGTGCGAGCCTCATGCCCAATCTTTCCTCTTTACCAGTATTACTTCTGGCTTACTGAGTGAGGTAAAGGAGTGAGTCGGCCGGGGATCGAACCGCGGGCCATGTGCATGGTCGGCGAGCGTCCTAACCACTATGCCACCAACGCACTTATATACAAGTAGCCGCCATCATTTTATTAAGACGTTCAATCTGTTGGTTGGTTGGCTGGTTAGTTAACCTTGTTTTTTTAAAATTTCAATATCAACAGGTACTCCAAATGTTCTAATGGGTGGTGGTGCTATCGGCAGTAATACACCTGGTCCAATGAGAATGGGTGAACAAAATGGTCCAATACCCATGAATAATACACCGTTAAGAAATCGTCTTAATATCAATTCATCAATCGACCCGAATAATATCGATGCTCTTGATCATCAAGATGGTGTTGGTGGTGCTGCTGCTGGTTTCTACGATATCAACAGTGTAAAAACAAATCTACGCAAAAGTCTAGCTAATCTTCCAACACCGAAGAATAATTTTGAAATATTTATCCCCGATGAGAATGCAGTGAATGGTGATGATGATGATAGTACTATGGGAGAGAATGGTGCTGGTGGTACTGTTGATATGGATCAATTTGAAGAGGATAAAGGATCTGCAGCAAAAATTCCTGATCAATCAGATTTAGACAGACAGTCAGAGATAGAAAGAGCCAGAGCTGCTGAATTAGAATGGTCTAAGCGTAGTCAAGTGGTGCGTCGTTCACTTCCTAGGCCATCAGCTGTTAATCATACAGTGTTACGCAATATGCCGGGTGGTGGTGGTGGTGGCGGTGGTGCAACAAATCAACCACCTCAACAAGAAGCGAATATGACTGATTTGCAAAAGGTTTGTCACACTGAATTATTATTATTATTATTAATATTATTATTATTCCCTTGGGTTCCTAGTGGAACATAGGGCTTCAGCTACACGTCTCCACTTGCTTCTGTCTTCTGCTGTACTTTTCACCTGCGTCCATGTTAATCCATACTGTTTCAGTTCCTCTTCACACAATCTCCTCAATGTCACCCTTGGACGTCCCACTCGCCGCTTCCCTTTCGGGTTCCACTCGAGCGATGGCCTGACTCGCGATGCCACCCAGTGGCCTCCTCAGCGAGTGTCCAATCCATCTCCACTTTCTACTGCATATTTGTTGAGCGATTGGTTCTTGTTTTGTTTGTTCCCATAGTTTCTTGTTGGTGATTCTTTCCGGCGGCCATCTGATCTTCAGTATAGAAAGAAGACAGCTGTTGTTGATAAAGGTGTGCAACAGGCTGTTGGAAATATTCTTTGTGACACACTGGCCAAGTTTCTGATCCGTATAGAAGAACTGACTGACTTGACGTTTGTATTGCAAATCCGAATTTTGTTGTTGATGCTGAGTTGAGTGACGAAGATTTCCAGATTGGTTTCAGGTTGATGAATGTGTTTCTCGCCTTCCCGATTCTCTATTTGACATCCTCGTCCGTTCCTCCTTTAGTTGAGACAATGCTCCCTAGATAAGTGAATGAAGTAACCTCTTTCAAATCCCTCCCGTTGATGGTGATTGTCGCTGGATGTTGCTGTTGTTGTTGTTGGTAGGTTATTTTCATAACCTCCATCTTGTCTATGTTCACCTGGAGTCCTGTCTTCTCTGGCTGCTTCTTCGACCAGTTTGTCGGTTTTCCCTTGTAATTCTTCGATTTTGAGTGACATCAAACATAAATCATCTGCGAAATCCAGGTCTTCTAGATTCTTCACGTCGGTCCAGGATATCCCTGTCTTCTCGTTTCACACTGTCTGATGCATAGTCCAGTTCACCACAATTAGGAATAGCATTGGTGATAATAGGCTAGCAGCCTTGTTTGACTCCTGAGTTTACTCCAAACGCCTCACTGAGTTTTCCGTTGTGGATCACTTGACATGTGCCGTTGTCGTACAGCTTTTGAATGAGGTTGATGAATTGTACTCTAAATACATCCCTGTTGGTTTTCGTCAAATGGCAATTCAACTCACGTAGAAACAGAAAAAGCCATGCGTATTCTAATGTTGATTTTCAGGGATTTGATTTGATTGGTTAGAGAATTTCATCAGGAGCTGACATCGGTTGGAGAAACATTGGAAAATTAGTGAGGGAGTACTGGAAAGCTGTTTCGCTAGCATAGTTTGGAACTCTTCAATATTACTCATTATATCGTGAATCGACGGAAGTTGGAATTCATAGGCTGGTCATTGCGTCGGGTTCCAGTGGCTGAATGGTCTAAGAGAGGATCGCCTTGTAACCAGAAGGTCTTCGGTTCTCACCCTAGTGATGGATGCGTACTGATGAAGGGTCCCAGATTCAGTCTGTTTCAAAATTTTATTTCGAGTCAGGATCTACTTGAAGAAGGGGTTGTTTGATAATGCAACCTGAGGATCCCAACGGACCACGATTACCTTTTATGTCTTATGTATGGCTTGCTGAAAATGCACAAAACTAATATCCCCCTGAGACCAATACTGTTGGTGATAAAATCGCCGTGTTATAAACTAACCCGTTGACTGGAAGAGAAGCTAACACACCAATTCCTGTTGGATCTTTCGATAATATGGAACTGCTGTACATCTGTGCAAAGTTCTACGTTGAAACCAGTCAGTGAGTCAGACAGTCAAATTTGCAACATGGCCACCATAACAGATATCTAATACAGTCCTACAGGAGGTCAATTGCCAGTCGGATTAGCTCAGTGCTAACATCTCTGATTGCAACACTCACTGAATGACACGGGTTCGAATCTCTAAGGGGGGATATGAGTTCCTTCAAGGCTGCAGATACACGTCTTGTAGACTGGTGAGTGCCAACAAATAAGCATGAAGCATAGGTCTAGGCACGGCTTCCTTCAGATTGCCTCCCACCATCTAATAACATTTAGAAACTTCGTCTATACAGTTCATTGCTTGTTATTATGCTTACAATAGGTTGAACAAAAGATCTGTAATGTTTTTCAAAGTAGTGCTGTTTACCAAGTGAGAAATTGTTTCGTGCTATCTATAATGTGTCTTTCCTCGGGACCGTAAAAACCAATGGTTGGAAACAATTGGTGACATGGCTCAAAATCGTTCTCAGTGGCGCAGATGCATCCACTCCTCGTGACTTATGATTTCCAATGAAACTGTTTTGTTCTTCGTTATTACTATTCCTTTGTCTCACATCTCTGTTTACTGTCTCTATTATGCATTTCTCCTACGTTCTTCTCTTGCTTTGTGTGCTACATGGATGGAATGTGGCGACTTGAACTGCCGCACATATATGCAAAGCTCTATGTCGAAAACCGACCGACCGATAATGTGTCTTGCCGTATATCTCCCAGTGAGACTTCCTCAAAATATCAAATCCCTAGCAAATTACACTTGATACTTTAATCGGCATGTTTTCACTCCAAACCCATATACTAGGTAGTTTTTGAACTCAGCTACCATAAATGGATTTCTTAAGTACGGGGTTATGAACCATATGTAGTCTGAGGGTGTGTGAAGACTGGAAGTACTGCTCAAGTTACCCGGTTTGAAGTAGGTGCAGTCACATTAGGACCTGGCTGAATACGTTTGAAAGCTGTCAAAGAGCTTATTCATTCCTTGAGTGGTACATATATAACTTAGTTAAATAACCGGTGCTGGGCTTCAGAAAGAGGGGAGGTTGAATGTAGTCCTAGCAATCTCACCCACCCCGTGTAGAAAAAAATAACCTCGTCGCTGCTGAAACCTCAAAGTATAGAGAAAATAAACTTACTCATGTAATGGAGAAGATTTGTAGCTCAGGTGGATGATTTAAGTTTAGTTGCTAAGCTTTCATTGTCTCACTAGACAATATCATCAACGCTGACTTTAATTTGAAGTGAGCTTTTAAAATTCTCCACGAGTTTATTAGTCATCTCTCCTCATATCATTGCATTGCATACTGAAAACAACGGACACTAATTCGATTTGAATGATGTTCAAATCTTAGACATAGGCAAGATTTACCAATCCATAAGAAGGTAATCACATGAACAAAAGGTCAACCTTCAGGTCAAGGACTCAAATAATACCAATACATATAGACTAGATAGAGGGTGAGAAAAAAACACAAAAACAACCAGTCACATTCAAGGTTACCAGGAGAGATGACTAATAAACTTGTGGAGAATTTTAAAAGCTCACTTCAAATTGAAGTATGCGCGTGTGGATGTTATCCAGTGAGAGACAAGGAGAGCTTCGCAAGTACACCATCTAGGTCAGAGAACACAACTACACCCAAAAAACTTACTCATTCCTGGAATCTGGAAGACTCCTCCAACTTGAGGACGCATAAATGCCAGCGAATGAAAGCTTTCTAGAAGCCAGTTGCCTGATATATCTTCTTTTAGTGATAGCAAAAGTAAGTTTCGTGATGTCTGCAACATATTTAAGACTGGAAAGAAGACTGTTCTCATGTATGTAAAAATATAATATTGACTCCGAATGATCGATTGACGAGTATTTTACAAGCAATTTTTACATCACAATGAATTTTTACATCGATATCAGATTATACAAACTAATTCGTATTCGGAATTGGCCACGGGATGATGTCATATCAGTGACTATCTGTCTGCCTGTCTGTCTGTTTTCAACATAGAACTTTGCACCGATGTGCAACAGTTCGAGTCGCCACACTCCTTCCACATAGCACACAAAGCAAGAGAAGAAAGTAGACGGGGATATGAGACAAAAGGAATAGTAATAACGAAGAACAATATAGTTTTATTGAGTATTATAAGTCACAAGGAGTGGATTCATCTGCACCAGCCATTGAGAATGATGACTTTGAGCCATATCACTGATTGTCTCCAGCCTTCATTGGTGTTTACCGTCTCGAGGACCCCAACCAGGAAAGCTACACCTTCCTACGTGCCTGGCTTAAACTAACTGTTGTGGATTTAATTGACTGATGAAGCCATGTTTTGGTTTGACCACCACTGGCTCTTTTCCAACCTGATCCACCCTATGTCAGCTAACATTGCCCGTGACTAAATAGTCGACGAGGTCGTCTTGCGCTACCTGAAGGTTCTAGGTTCGAACCCCACTGGGATCACGGATACGTACTGCTGAAGAGTCCCAGAAAAGTCCGAGAGACGTGATAGCTGTCCAGTACTCTTCAGCTTCTATTGGTTCTCTAACTGGCCTCAGTTAGTGATCACATTCACATTGTGTGTGTATATGCTTTGTGTATTTTCCCCCGTTTAAATTCATAAGTTTTTCTTCTTTTGGCTTTTCCTTTTTTCTTCAAAAATTAGGCTGAAGAATTAATTAAACAAGAAATGGTGACAATGATGCATTATGATAATTTGAATAATCCTCCACCGAATCAACTGTTGGATGCAGCGAAACAAGCGTCGGCGACAACTGGGTAGTGGTGTTGCACCAGCTAGTCAACAACGACGTTATCTACAACAATTGAAAGCTACACATGAAAGCTTTTTAAAAGACTCCCCGTATGAACCATTCAATCCAGATGATTTAAAAGAGGTAAAGTGTGATTGATATGTGTTTAATGCGCCTGTTTGTTCGTTCGTCTGTCTGTTTGTTCGTCTGTCTATCTTTCTGTCTGTATGATTTGTGTAAATGGAAGGCTGTTTATATATATGTGTGTAAGACTTGGGCACTGTGGTAGTAAGTAATTCCATATTAGTTTGTTTATTAGATGTATCACACAGTGAGTGAAACAGTATTGTTATTTACTAGATGACACAGTTTCGAACACAATTCATTGCTGTTCATAATCATATCGCCATTTATAATCACACGACTTCGAAACTTGAGTTTTATAGTTTTCTTTGTTCTCTCCTATTCGCCGTCGCAAGGGTAGTAGAGTTTTCCAGATGTCTACGTGGACAGGTGTTGAATAATTCCTATTACATGGATTCTCTTCAGTTGATTCGATAAACAAAGCTTCCGTTATCAATCTCTCCCTTTACCCTGCTGTTACATTAGATTTTAAAACTGTCATCTTATCCCATCCGATCATATTGTATGGTTGTGTGTAATTGTATATGGTGAGTGGTATAGCTGAACTATTCTCTAGATTTCTTATCTTACTCAGGTCAACTAATCTAGATTTTGCTGCTAGATTTTTATACTCGGCTAGTCTGACTGCCCCTGTTCTACTACTTTGACCTATGTATTTCACCTGACAATGATTGCAGGCAGAGTATTAGATAAACTAAATTGTTTTGTTTAATTGGCTCGACAGGATTGATCCTTTTACCGACAAAGCTTGTCTTTAATTGAGTTTGTGGGGGGGGGGGTTGAATGCCAGCCACTTTTATTCCTGCCTTGTTATGAATTCTGCGTAACGTGGTTTCTAAGGCTCCTTCATTGTATGGAATTACTACTGATGATTTAGGTTCCTGACTGTTGGTGTTGTCATTATCTTGCGCATGTTTGATATGCATGTCGTCATTAATATTACTATTATTATTATCATCACTATCACTACTATCATCATTTATTAAATTTTTATTTTTACATTTCCTTACATACTTTCTGACTAATTTATCAGGGTAACTATTAAGTTTCAAAGCTTCTCTTATATGCCTCACTTCCTGTCTTAGATTTTCTTTGGTACTACTTAGTTTTTGTGCTCTGTCACTCAAACATTTCACCAATCCTTTTTTACTGACAGGATAGTATGATCGGAAGTCCAAATATCTGTTCGAATGTGTCAGTGGGTTTCCTGTAAACACTAGTAACGTTTAACTCCCCATCTTCTCTCCTTTTTACGCTGCAATCTAACACTGGAAGCTCCCCTTTCTAACTTTCCAATTCATAAATGAATTGAATTGCCCCCCCCCCACCTTTGAGTTAATGTGTTCGAAAAATCTGTCTATATCCTGTGTTCTAAGTACAGTGAATGTGTTATCTACATATCTCCACTATACTTTTGGGGTGGCACGGAACGTTTCAATCGCTATGTTTTCCCACCTAGCCATGAATATATCCGCCACAACTGGGGATATTAGTGACCCCATGGCAACCCCCTCAGTTTTAGTTTGGGCAGATGTACACTGTCTATTTATTGTCCTTGGAATGTTAAGAACTAACGGCTAGAGACTATTTAATTGAATTTTAGATTTTCCTGTCGATTGATTGGACTGAAGTGTTCGGTCTCAGGTTGACATGTAGGCTTCTTGTGCAGATGCTTCGATGATGTCTGGGCATGTAATCAGAGGGTTATTTGGTGGATGGTGGCTAGCAGTGGAATCCAGGACAACGTGCATTTCGTCTTATTTGGGACTTGTCAACTTGATGTACCTGCATTCCTCAGTGAGTGGTGGGAAAATCTAAAATTCAATTAAATAATTAATACGACCCGTTGCACAAGAGCTGGCTCTCGTGGCCCAAGTGGTCTAGTGGATAACGCGCTTTGGCGTTTGAAACTATGGACACTGGGTTCGAGCCTCCGTGGTAGGAACATCATCAATCACTGTGGACTGCAGGTACATCCAGTTGACGAGTCCCAAATAGGACGAAGTGGATTCAACTGCTAACCACCATCCACCAAATTAACGGCTAGAGACTATTGGTGATATGGCTGAAATTCGTTTTTAATGGGTCAGATGCATTCCGTCTTTGGAATCTCCCATATCCTTTGAAATTCTAATGTTCTTCCATGTTATTCTTATTCTTTCTTCTGTAGAAGTGTAACGTATTACCTCTGGTTTTTGAACTGTCACTCAAAGGCTAAATTTGATGCAAATCCTAATCTGCTAGGCAGCTGAAGAGAGTCAGCATCAAAATTACGTTTGGTAGATTAGAAAAGTATTTATATATGAATCGACATTAATCAGATTGTGTAGTCCTTTTTATGTTATTATTATTACTATTATTTCCACAGTTTCCTAGTGCACATGATTGCTCATAAGCTGTCTTGCCTCACACAATCTCTTCTATGTCAACCTCGGACGCATGTCGGTGGGCCTGTTTCCCATTTGGGCTTCATTCCAGGGTTTACCTGGCTCACAAAGTCACCCAACAGTCTCCTTAGCGTGTATCCCATCCATCTTCATTCCCTCCAGCATATTTGTGGTTTCTTGGTTGGTTCGTTACCAGAGTTTCGTGTTGCTAATTCTTCCTGGTCTTCGATGTGGAGCAAAGTGGTCAGTTGTTGATAAAAGTCTTCAGTGGCCTGTTCAAAATGCTTTTGGTGGCAGACCCTCAAGTCTCTGAATCATCTAAAAGTACCGGCTGACTTAACAGTAGTGTTGAAAATCGGAATCTTGTTCTGTATGCTGAGTGTAGCAGATTTCCACACTAGTTTCAGATCAATGAAGGCTTGTCATCTTTTTCCCATCGTTTCGCGGATATTGTCTCCATTAAACTGAAAATTTTGTTTTTTTTAAGCGCGTATCGATTCAAGTCGCTACTTCGATTTCTTAGTAGTTTGAGTGTATCCTTTGGTTTATCGATAACAATGTCCTTGGTGAAAGTTCTAGTTGATCTGGAGTAGCCATCAACTTTTGTTCCACTTTAAGTCAACATCACAACCGTTTTTGTTAGTGTGGCGTGGTGTATCTGGCTTAAGGCACTCTGCTTTCAGCTAGTGGGGTCCTGGGTTCGAGTCCCCCTCTGTCTTCTTCAACCTGGGTGACAGGCCAGTTTCATCAACTGTCACAACATCCAGAGTGACTCGTAACTCGCAACATGTTGTACCTGTTGTGACAATCATTTTGTAATATGCATCGGTGTCACGGCGGTTAGGACTCTCAACGGTCATGCACATGGCCCTGGGCTCGATCCCCTGCCGACGCACACTTGATATCAATGATCGGTCTGCAGAGTTCGGGCTACCAATATCATATGCTGAAAATTTCATACTTGTACCAAAAATACGGTGTGGAATCAAGCTATAATCAAAATAAAAGTGAATTTTGTTGTCATTTCTTTTAAACTACTGACTTATTTATAAGTAGTTAATGCTTAACATCCTTATTTTTTTCCTGCGTAATGATAGGCGGAGAAGCTACTTGAAGAAGAAATGCATGTTGTACGCAATGGTATGGGTCACGGTGAATTGTCAGCTGAAGCTTATGCAAAAGTTTGGCATGAATGTCTAAGTCAAGTGCTGTATTTACCAGCTCATAGGCGTTACACACGAGCTAATCTTGTGACAAAACGTGATCGTATAGAATCACATGAAAAACGGCTGGATCAGTTGCGTCATCTTATGGCTGAAGAAGCGAAACGTGCCGCGAAAATAGAAAAGAAGTTGAGAATTCTACTTGGAGGTTATCAGGTAAGTTGATGTCGAGGTAGAGACAATACTCGCAGAAATTTTTTTCGATATCTTGTTTTCATGATGCATTCAATTTCAATTTTCACTTGTGAAAAGTATGGATAATTGAACAGTTGTCATATGTACCAAGTCGTCAACTAAAATTAATAAAAGTCATTCTGTAACGACAGAAGACAAGGGCCGGGCAACAGATCCTTTATTGAGAAAATCAAGAGTTTTTTTATAGATTTTATGTACATTATTATTAGCCTTATTGTTAGCAGAGAAACAACGTCTTCTGATTGGTTGTTTTGTTGCTGGAGGTTATTCTGTACTGCTTATGACTGTTTCTTAGAAAGTTAAGCCACATATCTGCGAATCGCATTTGCACACGTTAAGTCTGCTGTGATTGGTTGGTGGGTTCCTCAATGGTTAGGCTTTGTTATTGTTTTTTCTCATGACTCCAAAACGGTACGTGAACACTGACGTCAGTTGTTGTCTGCAATTTTGGCTTGCAGACAGCTCTCACCATATTTCTATTTAGTTAGTGGTGACCATCAATGGAATCGATAGTGCGCATTTCGTCTTACTTTGAACTCGTCATCTGGATGTGCGTGCACTCCTAGCTAGTAGTAGTGTTCCTAATGAGAGTCGAACCTAGCAGCAATCGTTTCAAAAGTACATTGTCGTTATCCACTAGTCCAATAAGCTACAAGAGTCACGTCTTATGCAATGACTGTCATTTATTCCTTGTCAATAAGTAGAAATGGTTTAGCTGCCTTAACTCCTCTGGGTTGTTCTGAGCATTTCTGTGAAATGAACGAACTATTCTCATATTGAGTCATAAGGAAAAAGACGTAAACAACACAGAAAATTTTCCTTTCGACGATTCATTTTCACGAGCTGCTATACAATAATCGTAATTATATTTAATAAAGAAATCTTTAGACCAGTCAGATACTGGTAAAAAATTTTCGCGAAAAACGTATTGCCTAATGTAAAGTTTAAGAAGGGGTGACTAATTGTAAGTTAGAAAAGAGACAGAAGTTGGCATGACGTAATAAGTGTGAGATAATGAATAATCAATAAGCTCGTGTAAAATGGACAGGAACTAGTAGAAAGGCGATGGAGTGCTTTTATATAATATCTGTATGAAAACGCACTGTTATTAACAAACAGAAATAGAGTGGTAATAAAATATGGGTGATGGGAATGATAAAGATAATAAAATGATAGAAGTAATAACGATAATAATAGTGAACTAACATAATAAAAAAAGAAGAAGCAAAATTATGAGGAGGAACTTTACTCTGGCTATGGTAGAGTGAGTGAATGTATGCATCGCTTTTGAATGCAGAGGTCCGGTTTCAGATCCCGAATAGCTAATGCTTCAGCCATGTACAGGTGGCGTATGGGTAGTCCCTTTGTGAGATATTGAGGGACTCTGTGTAACACTGTGAAGCATTTATGTGGGGGTGCTGGATGTCCGTGTTGAAGTGAGGTAGGATAATGCTACTGATTAAAGATAGTTCTAACTGAATCAAGAATAATAATAATAAGTAAAACGTATTATCATGGTAGATTCAGAGTGACGACCATCTCCTTTCGTACACAGAGACTTGGTTTATAAACCCGGATTGCACAAGCCTCCTCCGCAATAATTGCAAGCATATTCCTATTTCTTTGTCTGCTCACTGGCAACAGTGAATGACTTGACAGCGTCGATATCATGTCCATAGTCCACAAGATGTTTTGTTATTGAGGATTTTGGCACTTTGCACTCATCTGTTTTCAACCATTTTGGCAAATCCTCCATCATGCGAGTAGACAATCGTCTTTCTTTACGACCTATTTATTTGCTTCCACAAACATACTCAGATTGATATACACGGGAGTTTAAAGCGTCTTTCCCAGATTGTTGAAGCACTCGCTTAGTGGTGTTAAGGAAAACAAGTTTTGCAACATAATAAGTTCTCTTGATAGCTTTATCGAGTCTTCGTTTGGCTACCTCTTAACTATCATCTCCTTTGAATGGCAAACTGATATAGGCAGATTTCTTTGGAACTGTTTGGATAGCTTTGCAGTGTTTATTATTGAGCTTCTCAGGATATCCATTCTTAGATAAAATATCCTTCAGAGCTTTTATTTCATGCTCAATTGTACCGTCAAAACAAATTTTTCGTGCTCTATGAACAGTGTTGTGACTAATTTCTTTTCGTACTGGGTTGGAACAAAACCTTTGGAATGTATGTACTGTCCTGTCCATGAAAACTTTGTAAATTTGAATTTTTCGATTGTACCATCAGTCCTTTTCACTAGAGAAACGCCTAGGAATTTAATAGTACTATTTTCATGGATGATATTTCTGATTGTGGTCAACTGAATTGTTCAGCGGATCGTTGAGAACGAGAAGACAGAAAGATGTTGAATCGATACAAAGACTTTGGAAGAACTTGACTTTGCGGACAATTTATGCCAAGTGTCACACAAACTCAAGTTTCCTGAGAGATATCAGTTCCTTGGAGGTCGCAGATACACCCTGCTAATAAGTAATAACAAACAAGAAAATTAGAATCAGAACTTCTTGTCTACCACCTCCAACCACTCATTACCAATTCGTAGTTGATTCTTTGCTGGTGAATTTCTTACTGATAGTTTTTCAAATTTTTGTAGATAGTATATGTGTATTTGTTTATTTATTTGGATTATCAAAATCTATGTAGTTCTCCTCTTTTTTTCCTCTCTCTTTCTCTCTCTCTCTCGCTTGTAGTCACGTGCTCAAACTTTAATGAAAGCTATCGAAGAAAGCGTTGATCAAATTGAACAAGGTTACATGGAGCTGACCACTTATGAACGACTTCATGAACAAGAGCTATGCGCTATCGCAAGACGTTCTGATGTGAGGCTTCTTTTGTTTGTTCGTTTTTTTCATTATATTTTTATTTTTTATTAAAACATAAATTCCGAAGGGTAGGATACTACATGGACCTTATGATCGAGACGGGTAGTTGTTGTCCTATGGGTTCAACTTTACTACACCCCGCAGCCCTTTAACTTGAAGTTTAATCCTGACATATGGTGGTGGAGAAGCTTTAGGAGCTATGTTTCCATGGTTTCCGGTGACGCCATTCAATCCTTTCGGATGCCGGATTCAATTTACGCCATTTCTCCATCAGTCCGGTTGTTTGTAAGACTCAGACATGAAGGCAACGATGCTCTAACTTATTGGTGTAGTTGCTGGACTTCCAACTAGTAACAGACAGGGTCAAGGATTCGAACTCTACTCTCTACCTGTCGAGATTTTGGGTAGTCAGTCAATAGTTGTAGTTCATTATTAACTGTGTATGGATTCGCAATTGGGCTTTTTTCCACTTATCCGTAATTATTATAATTATAATTATTACTATTATTCATTTTAATCTAGGTGTTAGAGGCTGATGTTGAACGCCAACAGAAACGACATGCTGATCTTCAACGTGAATACGGCCGACTGATTCGTATCCGTGAAGAACGTGAAGCTGATGCTTTCTTAGCAAGTAATATGGATTTAATTGGTGACAGTGAAATGTCGACGGCCACCGCCACCACTGATGGTGGTGGTGGTACTACTGGTAAAACTGTATCAGCTGTAAGCGAAACTAATCACACCGACTCCGCATCATCCATGACGATGATGGTGAATGGAGGCGATAAAACGGCTACAACACGTAAATGGATTGCTGTTACACAAGTGGAAGATGTGAATAACACGGATCATCAAATGATGGTTGATGAAGATGTTGAAGAAGGGGAAGAACAGACAACGAATACTGTGTAAGTTAAGCTAATCTTTTGTTTTTTAAGCCTTCCTGAAGGAGAATTTTTCTAATTATTTGTATTACTTAATTATTATACATGTTTTGTTCATGGGTACTAATTCGAATGGATTTCATATTAATATATATGTGTAAAACTTGGGCACTGTGGTGGTAGTAAGTAATTCCATATTAGTTTGTTTATTAGATGTATCACACACAGTGAGTGAAACAGTATTATTTACTGGATGACACAGTTTCGAACACAATTTATTACTGCTCATTATCATTTCATCAATTATAATCACATGACTTCGAAACTTGAGTTTTATAGTTTTCTTTTTCCTTCTCTCCTATTTGTCGTCGTAGGGGTAGTAAAATTTTCCAGATATCTGACTGGACGGGTGTTGAATCATTCTTATTACACGTGTTGGTTTGCAGTTGATTGGATAAATAAAACTTCCGTCATCAATCTCTCCCTCCACTGTGTTAGTTACATTAGATTTTAAAACTGTCATCTTATCCCATCCTATTGTATGGTTGTGTGTAATTGCATTTGGTGAGTGGTATAGCTGAACTATTCTCTAGATTTCTTATGTTATTCGGATCAACTTATCTAGATTTTGCTGCTAGGTTTTTGTGGTCAGCTAGTCTGACTGACTGCCCCTGTTCTACTACTTTGACCTATCTATGTATTTGACCTGACAATCATTGCAGGTAGGGTATTAGATAATCTAAATTGTTTTGTTTTAAAGACTCCAGAGGATCTCTCATTTAACCGACAAAGCTTGTTTCTAATTGAGTTTGTGGAGGGGTAGGTTTGAATGCCAGCCACTTTTATTCCTGCTTGCCTTGTTAAGAATTCTGCGTAAGGTGGTTTCCTAGGTTCCCTCCTTGTATAGAATGGCTTTCTTTGGCACCTTAACACTACAGAGTTTAGTCTATTCCTTCAAACTTTCCACTGCATCTAGTTTGGGAGACGACAACATCTAATCTACGTTTGGAGGAAACTTTCTGGTGGAAACTATCCAAGTTACCAGGACCGTTCATTATTTTCACAGATTCTGACTCAGTGCTACTCTGCTTTCCGCCACCGTGAACTTCAGTCTCTGTAGTCACTTTTGTTTTCGACAAGGTATCAGGAACTTTTAGAGTTATTTTTCACTTATGTTGGGAAAGCTGGTTTCAGAAGAGTAGTAGGCTGTGAATATCAGCACTCCTGGTTTCTATAGCAGTTTGACTTGTCTCAGGGATCAAGCTAGCTGTCAATTTGTATGGCCTCACATTCAACCTCCCATCTTTGCTACTGGGCTAAGTGAAGTTGAGGAGTGCGTTGGCCAGGTGTTGACGCCCCCCCTGTCTCCGCAGAATTGCTTTCGTTCGATGGCATCATCGTGTGTGATATAACTCTGATGTCCAGCAGTGTATGTTTGAACATAGTGTGGAGGTCACTATTCATTGAGTTTTGTCACCTGGAGAAATACTGGCTTCGGTGGCATGGATATGTGCTACGAATGTCATGTCAGAGGCATGCGTCTGACTCACCGACTGACTGGTTTCAACATAGAACGTTGCACAGATGTGGAGCAGAGTTCGAGTTGCCATACTCCATGTAGCACACAAAGCAAGAGACTTAACACGGGCGATAGAACGCGAACACCTTTGGTTGAAGACAACTAGCTCCTTTATATTTTCCCCTTATAATCTCCATGTCTGATAGTCATACAGAATGACGCAGAGAATTTCTAATGAGTATGTACATCCTTTGTTCGATAGCCAGTCGGTTGTCAAATGCCGCATAATCCTTTTGTATCCGTGTTGAGATTTTGTCAGGACTAGGTAGTCGATGCATCCCCAGTCCTGAAGCAGGAGCGGATCACATGCTAAATATTGGAAGGTTCAAACGATTCTGCATTGTATCAGCATCTTTATGTAGGAAGGACAATATCGTCCACATACTCGGTGAGCGTCTGAATATATAATCATCGAAATGAAATTTTTTTACAAGTTTTGAATATACTACTATTTAATCAACTTAAGTACTATAATTGTTCCTTTGTTTTGTTTATTTCATGTCTTTCCAGCCTCAACCCTTCTAATCATTTGAACAATGTCAATGGTGATACAAACAGTCTTAATCATAATGATATATCCTCATTGAATAATAATAATAATGATAATCTCACCTCAGATTCAGAATCAACTAATGTGAATATGATGGTGGAATCAGTTGAACAGACAATTAGTTCACACTGATCGATATACACCTCCCTCTCCCCTGCTCTCCTCTCCTCGCCTCTGCTGTCGATAACACCATCATCAACACTGTCTCTGTGTTTCAGTTTTATACATATGCGAGCGCGCGCACACTCACTCCCTCTGACCTCTCACTCTACATACTTAGCTATCTTGCTCTTCTCATCTCTTCTCTTGTGTGTTTTCCTCACTCCGTCCTCCCTTTTCATTCCATTTGATGAACACACTTTTGAAGGAAAAAAACACCGTATGTCATGTTTTATATATTACAACATATACATATATGCAACTCTCTTTCTATTTGGGACTCAGTGTATTTTGTGTGTGTGTGTATGTTTGTGGACGTGTGAGTGAATGTCTTTGTAAAGCATAAACGTTTACAGGGCTATTCGATCTACGACCGCGATTGCTTCTACTCCTCCTCCGCCTACTACCACTCCTATTACTGCTGTTCCTCACTGCCGTCTGTCTTTGTTGGTGGTGTTGTCGTAGAAGGGAAAGAGGAGCTGTTTGCTTGAATGCCTTTACTTTTATCTAACTGTGTGTTTGCGTGGGCGTGAGTGGCGATTAATACACACACACTCTCGCCTGCTTGATGTTGATGATGAGGCGACGATGAGATCGCGACGAATTCTGTTCTTGTTTTGTAAATGATGAAAGAATAACAGTGGGACTAGAAATCCTGTTGTTATTATTATTATTATCTTAAAAGGGTAAGAGAAGGTTTGATGTAATCTCTGTAATGCATTACTCTCTCTTTATCCCCCTCCCTCCCTCTTTTCCTTCAAACTATAACGAGAGTAGTAGTAATACTAATACTACTGATAATAATAATAAAGATAAAGTCTACTAACCTCTCCTTTTTGCTACTTTTTATGCCTTCTATCTGTGTAGTTTTATTTAGTCTTGATTCTTTGATTGTTCAAAATTTCTTCTTTTTTCTTTCTTTTTGAAACTGCATTATTCATTACTTAGCTGTTATTATTATTTTTTGAAATAAAATTTAATTGTGTGAACAGTTTTCATATACATACTCTTATATATAAAAGTGGTTGTTATTGTTTCCTAGAGGAACTTGCGGGCTTCTTCAGCTGTGTACATCTCCATTGCGTTCAATTCTCCACCAGCGTTTTCTCACCTGGCTCCACGTCTACCCACATGCTTTCATCTCCTCCTCCATGTCACCCTCTCACTGACGACCGATTCGCCGCTTCCCATTCGGGTTCCACTCGAGAGCGATGGCCTGGTTTGTGATGTCACTCACTTGATGGTTTGTTTACTAAGAGTATGGCCAGCCAATCCATCTACCTCTATTTCTTCCTGCATATATGTTGCACAATTGGTTCCTGCTGGGTTGGTTCGTTGGTTCATTGCCAGAGATCCTTCACTGTTGCTGATCTTTTCTGGCCGGCCATCTGATCTTGAGTAGTATTGAGCGAAGACAGCTAGCTGTTGATGAAGGTGTGTAGTTTGTTCGAAGTGGCCTTCGTGATGCGGCGTGGCGCCAAGTCTCTGATCCGTATAGTATCACCGACTGACTTCACATTGGAGTTAAAAATATGGATCTTATTTTTCATGCTTAGAAGTGCTGAGTGTTGATCTCCACACAGAATTGAGAGAAATGAAAGCTTTCCTTGCTTTCTCGATCCTCGCTTTGATTATGACACAGTATTCTAGGGTTAGTTAGTTAGTTTGTCATTTTGTAGGGATTTGTCGTGTTTCAACTTCCACGACGGATTGATATCAGTTAAAGAATCACTGAAAACCAATAAGGGAGTGAGTCCTGGACAGTTGTTTCGTCCTGTTTTGGGACTCTTCATCAGTATGAACCCACTAGGTTTCAATGACCTGACTCAATGACCAGCCTATGAATTTTAACTTCTACGAATTCGGGATTTTAGCGTGACCACCAGCCAATATTGTCGGTGGCGAGTATTTGTCCTCACTCTCAATCGGGTAGGTCCCACTGGTGGGTTCATATCTGCTGATGAGTCCCAAACTAGGAAGAAGCTGCTGTTCACTGCTCCCTAACTGGTTTTAAATGGTTCTCTAACTGATATCAATGAGTGATCAAACTCGAAACACGTCAAATCCCTCCAGACTAACTGTTGAAGATCAATCTGATGCTCACTAGTGACTGGACTGGTTGCAGGACAAAGTTGCTTGGATTGAGTTCTAGTGAGAAGTCGTAATCAGTGGGATCCATCTAGTTAGGAGTGAGGCCAAATGCTCACCATGGATGACATTGTCTGATGCCAGTTGTGCTGAAATCACGAATCGGTAGAAGCCGGAATTCATAGGTCTCTGAGTTGGGTTCGAGGGGCTGAATGATCTAGGTGCTTGCCACATTATTCTGCTAGATGGAATTAATTTTACTGATTGATTGACGAATGAGTGGTTAGCCGTCTGGCGTAGTCTCTTTAATACGCTTGACGATGAACTACGTTTTGTGTTGTGTACATCTTTATTTCATCTTGTTTAGCTGGCTGGCTGCATGACTGTTCGTCAGCCCCCTTATCCTCCTTCCCCCCACCCGTCTTCACACGATCGCCTCCATGTCAGCCTCGAATACGCATGCTCCAATTATCGTTTCTCATTCGGGTTTTGGTGGCGCACGCATCAAGTTCCTGAAGTATACGTAGAAGCGTTAAATGACTTACCATTATTGTTGTCTAAAATCCGAATCTTGTTAGTGTTAAGCTAAATGTGGTAAATTTCCAGATTGATGAAGGTTTTAGATCTGGGTTGTTTTTGACATCTTCATTTGTGCCGCCTACCTGTAATTGAAACGGCTCCGTTTAGATAAGTAGAAGTGGCGAACCCCTTCGATTTCCCCCACGTTGATAATGATTGATTCTTGTCATCGTTGTTGTTGTCAGTTAGGTATCTTCATCGACTCTGTCTTTTCACTGTTCACTTAGAGTGTCCTGTCTTCGTCAACTGACTTTTCTACCAACTTGTTAGTTTCCGCCGATGTCCCGACCGATAGCTGTTACCTTGACATGGTGGTCGGGCTTGCACATCGCGATGACCCAACAAGCTACACTGGCTGGAATCAATGTTCCTGCAGTTTCTACCATGCTAGGAAGGTTGTTAGGATAGCGATTAGACTAAAAGCAGTTACCGACATTGTGTAAGAATCTTTCTAACACTATTCTGGGGGTCTGTGAGCGAAGTCACACTGCTGGGGAACAGGGATGTAACGGCAGTAAGGTGTTTCCCTCAGATGACCATACCAGCTATGCTCTTTCTTTACTCCGGAGAGACGAGGTTAGAATAGGTTAACCCCAAAAATTGTAAATCCCGACTTACCCTATGGTGGTCCGTGACCGGCGGTAAGTTTACTAATACGGAACCAAACCAGTTCATACAGGCCGTCTGTGACCGGCCTGAAGCAGCTGTCCTCTGGGCTCTGCGGTCACGCAACACTAACCCTCTCTCTGTTTGAGGCACCTGAAGAATCAATCAACTTCGACGGTGTGGGCAGCCGGGAAGTAACAACTGCCAACACACTTCCAAAAGCACACTTTCGCTGATGTATTCAGACCTTATCGTGCTCGTATGACTCACAATATTGGTAGACAGTGACCGATCAATGTATACATTATATTCTTAGAGAGAGAGCAGGTCAGTTATCAGCTTGAAAAGTCGAATGACAAAGTCTTCGATTGCAGCACTGAATGGCTTAGTTGTAGATATGTCTCATGTAATGAGTGTCAGTGGGCATGATACCTAGGTTCAGGGTTTTCAACTATGTAAAATCAACTCTGTCCTGAAGGGATAGTTATTGTCACCATTTTTTACTGTACAGTCGGTTCCCTTTATTAGTTTGAATAAAGAAAGAACGAATATATATTTGCAGAAAGGATGATACGATCTCGTTTTATTTCGTCGATTCTCTCTCTTCATCTGCGGACACCCTAAACCAAATCAATTACAAGTTTCAAAATGGTGTCTGAACATACTTCTTACAATGATTTGAAGTTATAGATAGAAAGCGTAAGCAACATAATTTGAAAGATGATGCAAGTAGACAATTATTTAGTGTTAAACGAGTAACTATTTATATAGAGATTAGACAAGAAGGTGGAGATCTGATTTCGCTTAGAAACAAGGATGGACTAGAGACAAACTACAAGATAGGACAACAGAGTGAATTTATACATATTATGGTGGAGAGTTCAGGAGTGTGGGGGTGGGGTGAATAGTATTATTACTATTATTATTGTTTCCTTTAATTCCCAGAAGAACATAGGGCTTCAGCCGTGCGTCTCCATTGCGTTCGGTTCTCTGCTAGAGTCTTCACCTGGCTCCATGTCTGCCTACAAGCTTTTATCTCTTCTTCACATGACCTCCTCCAAGTCAACCTTGCACTGACGACCAACTCGCCGATTCCCTTTCGGGTTCCACTCGAGCAATGGCTTGTCTAGTGATGTCACTTGATGGTTTCCTAAGAGTATGGTCAATCCATCTCCATTTCTTCCTGCCTATTTGTTTCACAATCGGTTCCTGGTTGGTTAACTTCCACAGGTCCCTATTGCTGATCTTTTCTGGCCATCTGATCCTGAGTATTGAGCGAAGACAACTGTTAATGAAGGTCTGTAGTTTGTTTGAGATGCTCTTTATGACGCGCTGGCCAAGTCTCTGATCCGTATAGTAGCACTGACTGACTTCACATTGGAGTTGAAAATCCGGATCTTATTTTTGATGCTGAGTGCTTTTGACCTTCACACAGACTTGAGAGTAGTGAAAGCTTATCTTGCTTTTCCGATCCTTGCTTTGATATCCTCGTCAGTGGAATTTGCCTTATTCCAGAAACAGTACTAGTGATACAGTGTGGAATTTTCAGCACATATCTACAATATTTGCATCTAGTTTTATCAAACATTTAAAAGGAGTATTTCAAAAAATAAATATAAAAGAACAACAACAAAAACAAAAAAACACAAAAATAATTTTTAAAAACTGCGAAAAGGAAAATAAATAACATAATAACCAAT